TATTGAAGAAGGAGTTGGAGATTCCGATTGATGCAATCTCTTTCTGGTCCGATAGTATGACCGTGTTGCGTTACATTGGAAACGAATCCAAACGCTTCCACACTTATGTTGCCAACCGTGTGGCCCTCATTAGAGAGGATTCCAGTCCCTCACAGTGGAGACACATCGACTCCAAGTCTAATCCTGCAGATGATGCTTCACGAGGAGTTACTGCAGAGTCCTTCACTAAGAACGACCGCTGGATAAAGGGGCCGGCGTTTCTGCTGAAACATAAATCTGAATGGGAGAGGTCCCTCTGGGCGGCGTAGAACTGGAAGAGGATGACCCAGAGGTGAAACGAGAGCCGAAATCTTTTGTTGTTCACGCGAGTAAAGATTCAAGTATCGTTTCTATCATCCAACGGTTCTCTTCATGGTTCAAATTGTTGAAGTTTATCGCGCTGTGTCTTCGCTGCCAGAGAAGATTTGTGATGAGGAGAAAAGTGTCAAAGGAGAATTGTTTGGATACTGCTGACGCATCTGGAGCGAAATTGGTGACAAACGCAGAGCTGGAAGAAGCCGGAAAAGAGATTATCAAGTTCGAGCAGAATCTCACCTTTGCAGAAGAATTAGAAGCCGTTAAGGGAGGTAAATGCGTCAAGGGGTCAAGTGCACTTGCAAGATTAGATCCGATCTTGACCGATGGTCTTCTTCGTGTTGGCGGGCGCCTTAGCAGGGCTACCCTATCAGACGACTCTAAGCATCAGATTATCATTCCTAAAGATTCTCGTCTAGCTCGTCTGCTTGTGAACCACTTTCACCAGAAAAGCGGCCATTCTGGTAGAGAATATGTCCTGGCTCTGTTGCGCGAACGTTTCTGGTTGATTCGTGCCAACTCTACTGTTAGAAGTGTGCTTTCATCCTGCTTCGATTGCAAACGACGACAAGGTCCCGTTGGAGAACAAAAGATGGCAAATCTGCCTCGGCCTCGAGTTACACCAGATCAACCCCCCTTCACGTGCGTGGGGATAGATTATTTTGGTCCCTTTCTTGTTCGTCAAAAGAGGAGCATGGTCAAACGTTATGGTGCAATCTTCACTTGTTTGGCACTGCGAGCTGTTCATCTGGAGGTGTGTCACTCACTGGACACTGACTCTTTTATTCACGCACTCAGACGTTTTATCGCTCGTAGAGGTCAAGTTAAAGAAATTCGCTCCGACAATGGTTCAAATTTCGTAGGAGGTGAAAGGGAGCTTCGTGCCATGATTGACAGCTGGAATCAAGCTAAAATTCATGACGCCCTTCTGCAGAAAAGCATCAAATGGGTTTTTAACCCACCCGGAGCCTCACATCATGGTGGTGTCTGGGAGAGGCTAATTAGATCTACACGCAAGGTTCTGGGTGCCCTGGTTAAAGAACAAAGTCTCGATGATGAGAGTCTTCAGACCTTGTTGTGTGAATGTGAGAGCATTATCAATGGAAGTCCTCTGACCACAGTTTCTGACGATCCAAAGGATCTGGAACCACTATCACCGAACCACCTTCTCCTGCTTCGCAGCGAGACACCTCTTCCTCCAGGCTTGTTCTTAAAGAGCGACACATACTCCAGGAGAAGATGGCGGCAAGTACAATATTTGGCTGATGTTTTCTGGGGTCGCTGGAAGAGAGAATATCTTCCTCTGTTGCAATCACGTCAGAAATGGTTTCGACCAAAGAAAAACTTTGCCGTGGGGGACACTGTTATCGTGGTTGACGAAACTTTGCCAAGGAATGCGTGGGCAATTGGTCGGATTACAGAGGTTTTTCCTGACAAATATGGATTTGTCCGCCGTGTCAAGGTTAAAACCAAGACATCAACTTTGGAGCGCCCTATCAGTAAACTATGTCTTCTGGAATCAATTGAACAAGTGGAAGGAAAAATTCATTGACTTTCCTTAATCGTGTGATTACCAAGATTGCGTGACTTTTCTTTGAGGAGAAAGATTTAAATTGACACTTTATAGTACTTTGTTGAGTATCCTTGTTTATTTGCTTTGTCGTTTTCCAGTACTTTCACTCATACGATGTAAGTTACTTTATGCTCATTCGCGTGATTGAAATTTTGTCATTTTCAGTTACCGTATTCAACAATGTGTCAAGTTTGTTCTATTAAAGTTTGAAATACGAGTGATTAGCGTTTGCGGCTATAGTCTCAATTGTGCTTTAAATGGCCAGTGACGCATGAAATATCAAACAGTACGAGCAAAAAAGTTTACGCGATATTTGCTAGATGGCAAACTGATCGTTAAGTTGTAAAGATCCACAAAGGATTTAAGGGAACAATGCAACTAAAATATCTTCAGTTTGGATTGAGGGATTATGGAAACAATTAAAAAGAAAATGGGTGTAAGTGGAGCATTTAAAGTAACATTGCGTTCATGCTGTTTATTAATTAAGAACAGTAGTATACTTCGACATTTAAACCAGATATTTAAGGATTTTAAACCTGAGGCAAGTACTTCAAACATCAATGGAGCCAAACTACCCGGAATTGAAACGAACAAAACTGCCAACAAAGGGTTTTTAGTATGTCGATATTGTAATTGGATACGCTTTGATCTCTTGGTATTTTAGTTTCCTAGGTATCATACTCTGTATATTTGTTGTTTTGGTAGGCACATGATCAATCAAACCCATATAAATTTTTAGATAGGTTTTGTTCTCAAGAGGACCAAATTAAACGATTTTTCTCGTTTTATTTAGAGGAAGCTCGATAAAACTCAGTCTTAAACTATATCTTAACAGTATCAAGATCCTTAAGTGTCAGCCAGCCTCAACATTCGATGTAAACATTCACGTTTTAAGTTATGATACGGAAACCTTATTGCCATGGCTTCACCATTTTTTTCACGAAATAAAAGTCAAAGTATTACTAATGCTTAATTCAAGAATCGAACGCGATTTCAAATGACGAAAGGTCAGAAAGATATCGATCTCCCCTCAGAAATAAAACGTAACCAGAGATGAATTCGAATATCTTACCTCTTGGGTTATGGACCTGATCACCCCACCAACAAAGCGCTCATTAATCCATTGTCCTCAATAACCAAGTTTTGATCCGTGCACAAGTTGTAAATCGCTTTCAGCCAGTCTCAAGAGCGAATGGTTAGGAAGACAATCAACAAGAATTAGGATACAAGCTAGATCAGTTTTTTCAAGCTTCTCTATTCCACCTGAAACAAGGAAAATGAAGCACGCTGAATGCAAAACATACAGTGTGTTCTTAAGAAGCATCCAGAGACTTTCAGTTTCGCAATCCTAACCTTTTGCCCTCCTCTTTCTATTCCTATCATTTATGCCAAATGACTCAGCAAATCACAGATAGCTTCCAATTATGAGGAAAGCGCTTCTAGAGTAATCCACCACTCTCTGGTTCCATTGCACACCAAAACAATCTATTAGGTAGCTTTAAGGTTTTACCTGTCATTTTGATTTAAAATATCAATGAAACTTAAGGTGCGGAACTTGTCAGAATAAGTCTGATTAACTTACGACAAATTAACTTCATTCATATTTGAATAATTGGTTGTTTGTTTAGCCGAGCGTGATCTTAGGTCTATCAGTTTATTGTGTTATTTTGATCTTGATTTTTAAAAGCGGTAATCATGAATATCATCAAGTTATCGCACATCACGCAAGGCCGCTAAAGTGCGCAAGAAAAACATAATGAAGTGCTTTCGAGAAAAACATCATTAAGTTGTAATCTGAGACTCACAAAGGGTTAGGGGAAGAGTGGAACTTAGGCAACTGTAATTGGGAAATGGGGAACAATTGAGGGATTATGGGTATAACTATGGGTGTCGGCGGAGCATCTAAAATGGAATTGTTTTCAGAGTGTTTTTTAAGAACAGGAGTATTCTTCGATATTTTAAGGTGATCTGCAAAAAGCGAGGTTGGTTGCCACCGCTCGAACGGCTTTTAAAGCTTTTAAACCAGGCAAGTACTTCAAATAACAATGGACCAAAACTAGCAAAACTACCGAATTGAAACGAACAAAACAGCCAACCGATTATGTAGGGAGACAATACTCTGACGGGCGGAATAAGCAATGCAGGTTAGATGAAACAATGGTGGAGTTTATTCTGTTTTTGCTTTATTCACCACGGAAGGAATTGTAATTAAGACTAAATTGTGAGAACTTCTTAACCTACTGTCTTTCATCTAAAATCAGATATTTAAGTTACCTTATTGTGTCGACGTTGTGACTGGATACGTTTAAATCCCTTGGTATTTTAGTTTCAAGGGACACCATGCCCCGAATACTAGTTATTTTTGTAAGCACATAACTAATCAAACCCATTAAACCGTAAAGTTGATAAGTTCTTAAGAGGACCAATTCACGAAGTTTCTCATTTCCTTTAGAACATGCTTGATAAAACCCAGTCTTTTACTTCACTAATAAAAGTATCACGATCCATAGTTGTCAGTGAGCCTCCACATAAGTTATGATAGGGAAACCTTATCGCCATGGTTTTCCCATTTTTTTTTCTTCACGAAATAAAAGTCAAAGTATTACTAATGTCTAATTTAAGAGTCGAATGTCATTGCAAATGACGAAAGATCAGAGAGAAATCGATCTCCCTTCGTAAATAAAACTTAATCAAGGATGAATATCTTACCTCTTAGGCTGTGGAGCTGATCACCCCCACCTACAAAGCGCTCTTTACTCCATTGTCCTCAATAACCGAGTTTTGATCCGTTTACAATTTGTAAATCGCTTTCAGCCAGTCTCAAGAGCGAATAGTGAAGAACACCGTCAATAAGAACTAAGATACAAGCTGGATCAAATTTTCAAGCCTCTCAATTCCGCCTGAGACAAATCAAATAACACATGCTGATATGCAAAACAAAACAGTGTGTTCAAAAGAAGCATTCAGAGACTTTCAGTTTCGAAATCCTAACCTTTTGCCCTCCTCTTTCTATTCCTATTATTCATGCCAAATGACTCAGCAGATCACAAAATGCGACACGAAATTTTGTTTTGATTTTGTTTGGAACATCTTAGCTCCTTCTAGATATAAATCTTTAGAGCGACTTCAAACGAGGGCCTTAAGAATTATTCCGAAGGATAGTAATCTTAGTCGCCATCAACTGTTGTGCCAATTAAGTTGGAAGTCCCTTAAGGCACGTTCTAATATGCACAATTTATCTTTTGTTTAGAAGAGTCTCCATTACATTGCTCCAGATCTTTTCAAGAGTTATTTTATCAAGTCTTCAGATGTTTATTCCACTAGGCGTAATGGATTAGATATTTTAATTCCTAAAGTCCGTACAGAATCTGCCAAGACAGGAACATTTTATAGTGGAGCCCAGGCTTTCAATGACTTGCCACCGCATCTAAAGGAAGTTGACTCTCTAGCGATTTTTAAAACACAGCTTAATGATAATATTTTTTTAAAGTTCTGGTTGATCGTTTGGATTTTTTTTTAGTTTACGTAGTTAAATAATTCAAAGTATTTATCCATCGACATTGTACATAGTGTTTACATTTTTCTGATGGTTCATCTTCCATAGTTATATATTCTTTAGTTGTTAACTTTTTTGTCGCCCAGGACACCCATTTGTAACAGCTTCAGCTGACGGGTTTACCCTGGTTAAATATATTATTATTATTATTATTATTAATACTTTTTTTCTGATAACAGGATAGCTTTCAATTATGAGGAAAGCGCTTTGAGGGTAATCCACTACTTCCTGGTTCCATTGCACAACAAAACAGGCAAGTATAAGGTATTTTCTGTCATTTTGATTTTAAATATCAATAAAATCTATGGTGTGGAACTTGTCAGAATAAGTCTGATTAACTTATGATAGGTTAACTTCATTCATATTTGAATAATTGGTTGTTTGTTTAGCAGAGCGTGATCTTAGGTCTATCAGTTTATTGTGTCTATCAGTTTATTGTGTTATTTTGATCTTGATTTTTAAAAGGCGGTAACCATGGATATCATCAAGTTATCGCACATCACGCAAGGCCACGAAAGTGCGCGAGTCACGAAGACCACGAAGAATCCGTGAGGCAAAGGAATTCTCTTTTATATAAGGACTGTGTGACAATTTGCAAAGTCAACAACTCAAATGAGTCGTCATATGATCTAAATTGAGTTGCTGCAGCGAAGTAACTCTTAAGGCAAAGTTTACACAGCACGTTTTGCTGTCCATTTCGGGTGCACATTTCTCCCGCGTCACTTCTTTTTCAGAGGAGAATGGGTTTAAGGCAACAAGATCTCGCCTCCTTAAAGGCCTCATGGGAACGGTGGAAATATTTCCACATTAGTGGCTCAAGTTAGTGGCCCATACACCTCAGAGACCCTTCCCCCCCCCCCCCCCCTTGGTTTTATTGTTTCCATTGTCTTCCGCTTTCAAGTAGTTATTTCTGATTTTTATTTGGTCAGATCTTTTTTAATTCTATATGAAGTAATGCCATGTATAACAGTGATAGCCATAAGGGGTCATTGAAAATGGCCTAATTTAATTCACACCCATAAACTAAAAACGAAAATGAATAAATCAGGTTCAAACAGGAGAAGTAACAGGGTTCGATATATTATTATGGTAAAGAAAGTCTCTTTTCCCCTCGAGGTCATCTGTTGAAAATATTAAATAAAGAGATAGTAGCATGTAGACTTTGATGCGGTATAAACCTCTTTCTGCCAAACCCAGGTAAGAGATGCACCAAAAACGTAGAATCAGAAACTTTGAAGATATTAGCAAGTGTTTATTACGAAACTCAAAGCTTAGCTCACCTTACATTTACCCCCAATTATTAGATCAAATCGATGAAGACAATCCTAATGAAAATACTTTTAAAGCCGGCACAATAATATTCCTAGTCAAAACCTGCGACGTTCTTTCCTTTTCCTTAGCCGCGCTCAAGAGTAACTTAAAAGAGAGTCTGATTTCTAGGAGCTCGCGTCTATACCCTTTCTACCTGAAGAAGTTCGTGTGATGATTTTATCTCCCTCTGTTTCGGCCGACAAGAGAACTAATTTTATTTATTTATAAATGCCTTATAAACACCCTTATAAATCATATCTATTTTAAAATGCCCCGCGCTTCATCCCTTCTGATGTTGTTTTTTGCTTCTGAAGTCTTCCATTATTTTTTCCTCCCAGTGCTTGATTTAATTTGACAGATATGAAACTTCCAGCGACGATCACTGTGGCTAAAAGAAACAAAAAAACAACAGTGTCGTCAAAAAAACGTGTTACTTAAATGCGAAAAAAAAAGAAACATTATTCAGTCATGAAAGTCGCAATATGAATAAATGGGAATAAAATATGCTTTGTTAAAAAAATTTAGACTTATAATCACTACCAACAGTTCGATTTTCACGAAAGGCTTTGTTTCTTAGAAATGGAACATTATACTTCATAGAATTTTAAGAGCAATCACGCATAACCTGAATAATACTTAAATAGCACCTCTTAATAATAATGAAAACCCATCATTGTTGAATATAAGAAAAAAGATTACAAACCTCGAGCTGTGATCACTGACCGCACCAACTATGGTGTAACCCGAACGAGCTCTATAGTTCAAAAGTCCTCCGTACACGTTTTTGTACCCCGTGGTCTTGCAGTTGTCATGTTTGTAGCCCTCCACATGACAGCAACGGAATTTTACTCTAAAAAGAAAAAAATGGCATAAAAGATCTTTAATATACCGGTAAGTCAAGACGAGAAGTTTTTTGTTGTCTTTAGTTTACATCGCTCCTTGTGTTTGACTTTTGTCTCACATTTTTGGGTGCAAAATTTTAGCCTAAATTTTTAAGATCTCTTCCATCGTCAAAACGATTTGGATCATTGCGGAGGGAATGAAGGAAGCAAGCCAAGAAGCCTTAAAATGCAAGACTTACAGGTTGAAATGAAGTCGACGTTCGCGACGGGTTTAAATTCCTCGTTCAGGTTCGTGTTTCAAGTCTAAACATGTTCTGCTAGGTTTAATTTCGTCCCCTCGCAAATGATATTTCTTCTCATTTCGTGTCATTGTGTATTTTATTTATGGTTTTTGTGAGGAGCTCTTAACTTTGTCCTCTAACTTTTTTTCTGCTGAGGAAACGTTTTTTTCTGAGTGATATATCCGTAAGGAAAATTAATTGAAGACAGCGCCAAAGAAAAAAACATTTAGACCAAGGTACCTGCGATCTTTAGTGACCGTATTAAATTCGCTCAAAATTCCAGTGATATATCCATGCGACTCACACTTGAAGTTAAAACTGGCGGAGCCTGTCTTTCCGTTCGGCAAAAAGCCAGACCAGACGCAGTCTTCGCTCGCGCGGTAAATAGCAGGACCAAGGCTACAGCGGAAATGGTGAATACGATCCTCCTGACATTTTCGGAAAACACTAATCCACCAGAACATTGAATAGCCTAGTATTAAGATATAAGGCAAGTTAGCAACAAGTCCCTTTTCAGAGAGTTAAAGCAGAACATTATTCAAGGGGCAAAGAAAGGATGAAGGTGAATTCAACAGCTCTTGATGAGCTTTAGAACAAGGTAAAGAACTTCACTCAACTTCAATTTCTGTCATCCAAAGTAATAAAAATGATAAAGGGAAAAAAAATCATACTCATAAAAAAATGGACAAAAGATGTTGGTAGTTCGGTAGAATAACAGAGTTTGTAGTCTTACTGTCAGGGCAAATCGCGCGGAATGACTGCTGCCATGCGTTGGACCATTTCTTTACTCGGCCCCCGATGGTTAACCGCGGAAGAAATGAGTTGCAAGGCAGCGGTGGCGGTGGCGGAGGCGGTGGTGGCGGTGGCGGAGGCGGTGGTGGCGGTGGTGGAGGCGGTGGTGGTGGTGGTGGTGGCCGTGGCGATGGAGTCGGTAGAGGCGGCGATCGACGGCGCCGTCGACGTCTCCACCACGGAGTTGCATTGACTGTACAAAACAGCAAATCCATCCCCACAATCAACAAAGTAAGAAGAGCCAACTTTTTTCGCCACATGATCACCGAGCTGAAAATAAAGGAAAGAGTGCAGTCACTGGGATCCCAATACAAATCTAAAGGATACTCTCGTCAACAATAGACTAGCCCCAGATGTATAACAATTCTGATGATCTAGAAAAGAATGACTTACTTCCAGTTGAAACTTCAAAGCTTCGTGTGATCTTGAAAACGCAAGTAGCGTGAAAACTGCGGATACGTTTCTTTATTGTTCTTCAAGCGCTTTGGTATACATAAGTGATGAAATATCAATTTTGGTTATCTAAATATATCTGCTAGTGAATTACGTGTCAGAGCCTGAGGGCAAAACAAGTTTACGAAACAATTTATCATGTTCAAAGAGTGAACTTTCGCATAAGGAGTAGTATTCTTCCGTAAGTGCCAATGATCAAAATGAAACCACCTCAAAATTTTGATAAGGTTGAAAACAACAGCGAAAAAAAGGATATTCAGCGTTTGATCAGTTCATAGAGGAAAAAAAAATGCCAATTACAACGTACATAAACTTTCACTTGCTGGGAATTGGCAGACTTCCTGTTCATTAAGCCCAATTTATTTCACTAACCTCATAAATCATTAAATGATTGAAGTGCTACAAGGCCATTGACTCTGGTGAGTGCAGAGCGTCGTACATACAAAATATTTTCGGACCATTTCTAACACTTTTTTTTCTTTTAATGAGATCTAACCTTGTTTTGAATATTATTGATTACACCTGTAAACTCGCTTGTTTTGACTTAAAATTTTAAGTTGTAAAGCGATATTTTGCCTTTTCACTGCCTCATTTTTGACTTCAGTTATCACTCTTTCCATGAAAATTGTTAGACTATAATCTAAATGCCACCCAGCATGCCCAGTACCGCTTAACCCAACAAATTTGGTGATTTCTGGTGGTAAATAATAAAACCTTGCTGTGGTTATCAAGCTTAATTCAATCTTGATGTATTCTTGTTCTGGCGACGAATAATAAATGAGGCATTCGAGAGGAGCAAAAGCCGCAGCTTGCCTGTACTAACGTGGTATCGAGAAAGCGTAGAACTGAAAAGATTTTTAAACGGGAAAATAAGGGTAAATAATATTTTTTTCTTCTTAAGTAGAGACAGGGAATTTGAATCTACCTCGAAACAATTCTTTGTAAACCAAAAAGTTGCTAGACCGTGAAAAATCCTTCATCACAGGTTATTGTAAGATTTCAATGCTAGTCAATTGAATCACGTTTGATGCATGAGAGAAAAAAAAAAAAAAAAAAAGTACCAAGTATTATATGCCTATCTGCTTGCCGTCCTGAACGCTCTGACCAGAAAAAAATGTATTGTTTTTCTAATTTGGAAAAAAAAATCGCAAGGGAACATTCGATCGACGAAATAGACACGACTGTGTCTCGTTCGTTGAAAAGAGTTAATCTTCAACTACCGCTTCAAAATCTACGATCGTGGGGGAAAGTTAAAATTCTATTATTCCCGAGAGTCAAAATAAAATACATGACATTAAGCAAAATCAAAACGGCAACGTTCATGAAACAAGTGAGTTTATTGAGGCAGATAAAACTATGATAGTCAATTTCCTTCTTCCACATGAACAGCTAATGTAAAGGAAAACTTCTTCTTTGAAGTAAAGAAATAATAAAGTTGTTATTAATTTGCTACTGAGCCAGAGTTAACACACCAAAACTTGCTACGTAACTTTAACATAACCAGTAATTTATATTGTTATATACCTAGACTTTCACTCACGTGCCCCTGATGAAATTCAATTGTATCCTGACTGTTAATTTTATCCCGACTAGGATACGACTGCGCAGTTGTTAACCGCGCGCCGACTACAACAGCATGTTTTTGCTGTTTTTTTAAGGGGAAGTCTAAATATATAACAAAGCACTTAATATATGGTCCCTCAGGAAACAAGTTAGTTTTGTTTTCCCTCGAGTCCTAATGTTTCCCTCGACCTCGTCTCGGGAAACACCAGGACTCACGGGAAAACAAAATTAACTGTTTCCCTCGGGACCATGCATTAGGTGTAAAGTGTAATTATCAAGCAAGAAAGCAAACCTAAGATAGTTATCTTCAACTTATATCATAACCGGTCAGGAAACAATTATAAACAATTAATTACACAAGAAATCATCACGGGAAAGGCTATTTTGGGCTGTAATATTTGAATGCATATTTTTATCAGGAGCAACGTGAATAGTTTAGCATAAGTGAAGTGAATGACTTCAACTTCTGAGAAAACAAAATGTAAAACTTATCAGAAAAGTCTCATCGTTAAGTAGCATATTGTAAGGGCGTGATAGTGAAAATATATATTTTTCGTCGTGAATTAATTCATACTTTGTTCTGCTGGAAGGAGAAGCTGAGACTATTTGGGTTCTCATCCTAGAGGAGCTGTTAGCGAGAAGTTTTAGCACAAAAATGCCCCATTCGCGAGAAGATTGGATTTGCATCGCTTCAATAGATGTTCTCAACCTCGTTCATGCTTTAACACACAAGGGAAAATTTAACAGCAATTAAATAACACAAGCTTTTTTTAGTATTCCTCTGATACTTGTTTCCAACTCAAAAAATGCCCCTATCGAACAAGAAAGACTTGTTGAATTCCTGCCTTCGCTTATCTTCTTGGTTACCATGGTAGTTGAAAATCATTCCGTTGATTTGATCATTTTTTCTTAATAATCCTTCTTTGGCATCAACGTCCATTTCCACGCTTGAATTTATTTTCATCTGTCTTCACTATCTCCTTGAGTTTCCAAACCTCTTCAGTTGATAGCACGAAGACTCCTTGCTGAACCAAACTTTACTTCTTAAATAAAGCTATTTTTGCTTCGACAAAAAAAGACACATCGGGCTTTCTTCGTGCGATATTCCCATAAACATTTTTATTGATTGGTTATTTCCACGTTTCACGGTGACTTCAACAAATCCTACGAGCAGTTTTTACTTTCCATTTCCAAACATTCTACCTTCGCTTTATTTTTTTCCGAAACGCAATTCTATGGCGTGCTCCGAAAAAGCCTCGGACTGTCAAGACTGTTGAGGGCAGCTTCTTCGGAATAAAATGTGTAATCTTCCCGGCAGACACGACTCAAAAAAACTTGAGTACTGTTCGCTTAGTCCAAAAGGCTTCAGTATAAAAATTACAACAACTCCTACGCGAAAAAAAACTTTCTACTCTTCATCTACTAACAGATATCTTTAAAACTAGCGGGCTAATTTTTTTCGATGTTGCCCTCATCACATAATCTTCAACTGAGCAGTGTGAATATCATAAACATACTGATATTTACATACACACAACACTTCCTTCGCAGACATAGCTAAATATAATTCTTATTCATTCTGTCAAATATTCATCTTTTATATCACTGTTTGCAGGAGATGTTTCCCATGGTCAGGTGTCACAAGTGTTTTCTTTTTTCACAGTCGTGGGGTTAAGGAGTAGGTGGCATCGTTTGCCAGATCTTAGGAGAAATGCTTTCGTCGGTTGCCTTTGTTCTCAAGATGTGAAATGTGTATCAGCTTTACGTATCGCGTGAATAGTTTATTCATAAGAACAGTCCTGCAATTTGACGAAGAGTTTTCCTTCTTTTGAGTGGAAAATGAGAACTGGATACTTATACTTTCCCTCTGTGCTGAAAGCTGGGTTGTCATGATTCTCAACATCCAAGGTCCTCGTCTGACTCTAATTATACCACCGTCCACTAAAAATATATGACGCGCTGCTGAACTGCGAGACCTTGCCTCGTATGGCTATTTCACTCGCGGAAAATCGAAACCCATTTCATTTTATGAAAGAAAAAAAAAATTAATCCCTTCTTTGGTACATAACTTGAAAACAATACTATTTATTTCGAGCTTAAGAGCCACACTATAAAAACACGCTTCTAACTGATTTTTTTCTTTTCTCCGAGCGCAAAACTTCTCCAAGGAGATTACAGCCCCAGGCGTCCAATATTCTTCCTCTTTTTCTATTGTTGCAAATCCATGGGAGCGTTGCTGCCACAAAATTCTTGATAAATTAAGTCCACCTTTCGCCTGGTATTCGGAGTTTCTCTGAATCTTTCACATTTGTAACAGCTATTTTCTTTACCTCTGTTCGTAAACCCAGGCAAGCGCAAGGACCACACTACGATGTTCCTCATCGGTAAGTCCAAATTTTTGTCTCCATTAAGATAATATTCGCCGGATTCGGAAAATTTCTCAAAAAAAGAAAAATTTCCATTTCCTTCTAACTGGTCGACGTCACAGATTGCAAACTGAACCAGGCTTAACAGACGCTATCATTTCAATATTCCTAACTATCTAACCATCTCACCATCTCTTTTCTCTGTTCAAAATATCTTAATTTGCCTATTTTGGATTTAACAATAATTTCATTGATTCCCGAACAACGTTCACGAAGAGCCAAGTTACTCGTCATTCTTATACCATTGGTGTGGGTCTAATCCCTCTTCTGCATTCAGCATTAAGAATTCTCGTCGATCTGTTTAATCTGTTAAGTCTGGATGATTTCCACAGGCAGAACACCGAGATGCTGATCTTTTAGTCTTCAGTTGTCAAGGTTCAAGTATAGCAAAACCCTCCAGCAACATGTCCTTCTGTGTCCAATCTTGTGTATCACACCTTCATTCTGCTCCACTGAGATCATCCCTTGTAGTATTAAGCAAGAAGCCACGCACGTTTCAACACTGATATGAAACAACACAAACACTAACACATCACCCTCCTTTGACTCAGAAAGGACTGGAACACACCCACTGATGACGTCAATGGGGCGTCCCATACCGTCCAATCACATTAAAGGATCTGCCTGCTGGCTAAGGAACAGGCTTGAAAGGAGATAAATAGGCCAACATTTTCCCGAAGAAAAAAAGTGGCGAAAATATCAAACGAAAACACGCAAAACAACATAAACGCACGCAGCTCAGGTTGAGAACTCTATCAAAAGATCATGCACTGGGTGTGCTACTCACAAAATATCAACCCTATACTCAAAATGGCTTTGAGTTGCACGATGTCAGCAAGCAATCGTCCATTTTTGTTTTTGGTTATGCGAAACAACAGCTCCTCTTGAGGGATGAGTAAGGGAGCTACTGCAAATCACAGCCTGGCTGTATTCATTAAAGTAATGGACGGAAAATTTGCAAGCAAGAATGAATACATTTGAAGAAAAATACGTCTTCCTTGGTACACGATGAACAACGGTTCTTGTTCCAGTTTCCGTTTCACTATATCAAACAATGCAGCCCTTTAAAAACTACTTCTACAATTTCTTCACTGAAACTTTAACGAGGAGTTTCTCTTACTTGAGAGAAATAATATCTTGAAAAGACCAGATTCTCTTTGTACAAAAATTGTTCCAAAGAGCTGGGAGAAATCTGCCGAGAATCTTAACTGCAGATAAGGAAGGACTAATCATATTCTATCAAAAATAAATCGAGGAAATATACCAATTTTAAATCTAAGCAATTTAAGGAACACCAATATAGGTGAAAGTTAAAACATGAAGCACAAAGTACATGGTAGACTACCTAAGTTTAACAAAAAATAAACCATCAAACTTATTAGCTCCTTCCAGGAAAGTGGATCTTCTATGTACAAGATCCGTATGTCTGTACCACGAGCTCATTTAAACAGAACTGACTGACTTAATTTGATATCTCTTAAACTACCCTTTGGCCGAAGTTTCCGCATTCTACCAGTCAGGATCCACATTGTACAAAGCGAGATGAGGACAAGAACGATGCTTGGAGTTTTTGCAGCGCTCCCTGCATCTCCATCAAACTCTTACAATTTGATACCCACTCATTGGTCTAACCTAGGTCTACTGGCGAAGACTCATTGACTACCTTCAAAACGAGTGTCAAAAAGATATCAAAATTTTTCAGACAGTATCAATGGAAGTGCAAGTAACACTGTAAAGTACCACACTATATATATAAAAAATCTGCAACAAAAAGAAGCATGAAAGAAACAGTAACAACAGCTAGATTACTCGTGAATAGAAACAGATTACCAATTTTGTTACCACCGGCCTATGGTCCAAGGAGTTCTCATTTGTTTGGCGTCTTGCTGAAATTAACAGCCAACTTGACTTTCGGAGCAGAGAACTTTCTAGGTTCTGCTCTCCTGTTCTCATCAGAAATCTTTCGCTGGACAGCAGGCTTTTCAACTTCTTCCTCTCCAAATGACGCGGCGAGATTTCTTGAAAATTCCGATTCTGGCTGACAGTCAGACAGGATATCAGCTTCCACTTCCGAGAGGAACAAAACCCCAGCCTTACGAGGAGATGGACTGGCCTGCATCTGTGTTGCATTCCTTATACGTGCTGGTGATACAAAGGCAAACTCCAAATCTTTTAGATCCGTACGGGACGACGAGGACTTACCATTGGGAGAAAGCCTGTCGGAGAAGTTGGGCTGAGGTGATCTTGCACCGTTGTATTCTCCTGACAGTTCATTGGATTCTGCTAATAACTCAGTCAAGTCACCTCCCGCCACATTACCCAAGGTGTCAGAAATTCCTGCGTCATCCATGGCTTCTAACAGCACCTCCATGTCAAACTCAGTGAAGGATATCAGATCTCCCACAGGAGGTGGCTCAGGGATGGCAGGCTGCAGCTCCGGTTCTGGGAGAGTCTCGGGCACTGGTGCCATCAGCCAGTCATCGGTCACAGTCTGGTCTGGAAAGGTGCCGGAGGCTTCACCATCAAGAATTATCAAATCTACGCAAAAATGAACATATAAACGTAGTAAGAAAACAAAGCGATGTCTACTCACGCAGCAACACTCTCACAGAGGGAGGTAAAGTAAATCCTCGAGCTGTGATAGTGGAGGGAGCTGTGGAAGTCAAATCTTTGATCGGCATGTCAGGTTTCAAACACTGACTGATTTTTTAAACTATGTGTTAGGCGTAAAGCGGTTTATCCTCGCCACAACTCTTATGATAACAAATATGGATAACTGCCAACTGGCAGAGATACCAATGATAGTCATCATAATTTTTGGGAGGAAGAATTAAGCGGGTTGCTTGCAGTTCACAAGGGAAAATCGGAATTCCGCGCACAAAGAAAAAAAATCCAAACAGTTCGCCAAACACTATTCCCCTTTCTTAAAATCCACGTACAGCTATGACATGTTTATGCCTGACATTTCCATCCGAATCCTTCGTGCACATGGTTCGTTCTCCTACGGCAAATAAATGTTTCATCTGAAGTTATAAATTGGCTTTCTTTTAGGGAAACTGTGAACTCACCCTCTTCCTCTTTGTCATCAATGATCACTACGACCTCATCCTCTGCAATTTGAACAAAACGGAAAGCGAGATAAGCAGTTACTCTTGTTGTTTGCTTCTTTATTTTTTAGCTGGGTAAAATAAAGACTCTACATCCCGCTGGATTCGTTTGAAATCCTACCTTCCTCCACTGCAGCAGAGGGCGAGTCGCTTAATCTGCAGTCCTTCGTTCCAGCTTTCGTTTGCCCTGTATCTGTAACAAGTTAAAAAAAAACCCAACTCAACATGAAATTTAACCAAAGAAACGTAAGTAGATACACACATAGCTTAAAGTTCCTCCTTCACTACAATGATTTGAGTGCTCTGAGGCTGCAACAACGTAAGGTCCAATACAACCCATCCTGTCTTCTTGTTACAGTTCCCATGTATGCACAGAGATTTTACAAAATTCAATGCCAGTGCCACAACACTGTAAAAAATAATAAAAAGAAAAGTAACTTCATCTTACTTCCAGGGCCAAGCAGACTCACGTTGTCCCCATCGACCAAGACAACCATCTTCTCTGCACCCTTGCCGCGTATTTCAGCCACATTGGACACTGCGTCTATCACTTCCGATATGCGACTAAAGCCGTAATCAGACGCTTTGCAGGGTTGACCGTACAACTGCTGGAAGTTTGGCGCAAAGCGGTTTAGAGAAACACATCCATTGAGATGTTTCAGAAGATCCCTTGTTTCGATAGCAAAAGTTTGAAGCAGCGTCAGGGACAGTTTGTCTCCTTTCGTATCGACCTGATGAAGAGGTAAAAACCATGACTAAACAGGTCGCCGGCACTGATCTTTAATGTATCTCCAACCATTTAATTTTTCAGAGAACATAAGTAACCTAAACCCCCTCGAAGCCCTGAATATGGCTTAAAATTTCGCGTAGATCCTATGTCATTACATCGGATCTCACCGTTGTGTACTGAGTAGGCACATGACTCGGTTTGTGGAGCATCATCGCACAAGAATAAACAAGGTAATGGGTTTGCTTCACATTTGTACTCTAATTTTCCCGAGCACCTATAATTACTCTGACTGCAAGATCAAAGGCTCAACTTTTTCTTTAGTTCAATAAAGATAGAACAAGGCATTAATATTTTGAGTACCTTAACTACGGGTGAAACTGCAAGTAACATATCTTCAAGTGACGCAAAACCAAAGTTCTGTACGCGCAGCTTGTGCTTACAAAGTTTCTCATAAGCAGTGACGAACTTGGACAAGGGAATACTTTTATCAGACTGCTCGGTTAACACATGAATAACACGACGTGAAAACACCTCCAGAAGATGTTCATGTTTAAGGCAAACTGCAGCCATGTTGCCGCTGCCTTGGATCTGCAGAAGCAAAGGTGAAATGGCACCGTTAGAATTGACGAGGCTTTATTCTGATATGAAGTATGTTTCTATGACACCAGGGCCTTCGTATGCAAGAAGCGAAATAACAAAGATTCGGCTAGGTAGTGGGAGAAAAGTTGAAATCTTTCAAATCTCTTTCTTTAATAAGACTGTCCTTCATACAAAACCAAATATCGAAGAGACTGTTGATTCAATTATCAGCAAAGAATCTGAGAGCCATATCTGACCTCCAAAACATCTCCAAGTGCTTGTAGTAAGGAAGCCATGGTAGTGAAGCCCCAGTCCTTAGGTTTTAACATTTGCCCATACTCCCGCAAGAAGATATCAGCGAAAGCAAACTCCGCCACCCTACAGCCAGGATACTTCAGCAGTAAATTAGTGATTTTATCAGCGAGCGGTTGCAACTTGGGAGAAGTTTTATCTGCAAGGTATTAATAGCTCTACTTCAACCTGAGAGTAATTGTCGTGTTGTATCTAATGCTGAAACAAACATGCTTTTAAAAGTCCTCTAGCTCATCCAAGAACACTGACCAAGAGATCGTAAAGTTTATAATCTCTTGCCACTGACCAAATAAGTATAGTCTAGCATACTTAACTGTACAGTGGCAGCCTATAGTCTACCATAACGGCCGTCTTCTACACTTCTACTCATATACGAACAAAAAAACCACACACATTTAAGATAGGGTCTGACAAAGAAATTTCAATTTTCCCTGTCTTGAAGGAAAATTCACTGAATTTTCTTTGAACTTTGAGAACCTGCTTCCCTCGTCCTTCATTTTCCTGAGGCACGAAGTCAAGCAATTGAATGGAAATAAGTCTAAAAAGCAATATCTCTCATCTCAGCAGGAAAAAAAAGAAAGGATTCCATCAGTTTTCACACATATAACAAACCTTTCGCTGGCAAAAGTGGAAGGAGTAAAATTCTATCATTCCCGGATCCTTTGACCTGAAATAAATTTATCGAAATTTGAATCATCTTAATAGAAATACCACTTGATATCAATAAAACCGATTACTTATGATTATCGATATCACCAATGACACGCGACTCAAGTCTTGTAATCGATTTGTTATAGAGATCAATCATCATCATCATCATCATCTATTTAACATCTCCTTTTCTGATTGATTACCCTTCAGTGAAGTTAAAGAAACAAACATTTTCCACAGGTGCATTAGAAAATTATTACCGCTAAAAATGCAATTTAAAATACACCATCCAGTTAAGAAGGAACAAAATTGATAGCAAGAAGGAGAAATATTGATTTAACACCAAGTTCTTTTCAAAAACAAATTTATGAGAACTGCAATTTAGATCCTTGGCAAACGCAGTTTAAAAGACAACTTTATTTTCTGTTTCTATGTCAATCCATACAAACCTTTACTACTCCCTCCAAACTTCGAAGAAATTCCTCAAGTTTGGCTTGTCCCAGGGGAAATTTCCGGCTGTAATGTTTACGGAAAGTGGAAGCAAGGCGAGAAATCGGCAGAAATTTGCCATCCTGTTGTCCCAGCAGCTCTACCAAATCTCTTCGCAAAGACTGTACTGTGACTTTGGGAGGGAGGGTCAGGTATTTTTCCCCAGATATCTCTATGATCTAAGAGAAACCATGGAGAAGATCAATGTAACTTAAGGCCGAGAGCTTCACACCAACAGTAAATAAATAGGTACAAACACTGACCTGTAGTGATGGTGAACTCTCCACAAAGTCTTCAAGACGCAGCGCACCATAATCTCCAATTTTGAGCAGTCGGCCAAAATGTTGATAATATCGAGCAAGAACTGTGGCAACAGGAAGCCTCTGATTTTCACAGCTGGACAATAATTCTTTGAGTTCTTTGACCAGAGTTTGCTTATCGCTCCGCTTCTCAGGTTTCAAGCTCTTGTCTGTAAAAAAGGATGTTCAAATGAAGTGACAAAAAAACACAAACTCAATGGAGAAAAAAAATTTTTTGTGGTAATGACTTTAAAACAAATTTAAGTATATGAACTCTTACTAACTTACGAAACAAATCTAGGAAGAATATTCAGTCTAAAATAAATAAATATACCTTTTTCCACTAAACAAATCAATCGCTGATCTCCAGTTCCTTGGATCTAATAGACAATTTAAAAAATTACGTGTTTAATTGAGTTGAATTCAGGTCTGCTATCCCGAAAATTTGCGGATCTGGATTTCGAACTGTGGTAAGAACTTGAGAGACGCATCCACAATCACAAATCGATATGATAACTTACATTTATCTATTAGTGAACAAATGTACTATAACAAAGGATCTGTTCGTTCAACAGTGAACATCACTGACTGAGACTCCCAACAAACAAGTGATTTCAAAACTCCACCATGACTGCATAAGGATATCCAAAAATTGGTACAAGCTGCTAACAAACCTTAGCGACATTGGGCACAACTTCAATCAAGTCTGTCAGCTTGGAGAAACCAAATGTTGCAATCTTGCATTTCTGGCCGAAGAATTTCATGTAAGTTGACACAAAGTTTCCCAAAGCAATTACGCCATCCGGTTGACTTTCCAAGAGCATTTTGACATTTTTTGCAAAGGCTTTGATTTTCAAGCGCTGTGAAAGGACAAGCCATCTTTCTTTGCCTTGTTGCGTAATCTGAAGCGCGTAAAAAAGTAGAAGAGTTGAAATGATATAGAATGACAACCTAATATGGCTTGAACTCATTAGCAAAAGTTGACCCATCTGGGTGAGGGTAGTCCTAGGATCTAATGTTGATGACAGTCATAGATCTCTCAACAAGCGATCGTAAGTCATCATCGGAGTCGCGTGATGAGTAGGATCTGTTTCGTGAAAGCTGATTGATCTAACAGAGTAATTAAGTCATGTTTTGATGCTACTCTGGTTTACAGATTTCATGATTATAACCGAAGAATTTACATTTGGCTCAATAAATTGTAACTTCTTCGGTTAGATTCATTAAATCTGTAAATCAGAGTAACATCAAACCATGTCTGGTTGTCCACCTGGTTGCCATGTGAACTTTAATATACTTTATTTGAGAGTAATTAAGTATTATTACCTGAGTTGATAACGTAAATTGGCCACCGTAAAGAGTTTAAAAGCGGACGTTTCGAGCGTTAGCCCTTCGTCAGAGCGATAGGTCTTGACTGGTCTAGTTTTAAATTCTTTATTTCTCATTCTTGGAATCAAACAGTTTAAGAATTAAGGAGGTAAGTTTCTAAAGAAACCATGGTGCTGCGTCGGTAGGGGAGAGTAACTAGATAATTTGGTTTTATTAACTAAGTTGATAATGTAGACTGGCCACCGTAAAGAGTTTCTAGAGGTACGTTTTGAGCGTTAACCCTTAGTCAGAGCGAACGACGAAGGACTAACGCTCGAAACATCAGCTTCAGAACTCTGTATGGTGGTCATTCTACATCATCGACTCAGTTGATAAAACCAGATTATCAAGTTTAAGAATTTGTTCGTCAATCTGGAAGAACTTCTTCTGAATAGATCCACGAATGCGATCTCGATAGTTTCTTTCATTTTCTCGTATTACTTTTTGAGGTTTTATACAAACTACTGTCAGAGATCGGAAGAACTGCGAGGGTTTGAATGGGAACTCTTGTATGAAAGAAATCGAGGTAAAGCATCGGAGTGCCAAATCCAAAGATCTCAAGTTCGACTCCCCGAGCGGAATTCAGATTTCTCCTTTGTTTTACGCTCATGACAAGACCAACAACATATTTCCTCGCCTGCATCATATTCACTACAGAGTCTCACACCTAGTCAACCCTTTACACCCTAAATATGAGTATGCATACTCTCCAAACTGTTCTCTATACATTCCCAAGAGGATGCCGAACAAGGAGAATTTGTTTAACAATCAAAAGTTTCTTTAGTTGGTAAACATTGCCTTTCTTCTCGTGACCTTACTTTGTGATTTAGGATGATAATGTAAGGAGAAATTAAATGATAATCACTCTTAGGAGTCAAAGGGTCACTGTACAGTACAAACCTCCGCCACAGCTGGCAACGCTTCCAGGAGGGTGACGACCGAAGTGAACCCATAGACAGCTGGATCAAATGGCGTCTTCTTGTCAAACCACGACTGATACTCTGAGATAAGCGAGCTGAGAGGGAGTTTGAATTCCACCTGCATCTGTAATAACTCCTGCAGATCTTTACTGAATTCAAGAAGCTTGCTTACATTCCCGCCTGTTAGTGAAAAAAAAGAAAAAGAAAAAGAAAAAGCTTCTGTATGCTACACCATTTGATGTCATACATATAAGTGTATTTAAAATGTAGGTGGATGATGCAAAAAAAATTAAATTTAGGCGACGTTTTCAAGTTGAAGAGCTAACTTTAGGGTAAAAAGAGACAGAAGGGCTTGAATATGTGGGTACTACAGATGACAAACAAACCACACACACACTCATAATACAGTAAAATGCATGTTCCGTACATGAAAATACTTGCAAGCGAATGTACAAACACGCCTTGCAAATTTAGACCATGAAAAAAACATTTCGCCATTTAAGTCAGAGAGCTTTATTAGCACATGAAAACACCTATGAAAAATTCACAAGTGAAAAAAAAAACGCTCAAAAAGAAAACACAAGAAAAACAAACAAATAAACAAACCAAACCTAAAAAAAAAACATAATAATAACAACACTCCATACCATGTTTGAGAGCTTGTTTAGCCCATGACACCATCAAAGACTCTGTGACCTTGACATTTGGAACGCAGTTGAGAACTTCCATAAGTGCAGACCCCTCATCGTTAGACTCTATCTTCCTATCGAAGTTTAGCCAATAGGATGCAGCAAAACTAACCAAAGGCAACGATCCTTCACTGGATTTAAGAAGAGTGTGGACATCGTTTGCAAACTGGTCAGGTTCTACAGACACTTTCACGCCGCCAATGGCCCGAGTAACCAGACTTATCGCTTGATTACCAGGTTTGCCAGTCAGAACAACCAGGTCGTGGATAACTCCTATGGAAGTCATATCAAACGCTCGGGAACACTTCTCATAGTAATCACTCAGGAATTTGTTTAAAGGTAGGAAGTGTAAAGGCGCCTCTTTCAGTATAGAAGTTACTTCACAGCGCAAGAAGCACAGTTCTTTCTCTTTGTCTGTGGCTATGTTGACAGCCACGCAGGTGTTAAAAATTTTCTTCTGATGAACTTTGCAGATGGCTAGGTGAGCGTCCGACAGTTTTGGAACTTTAACAAAAGCTCTCAAAGGGATGCCTTCTCCACTATGAAGAATAACAGACAATACCTGCAAGCAGAAACAAAGAATATTGTAAATCTACAACACACGAAAGGCTGTCGATGTACACTTACTAGACAGCTTTTTTGATAAACATCACATGCAAGTTGAAAACCTAACAGCATATTTAATTCTGAATGTTGTAATATGTTATCGCATCCACGCACAGTTTTACTGAGTGTAAAAGCATACAAAATGCTCTTCATAATGCAAATCATCCCACCTTACAGTGCTCTCGAAACACAGATGCCAACTTCTTTTTCAGTTCTTTCTTGCTAACATTTTCATCCAAATTAGTGACGAGTAAGTCTATTCCGCCCCGCTGCTGGTCTAACACGGTAAAGTTATGCAAGCTGGCTAGCCACGATGCTGCAAGTTGTGGTGCCCCCATCATGGATGGGGCAAGAGGAGTGATTCCTGGAAAACTTGTCCCTTGTGTTGGAATATTCATGAAGTTCGGGTAAATAGAGTGTGGCCATATGCCGGTGTAGGAACCATTACTGAACATTGCCTGATGGCTGATAAACTGAGGGGCTGTAGAAGATGAAAGGGTAGGTCCTGGTTTGGCGTCATTTTCTTCTGTGCTGTCCCCTGAGTCAAGACTTGCATCTGTAGGTGTTCGGCTGGGATTGCTCTCTTTCTTTGTAGTATTCCTGGATGGGATTGTGTCTTCAGTGCCAAAAGTATCTAGCAAAGCACAACTGGAATCCTCTCTTCCTTTTTGTAAGGTGCTGGATATAGACTTTGGAGACATACAAGTATCTCTGCCCTTGACAGAATCACCAGTAGCCTCCATTGGCTGTGTTTTCTTATTTTTCTGGGGGCTATATGAATGATGACTACTTGTGGAATATACCACTTGGATTTTGGAACCAAACACATCTTCTTTGTCCATTCTTCGCCTGGCCCTGAGAGAAAAAAAATTCACATTAACTATAATGCCAATACATGTAGGTAATAACAATTTCCTCATGCAAATACCAGTCCTATGAATTTGAAAAACTGGAATAAGGAAACAGTTAGTGAGGTGAATTAGATCTTGGGTATACTAAATGTTTCTTTGTTCCTGTATCTGGAGCTGAAACTGCATTAATGTCACAAACCTCAACATGATCTATGTTGTAATTTACAATTTATAGCAATAAAATCACTGTGACAGTAACATACACTTTCTTACCTTGCAGCACTGGCAGGATTTGGAAATCTCAGAACTGAGGTGCGCCCAGAGATGCTTACAACTTTCCCTCCACAATTATCAGAAAGTTTTTTCAGTCTGTTCTTGACTTGAGCAACATCTTTTCCCATTGGAAGATTGAGGACAAGAAGCTCTGAGGATAAGCCATTCTCCTCAGGAGCCTAAAAAATTTTCAAACAATAAATTGAAGTTTTGTCTTATCGAACTGAGCAATGTACAAATAATTAACTAATGTGCTAAAGTGTAGACCTTCAAAATCTTAACTTTAGGCCATTTCCCTTCCAAGTAACACATTTGTTTAGTCATTCACTGGCACAATGAAGCTGAATTGTAGTCAAGTCTCCCACTGCTACACATATCTCAAAATGTTTTTGGTTTCCTTTTACACAGAGTTTCAGTGGTTGAGGATCCACTCAACATTACGCTACATGTACGGTATGATAAGCAGCAAAAGGGTTACATGTAAGCAGTCAAAAGGTAATAAAAGTCTGTATCACACCACTCCTCCAGCATTTCATCAGGCTTCCCTGACATTTCACTAGTACCCACTTATATTCCTGGGCAGAAAGAGACACAGTGAGACTTAACCTTTCAACTCCCACATCAAATTTGTAATTCTCCTTACTGTGAACTATGCAGTTCTTTTAATGTTAGTTCAGAGAATTTAGTATTGGATCTAATAATTATCCCCAAATTATTATTTTTCTTTATTCTCTTCACTTATCTGGTTGATATTTTGTACTGATATTTTAAGGAGAAATTCTACCTTGGTCACTAATGGAAGCTTAAGGGTTAACTGTGTTGCCTAATAACACAACACATTGACCTGGCCACTGCACTAACCAGAAGGGCACAGTATCTCCAACATGAATAAGTACTGTATTATAATTCATTTCTGCTTCCAGATAATTATTGAACTCAAGGTTCTCAAAGTCCTCAAAGTGAAAAACTGGCATCAAAAGTGAAAAAAAATTTTTTTTTACCTTTGGAGGGAATACAACAGGAAGATCAGCAGTGAAGTGATCAAATCTTCTTGCCTCATGAGCACATTCCAGCAAAGCACCCTGTGCTTGGGCATTGTGAAGACAAATCACATGGAGGTTGTGTCGATGACGTAAATCTGACAGCTCTGCAGCAAAATTGATGTCCCCAGACACCAAAATAACAGTGGCAGGGGGAGGGTATGATTGTGGAAATCTTCTCAAGCTTTGCCTTAACTTGTCATCAGCTGCATTCTTTGAAGTGGCATTGATGTGAACAACAGTAACCTAAATGTAAAAAGAGGTCAGAAAAAAGGGTTTGAAGTTTTAGAAAAGACACTATTTGAACTCTAATTTTAGGTTAGTAGATGAATATGTTCCACAAAATTCTGTATACTAATGGAACAAAACACATGTAAATGTATGATACACTGATCATTGCACAAAATACTTGCTGTACTTAATATTGTTCGTTATAATCCATCAACTAACACCTGATTTGTTTATGTAGGTCTCCTGACCGAATACATCCCAACCAAAAGTGAGGATATAATCACAAACATCTATTTTAGCTCGAATACCTTTGCCAAATTCTCAATTCAGCAAAATGAAACCCTGTGGCACAAATATACATCAAATTACAGGGGAGAAGATTTTGCTGTTGCAGCAGAAGAGATACTGCATGTACTTAATATACTATTTCAGGCATGTACTAAAATTTTTTGATGAGATTCAAAAGATAACAAAGTCAAGTAGCATATCAGAGGTGTGTGTCTCATCATATTATTAGTAAAGACTTCATTTCTGAATTACTTTGGCTGCTTTTTCAAAGCAAGTCCTGGTTCTCATCCTTTCTTATGATTATAAATTTTCATTCACACACAAATTAAATTAATTCTCAAAAGAAGGGCTGAGCACCAGGCCTTGTTTTTAAAAAGAGGCCAAAGGAAAATGGCCTATTTGATAATTATCTGCCTGCAAGTGGACACTTCAATCTTCAATTTACTAGTTTTATATTTGAGTTATCTTTTGCACAAACAATTATTTCACGATCAGTTTTCCCCCTTTGCCTTCCCTTGTTTCCCTGTATTTCTTCCTTGTTGGACATAGGGCTTGTAACTGGTCATCAGGATTTGCCGAGTAAGGGCATAGGGTCCCCACGCACATGCATATAGGACCTGATGTCAGACGTCTCTTGAAGCTCTTACAATTCACTCAATAATTATGTTAAATAGAGAAAATGCAACAAAGATAAAAAATTTTCAGAACTGAAAATCTTACCTGAGCCTTATTAAGTTCTTCAATTATTTCCTTCTTTTCCTTACTGATATCACAAACACACATGAACTCAACCTCACGCTTTCCAGTGAAAAATTCCTTCCTTATCTTCTGAACAACAGCAGACGCTGATTTGCCACGAGGAACTGGGCAATTTTCAATATCCCAGAAAACTCCAATAGGCTCAGCTTCTGGAACCGTTGGGGCTTGACTAGGAGAGCCAGTTACAGAGTTCTTGAATGCCAAAGCTACAATGTAGAACACATCAAGATTGAAATAACTTTTTTGAGCAAGAAACACAATTAATTCTTCCAGCTTCTCTTATTGCTTTTTTTATTACAGGATCTCCAAAGAACCAGCCTTTATATATTGGAAAAAGGAAACCTTGTTTCCTTTAACTTTAATCTGTACTCATTTAATACATCAGCAGCATGTGATTATTCCTTTGGGGGCTAACAATATCAATAAGCTGGTGAGTACTCACATACTTCCCAAGTAATCATAAAAAAATATAAAATTTAGTGGAAACAAGCATGAAAATGTGTCAGCCAAGCAGTAACAATTTAAAACTAACAATTCAATATAAGTTACTACTAAATACATGTAAAATAAACAATAAATTTAAAGATTAAAAAGAAATTATAATTCATCACTCATTATAAAACTTTTGCACAAGAGGTCATTCATTAGTTGGATTCAACCAGTCAAAAATACTTAAATCAATGTAAAAAATCACAGCTAAATAGGACAACACATGGAATTGAATAAATTTTACTCACAGTCTGCATCATTGAGGAGTCCTCGAACAGATGGTGAATTAGGACATTTGTGGCCACCAATACCAGCCGAATCAACAGACAAATCAAAATCACTCAAGGAATCACCAGAGTTTTCATAGCTTATCCCACAAGAAGAACAAACACAAAATGGTCCTTTAACTTGGTAGGTTAACCCAACAGTTGCATGACTTCTGGAACAATTGCAAATTTTTTTTGCACAAGCTGCATGACCACTTGGTATTGATGTGCTAGGATTCTTACACAAGTGTTCAGGTTTGATGAGATTCTGTGGTGAAGCATTTGTAAACATTACTGGGCTGTTCCTCTTAAATTGAAAACTTGAAGACTGGTGAAAATTCAAATTGGAGGAAGGATATCTATGTACATGGTGACCAGATAAGGGCTCTGTTGTGGCATTTAGGCAGGAATGTTGTTGCCTTTCTTGTTCACTAAAGAAAATGGCCTTGCACTGAAACACAAGACAACAAACAAAGAGAGTTAAGCTTCAAGTCAAAATCTGTAAATACAAATTCACCAATCAAAGCAGCCATATTACAAAGGAACGAACAAAAAGGATTCCTCCAAAATATTGCATTTTGTTCTTGAAATGTTGTTAGTACCTGGGAGCAAGATGACATCAGCGAAAACTTTTTTTCACGTCCTCTATTGATGTGTTCTTGTAAAGCTTCTTGTTCCATGAAGTGAGTGTTACATTCATCAAAGCCACATTCACCAGTACATTTAAATGCATTATGGGATGGACAGCGGGCTGGTACTACTTTAAATAAGTGATCTATTAACAAATTAGCAGTTATGAAAAATCCATCAATCAATCATCAAGTTCGGTTGAAGCCAATAAGAGCCTCAATCTGTACATCTATCACTACATATATATACAATTACAAGGTGCTTGGATAGTCTCGTACCAAATCTTTAGCAGCTTGGCTTTTAAGGAGAGCTACAGAAATCCAATTTTTGTATTTCTGTGATAAAGAGACATTTCAAGGTTCTTCCAAATAGCAATTACCAGCCTTCTTATCATCTCCATTTTATAACTTAGGTTGTATTCACTCTCCCCTAATTTGACTTTCTGACACACACTTTGGTAATCTACCGGCGCACAACGTGACGTGGTTGTGTGACTCTGTTGTGTTGCATAATATAAATGATAGTGTGGTTACCGTAACCTCTACTTTACACTATCAACCCATACAAAGAGAGAATACGACCTCTCCATCATACCTGATTGTTTTTTGATGAGTTTAGGATGTCGTTTCGAGCAAAACACTTCTGTACACTGTTTTTGCGTCCACTTGTCGCACAAAACGTCAGTTTTCCGGGCCGCAGTACAATGACGGAAGGGACACTGAATAGCGAAAGTAACATTCTACGTAATTAAATCTAAAAATCCAATAACATCATCAACAATTAATGTGAGTGCGAAATAAAAATCAAAGGAAATACGTTAAAAGGAAAAATTATTTTGATTTGACGTTTATGTAATTTGGGTCAGATTATGTTTACCGGTAAACTTGCCGGAAAATTTGGCAGGTCTCACCTCTCCTGATTTCGGAGAACACCGACGGCCTTCCATGAAGAATACGCAGTCGGTCAGACCTCTGAAGTCCTTTTTATCTAAATTTAGAGCTTCTTCAGAAACAGTATCTGTACATCTTCTCGTCGCTAAAAGTTCCCTGGGCCCTTTCGTTTTAACCGTCTCGCCCAAAATCTCAAATCCATTCATCTTTCTGGCTGCAAGTTCGGCGACCTCTTGCGATAAGAAATTGACGAAACCACACTGTTTAGACCTACCAGAAACATCCCTAAGTATCACTGTATTTTTTAAAGGGCCAAATTTTTGAAATAAGTCGTACAGCACATTTTCGTTCACATTCACAGGAAATCCACCGACCCAGACAGAACAATCAGCCATATTTACGCCATCTTCCCACCCGACCTCAAGGGAGTCTGGGAAATATCCCTGACAGACTATCCCAGAGAGCTAGTCGAGTAATCTTCCTTTCCCGTCTGTCTGACGCATGCGCAAGCTTGAAATAGATCTCCGGGGTTGAACTGATCATAACATCAGGTAATTTAGTGTTAACAACTGGGTTGAAAACGATAATTGGCCACCGTAAAGGGTAAAAAAGCTGACGTTTCGAGCGTTAGCCCTTCGTCAATCGCTCTGACGAAGGGCTAACGCTCGAAACGTCAGCTTTTTTACCCTTTAGGGTGGCCAATTTACGTTTTCAACCCAGTTGTTAACACTAAATTACCTGCTATACTCTCCCACCGACGCAGCACCAGTTTCTTTAGAAACTTACCCCTTTATTCATTGATCTTAACATCAACTTGATTTCCCGCAGCTTACGAGTAGAAAACCTATTTTCTGGGAATATTTGATAGTGGGTCCAGGAAACAAATAATTTTTTTTATAGCCACATAGCTCAATTAATTAGCAGAGAAAGATATCAAGACAAGTACATTTTGAATGCTTCATATTGAGAAGTAATTCACCATCTTTTTGTTTTTTTTCTTCTCAGAAAACTGGTGAAAAACCCAAAGGTCTGATTGGACAGGGAGGGGGGGATTCCCCAAGACCCCTCAACTGGATCTCAATCAGTGCTAAAAATAGCATGAAACATACTTTTATTAGGGTTGTAAACATTGTAGCAGAGTTGATCTTCCAACAATCTTCCCCCTGATTAAGATACCTGTTTATGAATACCCAAACCACAAGATCCTAATGAAAACGCCTGCAAAGCCTCTGACTCTTCATCAGTCATCTGAAATAACTCTTAGTAGGAGAGCAGAGTGGGCATCACATCACACTTAACTCTGCATTATGCTCCTGTGCCTTACACCATTTCCAGTGATATGATTGAGATTAAGGGAAGGCAATGGGGGTGCGGTTGGGGATTGAAGTAACCTGCGATGAAGAAGCAACTCATCCAGATAAAAAAAAATCCTCCCTGAGATTAGAAAAAGTTGAAGGTTAACATTCACACCTTTTCAGTCAATGTTGTCTTCTTTAATAGTGAACATGCTACATTATATAGATAACTATATTATGTACAACTCAGGAGAAAAGCAAGCTGAAGAGTGGAAAAGTGAATTTTTCCAGTCCATTCAACAACCTAAAGAAATTGTTCAAGCTAAACCTAAATAAGCAAAGCACAAAGACATGTCACTCTACTGAACTAAACTCTGAAAGTCAGTTATTTGAAAAAAAGACTAAAAAACCTGAGGAAGTAAGAAAGTAATTCATATTGCAATGATGAAAAGTTCAAACTTTATCACATTAAGCTACAAACTGACCATACATGTGTAATTGTAGTTTAAAATTATGAACAATGTTTGGAGAATAGAATGCAAGGCAACAATTTCTTGCTTATCAAATACAATATTAGCTCCTGACACAGACATTCTCTTAACTTGTCACACCACCCATCCAAAAGGCTATGAAGTGTCTCTTGAATCCAGCAAATATTTTGCAAACAATGTTTCAGTGAGTCATTCATAACTCATAAGGTGACACAAGAGATCATCTGCAAAGGAGGCCTCTAAGATACACTCTATCAATCCTAAAAACAGGGCTTATACTAAACAGTCAGGTTAACATCATAAGATTAAACAAGCTTTTCCATTTCACTTTGGACATGTTCAGCCAGTTCCAAGAATTCTTTTGTCTTGAGTTCAATGATCTTTTGCTGTAAAGTTAATAAGGAAAAGTTAAATTTAAAAGCTTTTCCTGGTATACATGTACAATTGAGGAACAGGTCTTCATTTCACCCACTTGCACAGCATTTGCTATTCATATGTATAAATGTGCACCTTTCAAAATGAGAATTATAACTCTGTTATTATTGATAGGCATTATTGGCTTTTTTTTAATAACATAATGTTATTATTGAGGTTCTCTGACGAAAGATCAAAACTCCAACTGTTGGTTTAAGCTCTGTGTATTATGCATCTAGAATCCTTGGGTGTATAAGCCCTGTTCTACAACACCTTTGATAGATCTTCTCAGTGTTATGAAAGATTAGAAACTACAAAATCAATAAAGGGGGTTAGGGTAAGTTTCAGAAGAAACTGTGACACAGTGTCAGTGGGGTTTTTACTGGATAAATTGATTCAATCAACTGAGTTGAGAATGTAAATAGGCCATCATAAACTGTTTCTACAGCTGACATTTTAAAAGTCAGCCCTATGTCAGAGTGAGGGAGGAAGTGTTAAATCTTGAAAAATCAGCTTTAGAATCTCCATATGATGGCCAATTTTACAACTTAGTTAATAAAACCAAATTATCCAAAATCAAGACTCTGTTAGCCAGAAGATGAATACTTACTAAATTAATTTGGTGAGGGACCACCTCATATTTAGAGATCTTACATACATCTATCAACAAATTGCAAATTAAGTAAGAAAAATATATTAAGATGAAAATTTTTTTCAAATAATTACCATTACGTTCATTTGCCTTTTTGTTTCCAATTCTAAAAATTCTTGCACTGTCCAGTCTTCCTCTTTTTTGTTCAACAACAAAAATTCACATTTCGGAGAATGCTTTCTGTGTTCCTCACTGGAATGGAAATCATTGTTTTTCAAAAAGGGAAGTAATATACAGAAAGAAATCTTAACTTCGGCTGTCAAATAATTAGGAGCATGATTATCAATGAGAAAATGATGAAAATACAAATGAACTAAGCTTAACATGTGAAACGCGTTTCAGAATTTCAGTACCTTAATTTCAAATTAAAATAATTTTTAAGGAACTGTTTATTTTTGGTCTTTAAGTGACACAACAATTATCCTTTCAACTTCGTTTACAAAATTAAAACTCGTTATGATAATATATTAACCTCATCCTTTAGCCGATAACCAACAACTGAACATGTAAGCTGCCTGATATGCATGTCTGATATTCAAATTATAGTCGAGCTTACGTACAATGGATTGTCCTCAGGCTCCCATCCTTCGAGTTCTTTGAGACAAACAAAGCAACGTGCAACATCAACAGAATCATTCGCGCTGTGGAAGAAGCCTGCTTCAGCCATCTGAGAACAGTACAAACGAAGTAATTAATGAGTTTACTGACGTAAAGGTTTGTTTTCTGCAGTGACCTCCTTACCTTCATCGCAGTACAACAAGATCCCGTTTCTTCCGTAAAGGGCCAGTCTTTGAAGGTCTCCAGGCGATTTTTGAATCTATTCATGTTAAAATCATAAGTTAACTCGGCCATGATTCACAATGGTACACTCTCAAAAGTTTTACACTTTTTGAAAAATGGCGGTTTTAGCGGCAACATCTCGCCCCAGTTCTTCCTCACTTCATTACCCAGCCTCTCACGTTAAATTACATCACTCGGTTACAATTACGCCATGGCGAGGGAAAGTATTATTAAATGAGAGAGAATTTTAAGAGTAAATCCACTTCCTTGAGATAACAGCATGGCTCAAATTGTAAGTTACTGGTCATTCTGAAGTCAGGAATCTCCCTGATAAATGGGTAGGAAATATCAAGCCTTCGTTTCGTTTCTTTTTCTTTAGATTGTACGCGTGCAATCCCGCGAAGGGACTTCAAGGATAAAATGTTCGCAAACCGAAACTATCTCGTCATTCTTAACTAAGGTAAGATTTATTTAACTTGAAATTTGAGGATAGCCTATTGTGAGCTTATCATATAGTTTCAAGTGCCCGACGTCTGGATTTCTATGTACTTTTCAAACTTGATGTATACTCAGTCAATCTATCTGAGCTTAAATTATGGTAGAAAAGTTTATTTGTATGAGGCCGGCCGGTCTCGTTAAGTTGAATGGGGTTACTGATCGAATAATTCTTATTTTACTTAGTTAAAACATGTTCTTGGAAATCTGCTGTTAAAATGCTATTCGACAGTTTCGTTATCTTGTGGGTCTTTCGATTTCATAGCTATAGAGGGAGGATGATGACGCACCATCAGTAACATTTTACATAATATGTACTTTGTACAAAATGTTGCCTTGTCCTTTTGCTGGCAGATACATTTTCTCATACTTTGCTCGGCAGTCGTGGCCATTCAGTACATTTTAACTCTTTCCCTTCCAAGATCAGAAAATCTGTTCTCACAGTGACTAGTGACTTATTTGTGAGCAGTTTCTGAGAATTCTTTTGTGATTCAGACAACATTTCTTAACTTTCAGTTTATTTTGATTAAATTTGAGTTTGAGAGAATTTATTGTGATGGTAAGGGAGGTTTATATTATTTCGATACTTAATGTTCATGATTTTGTATATTTTAGATTGTAGAGGAGCTTTCCCTTCCAAGAAGAGGATGGACACTATTTCTAAATAGAAACAAAACTGGAGAAATAAAGAACTCTACAAGAAAAACTTTAGCTTCACTTGGAATAAGGTATGTCAGTCCTACATATTACTTTAGTGTTTGATTGGATATGATTAGAAGTTAAAATTGTGTAATGGAACATCTTTCAACCAATCAAATACTATCATATTATGTTTATATGAAAGATTAATCTTTTAACCCTTAAGAGTGAGTGGCATCTAATGTCTTCTTAGAATTTGAAATTAGAATATTAAGAAATGCCCCTTTCCACTTAAGACTGTTAAAAAAAAGTGATGCTGATGGCAAGTTGAACATAATGAACCAGGAGCTCAAACAAGGGCTGTCAAATTGTACACATTACAACCCCTGATGGTTATGCCCTTGCGTTGACCTTTTAACCCTTAGCAGTAACTAGCATCCTATTTCTCCTTACAATATCACCCCTAAATCATGTAGTAAGGTCATGAGAATAAAGAAAGTTATTAGTAGCAAAAGAAGCTGTTGATTTTTACACAAATTCTCCTTGTCAGCACCTTAGGGAATATATGGGGAACAGTATGAAGACTAGCTTTACTGATGTTAGGGTGTAAAGGGTTAGGACCCAATGTATTGTGGTGATAATTTTGATGCAGGTTTGTAACCTGAAGTTTGAAGAATTGCTAATGTATGGAGCTCATAAAGGAAAAGACATGTACGTACTTCCAAAGTACAGGAGATGAATGTCTTGGATACCACAAACAGATATGCTCCAAATCACACAGAGAAATTTTGCTCTACTTTGTTGTCCTGTGTAATTAGGAAGATACCCTAGCTTATCAGCTAATTAAAAATCAATGAGCGGCATTTGTTGTGCTTTCTTTTCTAGGCATGGAGATATGCTTTTCTTGTCTCGTGAAGCTTCACCAGTTGATAATGATATGTCAGGAGTAAATTCTGTTCCTTTGACATCTGCTGTAAACCTAGCAACCTTGGCATCATCCAATAGCATCAAAGAGGATGAAATTGATGTTTTTCTTTCCAAGCAAGATGGTCTGATTCACAGAGATCGAGACCCACAACTGTAAGTGCAAAGCAGTAAGAGCCCTAGAAAGAAATGAAAAACTGAAAAAAAATTGCCGTCATAATTTGTGAAGAAACAATAGTTCGCAGCACTGTAACCTTAATGATGGAAAGAATGATAACACAATTCATTACACAAACATCTCATTCATACTATACATGTACTTGACGATACAGACTTGAGATGATTCAGTTTTATCCATGGCAAAGTTTCACTATCATAAATGTGCAAGTTATCAGCCATACAGGGTTCTGCAGGAAGAATTATTTCATTATTTAGGACTTGAAAGCTATAAACTGGGTTAAAATATTTATCATGTGGTTTTGCAGATCACCCATCACTGTATTGATTATTAATTTGATATTACTGTTTTAAGTGAAATAAGTAAACTGGGATTCAAAAATTCAAGGGATAAATATATAATGTCTCCATTTTTCTACATTGTTCAGGTGTCATCATAACCCCAACAGCAAATGCATCCATTGTGTACCACTAGAGGTAAGAGGGGCTACATGATTGTATAGAACTTTCTGTTTTTCACTGGAGAGTAATAACTATATTTTGCATTTATTAAGGCTAAAACATTCTAATTATGGGATAAGTCGCTGCAACTTGTCTCTGGAACAGACTTGCTCCATGATTATTGCCTTAAAACGAGTTGCTGCAATCACTACTTTGCTAGAACATGTCACAGTCACAATTCATGTTGAGTGACATAGAAACATTTTGTGAAGATCCTTGTCACTGTGATCATAGTAAAAAGTTTAGTTCCAGTGTAAAAGATATTTTCAGATATTCACCATGCCACATGAAGTGCACTTTCTTGTATACTTTTTCCATTGATTTGTCACAGTGATTTGTCATTTGCATGGAAGTGTGTTTCAAGGTTAGGGTTAGATTACATAATCTTACTGACATCAGTCCAAGAAGCTACATGTATTTGAAGCCTTATATTCAAATTTTAGTTCCCCCATCAAGGTGGACCTTGAATGGTTTACACAAGCTTCACCCTGGGTAGAGCAGCTACATGCTTAATCATTCTTGTGAACTAGAAAATAGAACTATATTTTTTGTAACTTTACAAAAAACTTTGCTTCTTTGATTACTGAATATTATTTTCCATTATATGGCCTCAAAGTTCACTTAAAAAATGTTATTGACTAATATTCTTTTGGAGTTAAAGATGTAAACCAATTCCAATTTACATTAAGAATGATTTAGGCTCAAGCAAGCATCTAGTACATGTTTGAATAGTTCTGACCACTTCATTAGACAAAGTAACATCAGGGCCTTGTTGTTACATTTTTTTTCTTAGCCATATGATGAAGAGTATTTAAAGAATCACAAACCTCCTATCAAGCATATGTCTTTCCATGCATTCCTCAAAAAGATGGGTGGAGGCACAGACAGGTGAGCTTTAAACAACTTAGGTTAAAGAGTGTGGGCAGAGGTTGGTCATGAGATTGGGCTGACTGTTTTGTCATGTACCCTTGATGTTATACTTCCTATCAGTTTATCAGAAGAGATGTTCTGTATTTCAGAGGCAAGTTTACAGTACTGGAGGATACTAGCTGTAGGATCAAACCGGGATGCACAGAGCATCCACCCTGGCCTGGTGGAATTTGTACAAAGTGTCAGCCTGGTGCTATTACACTAAAGAGACAAGTGAGTCTGTTTGTTGATGGGCTGTCATGGACTACAATGAAAGCTCCCATTGGTATTTGCAGGAGCAGAGATCCTAGCATATCACATGCTTGACAAAAACCTTGATAGCTTCAAAACTTACTCTGCACAGTCAGAACTTCCAGGGCAGCTACCCATCCATTTTTTACCCTGTGTCCACTAGCAAGGGTCACTTTCATCAGATGACTGATCCAGTTTCCTTCATTTTTCTTGACGAACAAATCTTCACTTTCTCTCAGCACCAAAGCAGCTTTGTTGTAATTTGTAGAGCAATGTTATTTTCTTTACTTTTTTTCAGGTTTACAGACACGTGGACAACATCCTTTTTGAAAATCCCTTTATCGTGGAACCATTTTTAAACTACTGGAGAAAGACCGGAAATCAGGCAAGCAATCACTTCAGATCTTAATGTTGTAAATCTGTATGGAAGGCAAAACTACTTTCAGCTTGGGTGGGGAAGGTGCTTATTTTTGGTGCTATCCCGCTCCCCACTCCCATACCTACGGGAATCTTGTCCTCTCCGTGGATTGTCATCTTTTGGCAGCAATATGACTAACAAACATACAAACATGACGATCACTTAGGTGCGTTGAGAAATGTTTCATTCTAGCGAGTGTGATACGAAAGAAAAATTCTAATAGCCCCGTGAGGAAAATTGAGATGTGCCATACTCGTTCACGTAAAGCGATTGCAAAACCAAGGATGACGAAAGTCTCTGCCTCCAAAATTATTTCTGTGGCGGAACACTGAACAGTCCCAGAGATTGCCTGTTACAACTCCTTTGCCATTTTCCGTTTTTAGAGGCTGGGATTCCTGTATGGCCGTTATGAGCTCCACAAGGATGTACCCCTGGGAATACGAGCTTCAGTGGCTGCCATTTACGAACCCCCACAGGTAAAAATATCTTTAGTAATCTGCTTCCTTTTTCTAAAGACCACCACCCATTTCACCTGCCAAACCATAGTTAATAGAGTAGAATGGTTAAGAAACCTCGCAGATTTCATAGTTATGCGTTTAAAATTCGTATAAAATTCGTATAAGGAAATCTTTCTCAGGTCAATTGGATACTTTTTTGCTTTTTCTAGTTTCGCGTTTTGCTTTTAGCATTTTTCTTCGGCAATGTTATTGCCAAAGAAAAAAAAATGGTTTTTTGATGTAATTAATCAAACGTTTATGGTGAAGAATAGTAAAACTCGGCACAATAATTCCCGGCCCCTTTAAACGTTAGTTCTCTCTTCCCTTGATAAAAGTTTGAGTAGCACGGGAATAATCCTTCAGAATGATACAACGGGGCGTGAACGTTGCAGTTCTTTGATAATAGTCAGGAATTATTGTTGATGGAGTCTCTGTACATGTGAAGTGTAAAAACAGACATTGATCTTTACAACACCATCTCAATTGATCTTTGGTGCATTTTTGTTAAGTTGTGTGACAACCACCAGTGGTCCCCTCAGTTGTCCTCTGTAAAATTAAGGGTTTTCGAATTTACCTAAATACCGCCAAAGTACTGTGTGGGAAAAAAAACATTAAGATGGCCTTCTTCTCCACAACAATTAAGTCGACTTCTTCACAACAATTGTGTCAACTTTATTTTATATTTACAGCCGTTATTTCAGCTGTTTCATTCTCGTGGTTTCCTCTTGTTCATGAACTTGGTCCTGGGAGCCTGTTTATGCAGGACATGACAGGACCACGAACACGGCACGGTTTGACCTCGTGTTCCGCCTATGCATGTTGTTTAGTTTCTTTCTTCGTTTTTTTTTCTTTCTAGGAAGGCACTCCAGACAGCATTAAGCTCCTTACAGACCCCTTCGAAGCCATAGTTGACAAGCTGGCTGCTGATCTCGGCCTTCAGAAAGTGGGCTGGATCTTCACAGACCTCGTCGCTGAGGATGTAAGAAAAGGCACAGTGAAGCATCTACGGGATATAAACACACACTTTCTTACAGCTGAGGAATCCATCTTGGCAGGTCAATTACAAAATCAGCATCCATCACCGTGTAAATTATCTTCAAATGGCAAGTTTGGATCAAAGTTTTCCACCGTTGTTGTGTCAGGTATGAGTTAGAGTCCATTTTCAAAATGATATTTGGGTCAACACAGGTGAGCGAAAAGTGTGTAACCCCTGCTATAATTGAGGTCCTGAAAGAGTCAGACAGAACGAATACCTGCTCTTAGGGTTATCCTTTGGGGTTCTCTGCTATCTACTCTTAGGGTTATCCTTTGGGGTTCTCTTTGTCTTACCTCTGTAATCCAGTGTTTTATTTTCTTGCCAATTTAATGTTTTTATTCTTGCCACCTGATAGTTCGCTATGTCGTAATATTGCTTTCCTTACTAAAACTTTTCTGTTCCCGTAGTTTAGTTCAGCTCGCCACGGATCATCAGATCTGTGATTAGTCACTGTAGCGTGCACGTGACTGCCGGCAAGAATAATTTCACAGTATTTCTACATATTTTTCTTAACTTTCTTAGGTAACACGGATAACCAAGTTGGTTTTGATGGTTTTCAGGTATGGTTGTTTTATCATCTTTCCTGTTAATTTAACAAACTGAGAACGGTTTTGCCTGCAAGCAGTCTATGCGATTGGATTCCGCCACAACTATTTGTTAGCGAATCGTGTCATATCTACAGCGGTTTTACGAAAATCACGGACAAGAAGAAAAATACAACAACATTTTGAAACAAAAAAAAAACTTAACGGCAGTTCGTAGCCAGAATAATTTTTGAATAATTGAACCATTTTATCATTTGACCATCCTTTCTTTCTCTTCCTACTTTTCTTCTTCCATTCTGCCTCCTGCCGGGGGCCATACGCTGAACCGTGCGCCGTTTGCTGGTCTTTGTTGGCACCTTTGCGTATGGCCCTCGTACGTCCTTTTTTATGTTCTTCACTAAAGCGCGCACCAGGCCCCACGAGTCATAGTTTAATCATATCTACTCAATATATGTTTCACCTTGTACTCCCCTCAGGTGTCCAATCAGTGTATGGCGTTAGTTCGTGACGACTGCCTGGTACCTACTATAGACGAACCAGGTCTCGGCTACGTCCGGGAATCTTCGAGCGATCAATATGTCCCGGATGTTTTCTATAAGGTGGGTACCAAGCACGAGCTCCATTGCGACAAAACTTAGTCCGTGACAGTTTATTTTTCTGTTTGTATAGGTAATCACATGATTTCGAGTGCAATTTTGAGTAAATAACCACGAGTAAATTTTTTTAAAGACTAACAAAATTGCACATTTTTGCAAATAATTTTGTGTTCTTTGAAAAATTAACGAGTGCTTGTTTATTCCAAATTGCACGAGAAAAATACGAGATGGCTTATCATAATTAAGTATGAGCAAAGCGCGTGCACCAAGCGCAAAAATAATTTATTCAAATCGTGCGTTCGTTCAAAACAACCGCGTACGATCAAGACAGCAATACGCAATGATTTCTTCACCTCTTTAAGGCGCAAATAAGTTCAAAGTCCGGCTAAACAGTTCAAGGAATTGTTCAGTCTGTGTCCGAATCACTTTCGATGAAATGGGATCGTCGTTTCCGAGGTTTTGCCATGTTTGTTTTTAATTTTGGCGTTGGATCGCTCGAGCAAAGTGTTAAGCTGGGTCGGCTCGTAATTTTCAATTTCCTTGGCAATTCCCTTCTCTAAACACAAACCGACAACCAAACCGACAACCAAAAAGCAGTGCTTTTTACAGTGTTTTCGTTGTTTGAGCTGTTTTTCAGCTGCGGTGGCGAAAGAAAACCTACTTAAAACGCCGGCCATTGTTTCGCTCGCAAATTTTCAAATTTTGTTGCGACATCTAAGGCTCGCATTTGATTGGCTATCTGTGAGTTTCTTTGATTATTGACCAATCAGAATGTCTGATTTGTTACTTTCTTTGCACTGAATTACCTGAAAACTGCATTTATCTTAACCAATCAGAACTGAGTAATTTGTCCATGTATATTATTAGCTTATTTATTTGTGTTGTATTTCCAGACTGCTGACTCGTACGGTAATGAAGTGACTCTTTTAGCTCGCCCTATGCCTATAGAATATCTGTTAGTTCAGGTGGGTACATTTCACCTTTTTTGTGTAATTTTGTTTTTGAATTGTTTTCGTCTATTTGGCATACTATTGGATGAATAACATGAGTTATTTAAAACAAGAAGCACTTAAACGTGTAAGTGAACATACTGTGGCATGTTTCTTTTTCTTAGTTTCATAGTTTAGATCTCTTTGTTTGTATGTTTGTTCCATTTTGTTGTTTGTCTTTGTTGGTATGTTAAGTCTTTTTTTTTTTAATTTATGTTTTGTTTTTTTTTCCAGGTGCCAACTGCTTTTCCTGTAGAACCTCAGTTTACTTTCTCCAATCAAACTCAGGGAGAACCTTTTCCGCTAGAGAACCGCTCAAGTATGGGAGAAGTTCAGGTAAAAACGTTATGAGCAGTTTTAATACTGCAAAGGTATCCCACATGTGGTTGAAGTTATATAAACCCAGAGAATATGGTCTGACATTTTAACTGTTTAGTGCTGATTGGTGATGAGATACGGAGAGGTGTCCATCAAAGCCGGTCACCGGTGGTCTACCGCTACATATCAGACCTCTTCCGTCTGTTCAGCCTGTCTATGAGTTTCGCCTTAAGCCTCTTTTCCGGGTACAGCCGACTGTTACACCATCGGCAGCCGCACCTGGAAACGTGATGAGAGTACAGTACTTTGACTGTTTACATCACGAAGTATCCAACCATTGCTATCCACCGTTGCTATCTAATTGATATTGTGATGGAAGGCGTGCATTCAAAAATAGCGGTAAAAATGGACAAGAACAGCTCACAACGAGCCATATCTGAGTTGCTTGGGGGCATCTTTATAAAATGTGGGCCTATTTGCTCTAACTATATACTTGCAGAGGTGTTTAGTTTCATAATAAAGGTATTTTTCAACCGTTGTTCGCTATGTGAGGTAAAAATTGTACTTATCTCTGTACTTCAGTGCAATTCGTGTAATTCTGTGTTTTTTTTCTTTTCCCTTGTGTGCAGGATTTTCACGCTTTAGTGAGATACTTAAACCAGTTCCCATCTGATGAGTTCCTACCTACTATGTCCAATTTTCACCTCCTAGTTTTTCTGGCAACTTCCGACATGCTTCCTTTAAAGGTAATGTTCATGTGTTGGCTTCGAGCCTGTGATGAGATCACAGCTAATGAATTGCAACGAGATGTTTTGTAGCTAAAATCTGGTTTTGGCGTCAAGTCAATTAACAGTAAAGGGAAGCTTTTAATTCTGTCCTGAAAAAACCCAGGGCCGGGTTGTTAGTGTGAAATCTGATTTAAGATCTGAAAGCTTTTAAAGAAAATTCAGTCGAATTTCTTTTTGTCTCGAATATGACTATTTGACGCTGTGAAAAGAATACAGAAAATTACCCCAAAAAAGGCTTTTGAACTAAGCAATAGAGATACAGATAGCAATTTAACCGTGGGTTAGCGCTAATCGGCCTTCGAACAACTGGGCCCAGAACCATAGCAACTGCACAAGGCAAGTGGAACATACAGAGGCCACAAGATAAGCCAGTATGAACTGGCATGATGAACACAGTGGCAAGCTCAAAGCAGGAGGAGGATGTGGCTGTAAACTTGATCAGATGATTCTGACCACTCACAATGCAGCTGAACCCTTTACACCCTAACATCAGTATGCATATTCTCCATACTGTTCTGTAAACATTTCCTAAGATGCCGATATGGAGAATTTGTCCAACAATCAGGAGCTTCTTAAGTAGGTGATCAGTTCCTTTATTCTCCTGACCTTAATGTTTGATTCAGGCGTGATGTGGTAAGGAGAAATTAGATGCCAGTCACTCTCAGGGGTTCAAGGGTAAAAAAGCCTGAATCAATCTGTAGCTTGCACAACGGAGGGAAAAATCAGCCAGGCTCGATTCTATTACTTTTTCTCGTAATAAATTTATGTTGAGGTTTTCATGTCTAACTTTCGTTGATAATTTATGTTGTGGCAGGATCACTTAGGAGATCTGTGTACGGCGATCAGAAACAAAGATGCTGAATTGGCTCGGCGCTGGAGTAAAAGTGAACAGCGGTGCACAGTGATACAGCTTATGCAAGCTGCAAAGGGTAAAATGGTTCCCTCAATATCTTTTTTCTTTCCTGTTATTTTCTGTCCCTCTCTTTTTTTTTTGTTTTTTTTTTTAAGTTTTTTTTATTGAATTCTCCCAACCTCCAGAGAGAGGGTCCATATGCTGGTATTGATTGGTTAAGTTTTTTTTTTACTAGTTCAACAACTATTTTTTTTACAGTACAATTTTAATAAAATTGGAACCAAGCGCCTGCAGTATATTCTTTTTTGTTGTTTTTATAAAAGTAAATTCCATATTGTTATTTTATTTTCCCTTTACAAATTAATATATCTTGTCAGGCATCTATGCTTACGGTTAAAATATTCCCTTCTCAGCCCCCTCGCTAGAGCCACGAGGATCAGGGGAGGTGGACATGGTTGATACGTCCCATTCCCCCAGTGGTGCAGGCTGGTCGTGCAAGCACTGTACGTTTATGAACCAACACAGACACGAGAACTGTGATATGTGTGGCTTGCCTCAACACTGAGAAAAGTGATTAAAAGTTTGTTGGAAATCATTATTGCTAAAAGTCAAGATGAAGCTGCAGGACAGACAACAAGGCACAGAATTCAGATAATTGTCTAGTTCGGCTCCGCTGAACATATTTTGGCTTTTTGAGAAGTTCCGCTAAGAACGTTTCTATTTTATCGAATTGTTAACGACACCGTTGAAAATACATCTCTACTTCTCTACACCATATTTAACTGAAAAATAATTTCTGATACAGCGAAACAGCGCGTGCTGAAACCAATGAAGATATTTCAGACGTTCATCTACTGGTGTGGTGCTCTATACAGTGAATGAAAGGGTGTGACAGAGATGTTTTGTGGAACCAAATAAAGCAGTCATCGTTTCTGAGATTTGGAAATGTGTGAATTTATTGGATTATGCGCATGATCACAAGCTGCACTCACAATCTAGAACATGCTTTACAATAGAGCATTTAAAGATTATCAAGTCCTTTGAATAGTTTGGACTGGACTAATTCTAGTGTCTGGCTATGTCGAGTCTCGTTATCAGTGCCAATCCACTAAATTAGTGGAACCCGTACTCCATCTTAAGGATGTACTAAACTGCTCTAGTTCCCCCATCCACTGCATTGCCCAGACAGGAAACCTGTAAAATTTAATTTGGAAATGAATTTTCTCTACCATATGGCATGAAAAAAAAAAAATGATCTGGTTTACCTTGAGCGTGACCATCGGCTTTACATGATACAAGATTATGAGGTCTCGTGAGAACATTGCGAAATAATTCCTTTATTTCTCCTTTTTTCACACCCGTGGTTCCTTTCATTTGAAGTAAATAATCTTTCAACAACAACAAAAAACGCCATCTTTTTTTGGCGTTTTTCCAGGCGATTGAAAGCAAACGCGAGGGGGCGCGAGGAAAGGAGTGGCTTGCTTCTTCGAACTGCTTTCTTCGCGCTACTCTCGCTCCACGCATCCGCCTCGTGCGGTCTTCCGCTTTCTGCAGTTACGTCATCTTACGTCAAAGGTATCCATGGTTACTGTAGTTCTAGTCTTGCTAGGCCACGCTATCCGACAAATCACGCGATCTAAGCGTTTGAAAACCACCAGAAGCAAAATTTCACAAAAAAACTACTGCAAGCGGAGCCAGTACTCTGTGATTAATGTGTTCAGTAGAAATATAATCTCCATACAAGCGTTTAGATGTGACGGAAACTAATGATAGCGCAGAGCAAAAGGTTAGTGTTTCGAAACTGAAAGTGTGAGCTAACCGAACTCCCTCCTTGAAATTGTCTGCGTCATTTGGCAATGAAATCCGCTTGAATATGAGATTTCATTTTAGGCCACAAATGAAAAAACCTTTATCTCAATTTCTTTCTATTCTGATGATTGCTGAGACATCGCAGTCTGACTGAGCTAAATTAACGCATGTTGCAGGGAGCTGATTACCAGCTGAAATCGATCTGCTTACATGACCGCAAAAGAATTGCAAGTGGGCCTCCGAGTGAGAGCTCCAAGTCAACCTTTGGAGGTAAGAGTTTGTGGATTTTATTCCATACATATTGAGTTGAGTTTCAGTTTAAGCACGTTCTTTCTGTTTATTACATCTTGTATTAATCACATTAATACGACCTCAAGTGAATCTACGCCGCGCTAGCAAGCGTTTTGCCCTCCCAATTTTCTTTCGGAAGGTAGGGGTCGGCTGCTTACAGGCGAAATTAAGCATGAAACTTCAAAAATACGTTCTTAAGGGTGAAGGAAATCGCTCATACAGTCGAACGATCGGTTAAATTTTACCGAGTTTGTCGAAATCATTCGACTAAAATCGGGTCATGTAGTTGTGCAACGACTAAAATCTAAGTCTTGACAAAGTCCCAGCTAATACGCGACAGATCGCTTATAAGCACGACTCGATCAGAAACTAACATAGCATTAAGATTCAGATCACCCAGGAGTGCTAACCAATTCGGTATTTAATGTTTGTGAAAAAATCTCTGAGGTAATTTTTAGCTTATGTCAAGTTAACGAGTCTCATTCTTAGCTTCGTGTGAATTGTGCTTCGATAATTTGTTTATCTGCTGCCACGTCGTTCTCGCGAGTCTCTACCCACATAATAGATGGCAATCGAATTGTGGAATAAGTTATTATAGGAGTGTAAACATTTTATTTCCAATGTAAAAGGAGAGTTGTCGTGAGGACATAGAACTTACCGTTGATCGTGATAAGCTGAAAACGATAAGCTGGAAACCACTCCGCTTCACGTCGTGGTTTCCTACGCTTATCTCGTGTTCTCCCAACCTCCCGCGTATTTACATCAGGCTATGTAAACACGGAAACCATTTTACATTTCTTCGTGATCATATAGATTGTTTTGGTGGGATTCTGAATCCAAAGAAATTCTTTTTTTCCCGGATGCGATCAACCTTTAACTTCTCATTACATTATTTCAATATTTGAATACATTGTAAAACACGCTGGTGATTGGAATTAGGAGGCTATCAGCCAAAGGGCCCGGAATGCTGCCCAAAATTCCCCTAATTTGTATGCATGGAAAGTGTCTGACCGGCTAGAAGGGAGAAGTTTTACTCGGATCTCTGTAAGAAAAGGCTCATTTGATTTTCACACTACGTAATATATATCTTCACGATCACAGCCATATGTCACGCTTTTTTAATGTCACGCAAAAGTAGATTTGAGAAGCAGTTGGAAGCAATTTCAAAGAGTAATCAGTGTTCCAGAGGTATTTAAAACTAATTTAATGTAATACCCTTGCTAGCATCGAGATGTAACGAACATTTTTGGAAGTGTAGATAAAAAGTTGAGATATTAAAATCGAACATCAAACTTACTAAAAATTTTGTCTGGGTCAGTTGGTTTTGAAATCGGATATCTTATTCATTCTACCAGTGCTGATTCAGGGAGACTAACGAACAAGCAGCAACCAAATTTCTTGGTTAAAGAGTCATTTACCTTTGCTCAATTAACGATCCAGTATTTCTTCATGGCCACCGCTGCAGCACCTTCGTTCCATTCGACAAAAGAGACAACCAACTACGCTCGCTTATGCAGGCTTCTGGTGGGTGTCAGTGCCCATATCTTGAGAGAGACATTTGACAAAAGGCGTCCGCCAGGAAACCTGGATACAGTTTTGTCTTGTCCTTCGATTCATCGATTGCTAAAATTACTCCGAATTAAAAAAGTACTCAACCCTTCACAATGGGACAAACTGTACCCCGCCATCAAGTCTTCAGTTTCTTCAAGAAATTTCGATATCACTCTACTGATGGTCCTGCTAAGGAACATTTGTGGTCTTGCTCCTCCGGTTACCGGCTGGGATACACTTCCTCTCGCTACAGACACAACCCTTGAGGCAGATTTCGCTCGTATCAAGTGCTACAGAAACACAGTTTATGGTCATGCCAGCGAGGCCTCAGTTGATGACGTAACATTCAATCAATACTGGCAGGACATCCAAGATGCATTGGTGAGACTGGGAGGAGCTGGTTACCAAAGTGCTATTAATGATCTGAAAAAGGAATGCATGGACCCTGATATCGAAGAACACTACAAAGAGCTTCTTAAACAGTGGGTAGTAGATGAAGTCAGCATCAAAGAAAGACTGGATGAAATTGGTAAAAGCCTGGATAAATTAAAGGAAGCAATCGTTAATCCTAAAAAGAGAGCAGGAGACAAAGGTATTGTGTCTTAGCGGTAAAGTCTGTGCAACGGCCTTTTGATCATTCTTGAGAAGAGAAACTTGAAGAGGAAGATTGAAGGGCCTCTCATCACAGGGTATTAAGCAATTTAACAATCAATTCATTTTAGTACCATATGAAATGCCTACCTTCAAAAATAGCTCAAACTCGGAGAAATATCTTCCACTGGAACTGACCCTTTCCTCCCCACCCAAAATTTGAAAAAGACTAGGTGTTGTCTTTTCCATGCTTTTTCGGGCGATGAAAGAGTTATTTTTTATTTTTGTTTTTGTTCCTCATGCGAAAAATAAAGAGAATTCATAGCTGAAATAGGTTCCCTACAAAGATTATTTGCACCAAAAAACTGCCGTAAGTCTTACAGTATTTACCTGGTCGAGTTCGTTGAAAGAAAGAGACGGAAAAAAAGCTAAAATTTTAAATGAACTGTAGACGAAAGGACGCATTCTCTCCCCTAAGTGTACTTAGGCCTTACTTAATCTCTAGCGTAAACACAAAACAAATATGTGTTTTCTGAGTCAAAATTAGTTCCTCCCATGCCGCAAATTCCTGGATCCGAAATGGGTCGGTTAGTGTTGGTAATCACATGGTTTCGAGTACAATTTAGGATAAAACAGCACGAGTAAATATTTGAAATGCGAACAAATTACGCGAACCTGTAGGGCGAGTGCAGTTTGTAGTTTTTGGAAAATTCACAAATGCTGATTTATACCGAATTGCACGGGGGGAAATCATGCGATTACTTGTTAATAATATACTAGCAGAAATATGACTCTGTTTTTTTTTTCGTGTCATGGCTCACTGGTTCGGCCGCTTGCCTTTGCTTTGTGCTGAAGTAGTCGCGCTTTTCCCCATGAATTTGGTTCGAGCTTTTCAACTCACCGTCACGAACAATCGGGTTTTTGTACTCTTTGTTTATTAGGTATCGGTCGACAGCAATAATCAGTACACCTAAGACATCACACTCGTTATCCTCCCCGTCTTTCTTACAAACTATTGCGTAAAATGCCTCGTGAAGTTTGTTTAGCGCCTCCGATTCATATTTTTCAATGCCCAAAACTTCCAAACTTTTGGCCAGTCGTTTTTGCTTTGTTTTGCATTTTTATATTTGGCATTCTTCCATCAAAAACTGAATTAAAAAGGTTATTACCTTCTCGCAGCCTCTTCGCCACTTTGTTTTGTTACACTTTCGTGACTCTCCAAGTTATCAAATTACTTTCATCTATCTACAGTCAATTTAAACTTTTTGTCCTCAATCTTAACTTTGTACACTGTTTGGAGTTAATTGACGTGTTCTCAGCCAATGAGCGTTCTGAAATGTTTGCATGTATATTATTAAAAATGAAATAATTTAACATTTACACCAACTCCTTGCTACGCTTTTCTAATTTCTCGGTCAGAATTTGATGTCAATTAATAACGAAGGGACTCAAAATTAACTTAAACTTTTCGGAAAGCCTTATTAAAGGAAAACTCAGCTAGCGTGATAACCAATCGCGTTCCAAGTCAGGTAGGTCAATGACTCTTCGTCGAGCATTGAAAAAGTTCAGACATGTAGGGTTTATGAAAATAAATACAGGTAACGGTTTTCTTTCCAGCTGTTGCAGAATACTCCGATGCGTTGAAAGAATCAATAAAAAGCCAAACCGAGTACTTCGCTCAGGTTAGATTACATAATCTTACTGACATCAGTCCAAGACGCTACATGTATTTGAAGCCTTATATTCAAATTTTAGTTCCCCCATCAAGGTGGACCTTGAATGGTTTACACAAGCTTCACCCTGGGTAGAGCAGCTAATAATGCTTAATAAAAAAGCTAATGCTTAATAATTCATGTGAACTAGAAAATAGAACTATATTTTTTGTAACTTTACAAAAAACTTTGCTTCTTTGATTACTGAATATTATTTTCCATTATATGGCCTCAAAGTTCACTTAAAAAATGTTATTGAATAACATTCTTTTAGAGTTAAAGATGTAAACCAATTCCAATTTACATTAAGAATGATTTAGGCCCAAGCAAGCAACTGGTATATGTTTGAATAGTTCTGACCACTTCATTAGACAAAGTAACATCAGGGCCTTGTTGTTACATTTTTTTTCTTAGCCATATGATGAAGAGTATTTAAAGAATCACAAACCTCCTATCAAGCATATGTCTTTCCATGCATTCCTCAAAAAGATGGGTGGAGGCACAGACAGGTGAGTTTTAAACAACTAAGGTTAAAGAGTGTGGGCAGAGGTTGGTCATGAGATTGGGCTGACTGTTTTGTCATGTACCCTTGATGTTATACTTCCTATCAGTTTATCAGAAGAGATATTCTGTATTTCAGAGGCAAGTTTACAGTACTGGAGGATCCTAGCTGCAGGATCAAACCGGGATGCACAGAGCATCCACCCTGGCCTGGTGGAATTTGTACAAAGTGTCAGCCTGGTGCTATTACACTAAAGAGACAAGTGAGTCTGTTTGTTGATGGGCTGTCATGGACTACAATGAAAGCTCCCATTGGTATTTGCAGGAGCAGAGATCCTAACATATCACATGCTTGACAAAAACCTTGATAGCTTCAAAACTTACTCTGCACAGTCAGAGCTTCCAGGGCAGCTACCCATCCATTTTTTACCCTGTGTCCACTAGCAAGGGTCACTTTCATCAGATGACTGATCCAGTTTCCTTCATTTTTCTTGACGAACAAATTTTGACTTTCTCTCAGCACCAAAGCAGCTTTGTTGTAATTTGTAGAGCAATGTTATTTTCTTTACTTTTTTTCAGGTTTACAGACACGTGGACAACATCCTTTTTGAAAATCCCTTCATCGTGGAACCATTTTTAAACTACTGGAGAAAGACCGGAAATCAGGCAAGCAATCACTTCAGATCTTAATGTTGTAAATCTGTATGGAAGGCAAAACTACTTTCAGCTTGGGTGGGGAAGGTGCATATTTTTGGTGCTATCCCGCCCCCCACTCCCATACCTACGGGAATCTTGTCCTCTCCGTGGATTGTCATCTTTTGGCCCAGCGATATGACTAACAAACATACAAACATGACGATCACTTAGGTGCGTTTAGAAATGTTTCATTCTAGCGAGTGTGATACGAAAGAAAAATTCTAATAGCCCCGTGAGGAAAATTGAGATGTGCCATACTCGTTCACAGATTTGTCGAGAGTAAATGTAAAGCGGTTGTAAAACCAAGGATGACGAAAGTCTCTGCCTCCAAAATTATTTCTGTGGCGGAACACTGAACAGTCCCAGAGATTGCCTGTTACAACTCCTTTGCCAATTTCGTTTTTAGAGGCTGGGATTCCTGTATGGCCGTTATGAGCTCCACAAGGATGTACCCCTGGGAATACGAGCTTCAGTGGCTGCCATTTACGAACCCCCACAGGTAAAAATATCTTTAGTAATCTGCTTCCTTTTTCTAAAGACCACCACCCATTTCACCTGCCAAACCATAGTTAATAGAGTAGAATGGTTAAGAAACCTCGCAGATTTCATAGTTATGCGTTTAAAATTCGTGAGAGTGCTAAACGGTGTTGAGAACTAAATATAAGGAAATCTTTCTCAGGCCAATTGGATACTTTTTTGCTTTTTCTAGTTTCGCGTTTTGCTTTTAGCACTTTTCTTAGGCAATATTATTGCCAAAGAAAAAAAATGGTTTTTTGATGTAATTAATCAAACGTTTATGGTGAAGAATAGTAAAACTCGGCACAATAACTCCTGGCCCCTTTAAACATTAGTTCTCTCTTCTCTTGATAAAAGTTTGAGTAGCACGGGAATAATCCTTCAGAATGATACAACGGGGCGTGAACGTTGCAGTTCTTTGATAATAGTCAGGAATTATTGTTGATGGAGTCTCTGTACATGTGAAGTGTAAAAACAGACATTGATCTTTACAACACCATCTTAGTTGATCTTTGGTGCATTTTTGTTAAGTTGTGTGACAACCACCAGTGGTCCTCTCAGTTGTCCTCTGTTAAAGTAAAGGGTTTTCGAATTTACCTAAATACCGCCAAAGTACTGTGTGGAAAAAAAAACCATTGAGATGGCCTTCTTCTCCACAACAATTAAGTCGACTTCTTCACAACAATTGTGTCAACTTTATTTTATATTTACAGCCGTTATTTCAGCTGTTTCATTCTCGTGGTTTCCTCTTGTTCATGAACTTGGTCCTGGGAGCCTGTTTATGCAGAACATGACAGGACCACGAACACGGCACGGTTTGACCTCGTGTTCCGCCTATGCATGTTGTTTAGTTTCTTCGTTTTTTTTTCCTTTCTAGGAAGGCACTCCAGACAGCATTAAGCTCCTTTCAGACCCCTCCGAAGCCATAGTTGACAAGCTGGCTGCTGATCTCGGCCTTCAGAAAGTCGGCTGGATATTCACGGACCTCGTCGCTGAGGATGTAAGAAAAGGCACAGTGAAGCATCTACGGGATATAAACACACACTTTCTTACAGCTGAGGAATCCATCTTGGCAGGTCAATTACAAAATCAGCATCCATCACCGTGTAAATTATCTTCAAATGGCAAGTTTGGATCAAAGTTTTCCACCGTTGTTGTGTCAGGTATGAGTTAGAGTCCATTTTCAAAATGATATTTGGGTCAACAAAGCTGAGCGAAAAGCAGCTGTGATAAGTGTAACCCCTGCTATAATTGAAGTCCTGAAAGAGTTAGACAGAATGAACATCTGCTCCTAGGATTATCCTTTGGGGTTCTCTTTTTTGTCTTACCTCTATTGTCCAGTGTTTTATTTTCTTGTCAATTTTTTTGTTTTCATTCTTGCCACCTGATAGTTCGCTATGTCGTAATATTGCTTTCCTTACTAAAACTTTTCTGTTCCCGTAGTTTAGTTCAGCTCGCCACGGATCATTATATCTGAGATTAGTCACTGTAGCGTGCATGTGACTACCGACAAGAATAATTTGACAGCATTTCTACATATTTTTCTTAACTTTCTTAGGTAACACGGATAATCAAGTTGGTTTTGATGGTTTTCAGGTATCGTTGTTTTATCATATTTCGTGCTAATTTAACAAACTGGGAACGGTTCTGCCTGCAAGCAGTCTATGCGATCGGATTCCGCCACAACTATTTGTAAGCGGATCGTGTCATATCTACAGCGGTTTTACGAGAATCACGGATAAGTAGAAAAATACAACAACATTTTGAAACAAAAAAAAAACTTAACGGCAGTTCGTAGCCAGAATAATTTTTGAATAATTGAACCATTTTATCATTTGACCATCCTTTCTTTCTCTTCCTACTTTTCTTCTTCCATTCTGCCTCCTGCCGGGGGCCATACGCTGAACCGTGCGCCGTTTGCTGGTCTTTGTTGGCACCTTTGCGTATGGCCCTCGTACGTCCTTTTTTATGTTTTTCACTAAAGCGCGCACCAGGCCCCACGAGTCATAGTTTAATCATATCTACTCAATATATGTTTCACCTTGTACTCCCCTCAGGTGTCCAATCAGTGTATGGCGTTAGTTCGTGACGACTGCCTGGTACCTACTATAGACGAACCAGGTCTCGGCTACGTCCGGGAATCTTCGAGCGATCAATATGTCCCGGATGTTTTCTATAAGGTGGGTACCAAGCACGAGCTCCATTGCGACAAAACTTAGTCCGTGACAGTTTATTTTTCTGTTTGTATAGGTAATCACATGATTTCGAGTGCAATTTTGAGTAAATAACCACGAGTAAATTTTTTTAAAGACTAACAAAATTGCACATTTTTGCAAATAATTTTGTGTTCTTTGAAAAATTAACGAGTGCTTGTTTATTCTAAATTGCACGAGAAAAATACGAGATGGCTTATCATAATTAAGTATGAGCAAAGCGCGCGCACCAAGTGCAAAAATAATTTATTCAAATCGTGCGTTCGTTCAAAACAACCGCGTACGATCAAGACAGTAATACGCAATGATTTCTTCACCTCTTTAAGGCGCAAATAAGTTCAAAGTACGGCTAAACAGTTCAAGGAATTGTTCAGTCTGTGTCCGAATCACTTTCGATGAAATGGAATCGTCGTTTCCGAGGTTTTGCCATGTTTGTTTTTAATTTTGGCGTTGGATCGCTCGAGCAAAGTGTTAAGCTGGGTCAGCTCGTAATTTTCAATTTCCTTGGCAATTCCCTTCTCTAAACACCACTTTTTCTAAACCGACAACCAAAAAGCAGTGCTTTTTACAGTGTTTTCGTTGTTTGAGCTGTTTTTCAGCTGCGGTGGCGAAAGAAAACCTACTTAAAACGCCGGCCATTGTTTCGCTCGCAAATTTTCAAATTTTGTTGCGACATCCAAGGCTCGCATTTGATTGGCTATCTGTGAGTTTCTTTGATTATTGACCAATCAGATTGTCTGATTTGTTACTTTCTTTGCACTGAATTACCTGAAAACTGCATTTATCTTAACCAATCAGAACTGAGTAATTTGTCCATGTATATTATTAGCTTATTTATTTGTGTTGTATTTCCAGACTGCTGACTCGTACGGTAATGAAGTGACTCTTTTAGCTCGCCCTATGCCTATAGAATATCTGTTAGTTCAGGTGGGTACATTTCACCTTTTTTGTGTATTTTTGTTTTTGAATTGTTTTCCTTTATTTGGCATACTATTGGATGAATAACATGAGTTACTTAAAACAAGAAGCACTTAAACGTGTAAGTGAACATACTGTGGCATGTTTCTTTTTCTTAGTTTCATAGTTTAGATCTCTTTGTTTGTATGTTTGTTCCATTTTGTTGTTTGTCTTTGTTGGTATGTTAAGTCCTCTTTTTTTTAATTTATGTTTTGTTTTTTTCCAGGTGCCGACTGCTTTTCCTGTAGAACCTCAGTTTACTTTCTCCAATCAAACTCAGGGAGAACCTTTTCCGCTAGAGAACCGCTCAAGTATGGGAGAAGTTCAGGTAAAAACGTTATGAGCAGTTTTAATACTGCAAAGGTATCCCACATGTGGTTGAAGTTATATAAACCCAGAGAATATGGTCTGACATTTTAACTGTTTAGTGCTGATTGGTGATGAGATACGGAGAGGTGTCCATCAAAGCCGGTCACCGGTGGTCTACCGCTACATATCAGACCTCTTCCGTCTGTTCAGCCTGTCTATGAGTTTCGCCTTAAGCCTCTTTTCCGGGTACAACAGACTGTTACACCATCGGCAGCCGCACCTGGAAACGTGACGAGAGTACAGTACTTTGACTGTTAACATCACGAAGTATCCAACCATTGCTATCCACCGTTGCTATCTAATTGATATTGTGATGGAAGGCGTGCATTCAAAAATAGCGGTAAAATGGACAAGAACAGCTCACAACGAGCCATATCTGAGTTGCTTGGGGGCATCGTTATAAAATGTGGGCCTTTTTGCTCTAACTATATACTTGCAGAGGTGTTTAGTTTCATAATAAAGGTATTTTTCAACCGTTGTTTGCTATGTGAGGTAAAAATTGTACTTATCTCTGTACTTCAGTGCAATTCGTATAATTCTGTGTTTTTTTTCTTTTCCCTTGTGTGCAGGATTTTCACGCTTTAGTGAGATACTTAAACCAGTTCCCTCCTGATGAGTTCCTACCTACTATGTCCAATTTTCACCTCTTAGTTTTTCTGGCAACTTCCGACATGCTTCCTTTAAAGGTAATGTTCATGTGTTGGCTTCGAGCCTGTGATGAGATCACAGCTAATGAATTGCAACGAGATGTTTTGTAGCTAAAATCTGGTTTTGGCGTCAAGTCGATTAACAGTAAAGGGAAGCTTTTAATTCTGTCCTGGAAAAACCCAGGGCCGGGTTGTTAGTGTGAAATCTGATTTAAGATCTGAAAGCTTTTAAAGAAAATTCAGTCGAATTTCTTTTTGTCTCGAATATGACTATTTGACGCTGTGAAAAGAATACAGAAAATTATCCCAAAAAAGGCTTTTGAACTAAGCAATAGAGATACAGATAGCAATTTAACCGTGGGTTAGCGCTAATCGGCCTTCGAACAACTGGGCCCAGAACCATAGCAACTGCAAAAGGCAAGTGGAACATACAGAGGCCACAAGATAAGCCAGTATGAACTGGCATGATGAACACAATGGCAAGCTCTAAGCAGGAGGAGGATTTGGCTGTAAACTTGATCAGAGGATTCTGACCACTCACAATGCAGCTGAACCCTTTACACCCTAACATCAGTATGCATATTCTCCATACTGTTCTGTAAACATTTCCTAAGATGCCGACATGGAGAATTTGTCCAACAATCAGGAGCTTCTTAAGTTGGTGATCAGCTCCTTTATTCTCCTGACCTTAATGTTTGATTCAGGCGTGATGTGGTAAGGAGAAATTAGATGCCAGTCACTCTCAGGGGTTCAAGGGTAAAAAAGCCTGAATCGATTTGTAGCTTGTACAACGGAGGGAAAAATCAGCCAGGCTCGATTCTATTACTTTTTCTCGTAATAAATTTATGTTGAGGTTTTCATGTCTAACTTTCGTTGATAATTTATGTTGTGGCAGGATCACCTAGGAGATCTGTGTACGGCGATCAGAAACAAAGATGCTGAATTGGCTCGGCGCTGGAGTAAAAGTGAACAGTGGTGCACAGTGATACAGCTTATGCAAGCTGCAAATGGTAAAATTATTCCCTCAATATCTTTTTTTCTTTAACATTAATTTCTGTCCCTTTTTTTTTTTTTTTTTGTTTGTTTTTTTTTTTTTAAAGTTTTGTTTATTGAATTCACCCAACCTCCAGAGAGAGGGTCCATACGCTGGTATTGATTGGTTAAGTTTTTTTTTTACTAGTTCAACAACTATTTTTTTTAACAGTACAATGTTAATAAAATTGGAACCAAGCGCCTGCAGTATATTCTTTTTTTTTTGTTTTGTTTTGATAAAACCAAATTCCATATTGTTATTTTATTTTCCCTTTACAAATTAAGATATCATATCAGGCATCTATGCTTACGGTTAAAATATTTCCTACCCAGCCCCCTCGCCAGAGCCACGAGGATCAGGGGACGTGGACATGGTTGATATGTCCCATTCCCCAAGTGGTGCAGGCTGGTCGTGCAAGCACTGTACGTTTATGAACCAACACGGACACGAGAACTGTGACATGTGTGGCTTGCCTCAACACTGAGAAAAGTGATTAAAAGTTTGTTGGAAATCATTATTGCTAAAAGTCAAGATGAAGCTGCAGGACAGACAACAAGGCACAGAATTCAGATAATTGTCTAGTTCGGCTCCGCTGAACATATTTTGGCTTTTTGAGAAGTTCCGCTAAGAACGTTTCTATTTTATCGCCAGCGGAATTGTTAACGACACCATTGAAAATACATCTCTACTTCTCTACACCACATTTAACTGAAAAATAATTTCTGATACCAGCAGGCGAAACAGCGCGTGCTGAAACCAATGAAGATATTTCAGACGTTCATCTACTGGTGTGGTGCTTTATACAGTGAATGAAAGGGTGTGACAGAGATGTTTTGTGGAACCAAATAAAGCAGTCATTGTTTCTGAGATTTACAAATGTGTGAATTTATTGGATTATGCGCATGATCACAAGCTGTACTCACAAATTAGAACATGCTTTACGATAGAGCATTTAAAGATTATCAAGTCCTTTGAATAGTATGGATGAAGGTGTGGACTTTCCTATTTAATCGTTTTTTGCTTCTTCATAAAAAACCTACGAAATCGAATTTCTTCAGATAGGAGGCAGTTCAGGTCTCGGTTTCACAAATGTCTGCACACAAACGGAATTTTTTTTCTCGCTTTTTTCGACTTGAATAGAGAAATGAAATCGAGAACAGAATAAAAAAAATATGAGTGCACCCGACGTTGAAAATTTATGTTATAAAACGAATTTCTAGGTGATACCAAGAATTCTTGACTGAAGTTATCCTACTCGCTCGTCTCCAAATAATTTTTTTAAAGGGGTCTGCTCCCGATTAAAATTAAAAATTGAAACATAATAATGATAAAAAATATAGGAGAAATCGTCACACCCTACCCAAGGCAAGCTGGACGAAGTCTAGCCTCGGGCTATCTTGAGTCACGTGATCAACGCCAATCCACAAAATTAATGGAACCCATACTCCATCTTAAGGATGTACTAAACTGCCCTAGTTCCCCCATCCACTGCGTTGCCTAGACAGGAAACCTTTAAAATTTAATTTGGAAATGAATTTTCTTTACCATTTGACGTGGAAAAAAAAATGATCTGGTCTATTTTGAGAGTGACCATCAGCTTTACATGATACAAGATTATGAGGTCTCATGAGAACATTGCCAAACAATTCCTTTATTTCTCCTTTTTTCACATCCGTGATTCCTTTCATTCGAAGTAAATGATCTTTCAACAACAAGAAAAAAACGCCATCTTTTTGTTGCGTTTTCCCAGGCGAGTAAAAGCAAACGCAAGGGGGAACGAGAAAAGGAACGGCTTGCTATTTCGACCTGCTTTCTTCGCGCTACTCACGCTCCACACGTCCGCCTCGCGCTGTCTTCCGCTTTCTGCAGTTACGTCATCTTACGTCAAAGGTATCCATGGTTACTGTAGTTCTAGTTTTGCCATGCCACGCAATCCGACAAATCACGCGATCTAAGCGTTTGAAAACCATCAAAAGCAAAATTTCACAAAAAACCTACGGCAAGTGGAGCTAGTATTCTGTGATTAATGTGTTCAGTAGAAATACAATCTCCATACAAGCGTTTAGATGTGACGGAAACTATTGATAGCGCACAGCAGAAGGTTAGTGTTTCGAAACTGAAAGTGTGAGCTAACCGAACACACCTCCTTGAAATTGTCTGCGTCATTTGGCAATGAAATCCGCTTGAATATGAGATTTCATTTTAAGCCACAAGTGAACAAACCTTTCTTTCAACTTATTTATTTCTATTTTGATGATTGCTGAGACATCGTAGTCGGACTGAGCCAAATTAACGCATGTTGCAGGGAGCTGATTATCAGCTGAAATCGATCTGCTTCCATGACCAAAAAGAATTGAGAGTGGGCTACCGAGTGAGAGCTCCAAGTCAACCTTTGGAGGTAAGAGTTTGTGGACTTTATTCCATACTGAGTTGAGTTTCAGTTTGAGCACGTTCTTTCTGTTGATTAAATCTTGTATTAAACACATCAATACGACCTCAAGTGAATCTACGCCGCGTTAGCAAGCGTTTTGCTCTTCCAATTTTCTTTCGAAGGGTAAGGGTTGGCTGCACATAGGCTAAATTGCGCATGAGAATTCAAAAATACGTTCCTAAGGGTGAAGGAAATCGCTCGTAGAGTCGAACGATCCGTTAAATTTTACCGAGTTTGTCGAAATCACTCGAACAAAATCGATCCATGTGTTTGTGCAACGATTACTTACAAGCACGACTCGATTAGAAACTGAAAATAACATTAAGATTTGGATCACACAAGAGTGCTAGCCAATTCAGTATTCACCATTTTAGCTTATGTCAAGTTAGCGGTAGTCTCATTCTTAGCTTAGTGAATACAATCACCGCAGCACCTCGTGCTATTTTGTATTCCCCGTTCGTAATGTATTGTGCTTCATTTGTTTATCTGGTGCCACGTCCTTCTCTCGCGTCTCTATCCACATTATATATGGCAATCGAGTTGTGGAATAAGTTAAATGTAAACAATTTATTTCCTGAGAGTAAAAGGGTAGTTGTCGTGAGGACATAAAACTTATCGGTGATGAACACTAAACCAGTATGTTGTGTATTTGTTCCAAGGCCTCTTCTGTCAGATTATTTGATGATTTAAGTCGGTTACCTTTTCACGAGGAGGCTAAAATTTCCAAACGTCTACTTGCATTTAAGAGACTACCGGGAGAACCGCTTACGTATATTACTCGCCTTTTAACACGTAAAAGTGATCTTCACTCTCGTAACACTAGGTATGTAAACTATAACTTAGTATGCCGAAAGTTTAAACGTAAATCAGACGGAGGTGAAACTTTCAATGTTACCACATGTCAACTATGGAATAGTTTACCTATCACCTTACAACAAAAGACATCAATACTTAGCTTTACAAAGGCCTTGATATATTTTTTCTCGGAAACCGACATAATTTGAATCATTTCATAGTCTAATAGGTTCCTTTTTATAGCTTCCAAACTCTGTCATTTAATCCTTGAGATCTACTTTATTTCAAATTTTATCATAGGACTTTTAATCTTCTTTTAACTGTTCTTCTATTTCTATAATAATGAATTTATTTTAACTTATTAATATATATATATTTGTATTAGTATCATCATATGCATTATATGAGGGCCACAAGTTTATTAACCTTTTGGCTATTGAGTGCTACTCTCTTTAAATAAAGAGTTTACTTACTTACATACTTTGATGTTTATCAATGTCATCGATAGGGTAAGAGTAAACATATGATTAGATTGAGTTTATTTTAAGAATTTTGCCACAGATTACACAACACTAAAGTGTAAAGGAGTATGATCATATACATTGTTTTGGTGGAATTTTGAATCCGCAGAAATTCGTTTTTTCCCGGATGCGATCAACCTTTATCTTCTCCTTACATTATTTCAATATTTGAATACATTGTAAAACACGCTGGTGATTGGAATTAGGAAGCTATCAGCCAAAAGGCCCGGAATGCTGCCCTAAATCACCCCTAATTTATATGCATAGAAAGTGTCTGACCGGCTAGAAAGGAGAAGTTTTACTCGGATCTCTGTAAGAAAAGGTCAATTTGATTTTCACACTACGTGACACATTTCTTCACGGTCCCGGCCATATGTCACGCTTTTTTTTAACGCAAAAGCAGATTTGAAAAGCATTTGCAAGCAATTTTAACAGAGAAATCAGTGATCCAGAGGTATTTAAAACTAGTTTGATGTAATACCCTTGCCGGCCTTGAGATGTAACGGACATTTTTGGAGTGTAGATGAAAAGTTGAGAGATTAAAATCGAACGTCAAACTTACTAAAAATTTTTGTCTGGGTCAATTGGTTTTAAAATCGGATATCTTATTCATTCTACCAGTGCTGAGCCAGGGAGATTGACGAAAAAGCAGCAAGCAAATTTCTTGGTTAAAAAGTCATTGACCTCTGCTCAATCAACGATCCGGTATTTCTTCATGGCCACCGGTGCAGCACCTTCGTTTCATTCGACAAAAGAGACAATCAATTACGCCCGCTTATGCAGGCTTCTGGTGGACGTCAGTGCACATATCTTGAGAGACACCTTTGATAAGAGGCGTCCAACAGGAGACCTGAACGCAGTTTTGTCAAGTCCTCCAGTTCATGCAGTCTTACAATCACTTCGAAAGAAAAGAATTCTTAGTCCTTTTCAATGGGTAAAACTATATCCTGCCATCAAATCTGCAGTTTCATCAAAGAATTTCGATATCACTCTACTGATGGTTTTGCTGAGGAATATATGCGGTCTTGTTCGTCCAGCTACCGGCTGGGATACACTTCCTCCTGCAACAGACGCAACCCTTGAGGCAGATATCGTTCGCATCAAGTGCTACAGAAACACAGTTTATGGTCATGCAAGCGAGGCCTCAGTTGATGACCCATCATTCAATCAATACTGGCAGGACATCCAAGGTGCATTAGTGAGACTGGGAGGAGCTAATTACCAAAGTGCTATCGATGATCTGAAAAATGAATCCATGGACCCTGAGATCGAAGAACACTACAAAGAGCTTCTTAAACAGTGCATCATGGATGAAGTCAGCATCAAAGAAAGACTGGATGAAATTGGTAAAAGCCTGGATGAATTAAAGGAAGCAGTCGTTAATCCTAAAAAGAGAGCAGGAGACAAAGGTATTGTGTATTGGTGGTAAAATCTGTGCAACGGCCTTTTGATCTTTCTTAAGAAGAGAAACTTGAAGAGGACAATTAAAGGGCCTCTTATCACAGGGTAATAAGCAATATTACAATCAGTTCATTTCAGTATTGTAAAATGCCTACCTTTAAAAATGGCTCAGACTCGGAGAAATATCTTCCACTTGAACTGACCCCTTCCGCTTGGACCCAAAATTAGAAAAAGACCAGGTGTTGTCTTCTCCATGCTTTTTTCGGGTGATAAGCGAGTTATTTTTTATTGATTTATTTTTATTTTTTGTTCCTTGTACGGGGAGTAAGAGAACTCATAGTTGAAATAGATTCCCTACAAGGTCATTTGCACCAAAAAACTACAGTAAGTCTTACAGTATTTACCTGGTCGGGTTCGTCGAAAGAAAAAGGGTTGCAGTCTGTCTGTCTATTTTCATGATGAACTAGAGACGACAGGACGCTTTGTCTCCCCTAAGTGTACTTAGGCCTTACTTAATCTCTAGCGTTAAACAGAGAAAAAAATACGTGTTCTGAGTCAAAGTTAGTTCCTCCCGTACCATAAATTCCTGAATTCGCTCTTGAAATGGGTCGGTTACTGTTGATAATCATGCGATTTCGAGTACAGTTCAGAATAAAACAGCACGAGTGAATTTTTGAAATGCGAACAAATTGCACGAGCCTGCAAGACGAGCACAGTTGTAGTTTTTGAAAACTTACAAATACTGATTTACCCTAAACTGCATGAGAAAAATCATGCGATTACTTATTAATGATATCCTAGCAAATATATGACTCTGTTTCCCTCTTTAGTTGTTTAGTTGTTAGGGTCTCCGATTCATGTTTTTCAGCACTGACGGATCTAGGGGAGGGGGCCGGGCTTCCTGGGCCCCTCCCCTTATCTTGGGTTAAAAAAAAAAATAAAAAATAAAAAAAAAAAGGAATCGCAGAAGGAAGAAAAGCCGGCAGGACAAGGGACAAAAAATCAATGACTCTTCGTCCCGCATTGGAAAAGTTAATACATAAAGGGTTTATGAAAATAAATGCAGGTAACGGTTTTCTTTTCAGCTGTAGCGGAATACTCCGATGCGTTGAAAGAATCAATAAGAAGCCAAACCGAGTATCTCGCTCAGGCCTCACCGACCATGTCCAATGTGAGAACAGATCGCATATTCACCAACATTCTCATGCAACATGGAAGAAAGCCAGTCAAAGATCTTGATGTGAAACGAAAAGAACACCTTCGCCAGTACGGTCAAATTAGTGGAAAGCAAATCAAAAGCGCTCAAGAAATATTCATCCCAATCGATGAGAAACAACCAGAATCTGTTCTTGTCACTGGAAAGGCAGGCATCGGTAAAACACTGTTTTGTCAAAAGCTGATCAGAGATTGGGCTGACAACAAATTATTTTTACCTGATTTTAAGTTCGCATACTTGCTCTCGTTCCGTCAGCTTAATCTACTTGGGGACGACCCTGTTACCTTGAAGGATATCTTAAACCGATCTTCAGTGCTAGATGACCACTCAAATATGGACGACTCTATATTTGAGTACATTGTTGATCATTCCGAAGAAGTTTTGATTATCATCGACGGGTATGACGAGTGTTCACAACGACAGTACATCGCTAGTGATTGGGATGAAAAGTACCCAAATAACGCCAAAGAGAAAATGCCAGTAGCAGCATTGTGTGCCAAGCTTATCAAAGGAAAAATACTGAGAGGTTCGGTAGTCATGATCACTTCAAGACCCGACGAATCTGACGAAATGAAAGCCGAAGACATCTATTTTGATAGATACGTTGAAATTACAGGGTTTTCCGAGCCACAGGTTAAAGAATACATTGGAAAATATTTCAGAAACAACGACCGAATGAAAAACATTGTAATGGACCACATTACAAAGAATGTAAATCTTGTCAGCTTTGCCCACATTCCTGTGCTCTGTTTTCTTATGTGCTCCTACTTTGAATATACTCTACAGCAACCAAAGAAGAATAATCCTCTCCCGGTCAAAACAAGTGACCTTTATGATGAAGTGGTCAACATGTTTGTGCAAAAGCACAATAGAAAGAAAAGAGCCTCTCTGGAAAATACTCTGGATGAATTATCAAAGCTGGCAGCTAAACTTCTTGTGGAGAGAAAGTTTCTTTTCCTTCTAGAGGATTTGAAAACTTTGAACTTACATGAGGTTGAACTGATTCTGTCTGGAAGCGGTCTTCTTCATTGCGGTCCTCCTTTCAGAATATCTTTTTCTGCGACGACTAAACATTTTTGTTTTACACATTTAACTCTCCAAGAGTACTTAGCGGCTCGTTGGTTTGTAAAGACAAGAACTATCCCCCCCAGAGATGTGTCTACAGAAGTAGTTTTATTCATGTCCGGTATTTTGTCCAAGCTAAAAGACAATGAATTTGAGGAAAAGTTGATTATCAAAAAATTCGTACATGAAATCGGAAGTGGGCTTCTAATTTATGAATGTCTCCTAGAATACGAAGACATTGAATTTGCCAAGGGAATAATAAAGAAATTTCACAAAATATTCGGCATACGCGATCAAGATCTTTCTGTTTATAGCTTCGGGATGCAGTATGCGGACTGCACTGTTGTGTCTTTTACATTAAATGTTTTTGGTGCACTCAATGCAGAGGAGGAATCTGAATGGAGTAGAATCACTTCACTTAACCTGACGCATATGAAGGTCACCGATGCTGGTGTTGCCAGTCTAAGTCAAGCATTACAGACACCAACATGCACAGTCACAAGGCTTAATCTGGATGGTAACGAGATCACTGATGCCGGTGTTGCCAGTCTGTGTCAAGCATTACAGACACCAGCATGTAAAGTCACCACACTTACTCTGAGAGGTGATCAGATCACCGATGCCGGTGTTACCAGTCTATGTCAGACATTACAGACACCAACATGTACAGTCACCGAACTTGATCTGAGTGGTAATCAGATCACCGATGCCGGTGTTGCCAGTCTATGTCAAGCATTACAGACACCCACATGTAAAGCCACCACACTTACTCTGAGAGGTAATCAGATCACCGATGCCGGTGTTGCCAGTCTACGTCAAGCATCAAAAACAGCAGCATGTAAAGTCGTCTTTTAATCTTTGTGAAAATCACATCACAGACGCCGGTGAGAACCGTCTTATGTATGTTTTGGGAAAACAAATCGACATATCTACTTGTTATGATAGAAAAGTATGGGCGGCCGTCACCAAAAATACAAGGATGTCAAATAGATCAGCAAATACAAAGCTGGTCTAAGGATCAGTTGCAGGATAGCATAGCTAATAAAGGTATTGCATGGCCAAATTATAGACGGTTTAGTTTTCCTTCATCAAACAGAATATGAAATTGTGAAATCGATTAGCTCAATTGCGAATAGCTAAGCACCATTTGCAATACAGTACACAAACGGTGTAGCGCGGCTGCGTGAAATGGCTTAGCGCAATGTCGAATAACACAGCGCACTTACAAACGGTGTAGCGTTGCATGAAATGGCTCAGCGTAATGTCGAATAGCACAGCATACCTACAAACAGTGTAGCGTTGCGTGAAATGCATTAGTGTAATGTCGAATGGTACAGCGAATGGTACAGCGTACACACAAACGGTGTAGTGTTATGTCAAATGACTCAGCGTAATGTCGAATAACACAGCCTTCATACAAACAGTATAGCGTTGCGTGAAATGGCTCAGCGTAATGTAGAATGGTACAGCGTTCATACAGTGTAGCGTTGCGTAAAATGGCTTAGCGTAATGTCGAATAGCACAGCGTACACACAACAAATGGTGTAGCGTTACGTCGAATAGCTTTGCAGAACATCAGACGCTCTAGCTGAACATTAAATTGCTTAGTAATACATGAAATATTTCGATGTTGTGGCAAATCGTCGAGCTTGCTTATGGCGTGACGAGAAGGCTACCTTGCCGAAACCACCAAAAATACAAACCGCAAATGGAACAGCGATCTGCTGGGGGGCATGACGTCATCGAATGTAAAAATTGTCGCGAAACTATCATATGGTGTAGTCGCTGTGTTGAAGAGTCTTCATTTCGCCTTGCCATAAAGCGGAGTCAATTCGTAACTTTTCGGTTAGTTTGAACATTTTATAGTATTAAGTGGTATTATGACGAACACTAAATGTCGATTGTCGAGCCCTCTTTTCTTTTCTGACTTTAACTTGAACGGCTCTTTGAACATTGCAGGAATACGTGAGAAGTTGGAATATTGTGTGTGCCGTAGTGTGCAGAGTTGGACGCCATAGTAAGAAAACTGATATCCTTGATCTGTTTTTACATTTTTCAATCAAAGTGATATCGGAATGCTTTAATTGGTGTGCCGGTATGTATGCGCGCCAAACCAACTCGGAAAAAAAATTGCTTTGGCAAACACTATTTTTGGAACTCGCAAAAATGCATGCGGAAAAAAAACCTTTAAGTGTTTCCGGTCCAGACATGTAATCGACGTTTGATCGAGAAAATAAAAATAGAATTTATTTTTACTATCACTACGCCCAGGAAAAAATAAATACACAAAAAATATAATGTACACCTCTTTAAAACAAGACGCATAACTGCATGAACTCGGGCTTCTTACGGAGTCTCGAATTATAATACGCGCTCGGTAAAATATCTAGTGAACTCCCTCAATACTCGTTCCTTGAATCTTGGCTATATGGTGCTGTTATTGTTTTGTTAGGGTCAATGTACAGTAGAGTTGGACTAGGATTCTTTTCTATATCTTTCGTCAACTTAAATTTACAACAATTAGATATGTTGGTCTCGGTCTTATAAAGACATATAACTCTACTACAGGAAAACAATGACAAATACCGTCTGGCTTTTTATTTCCACTTAATTATCCTTTGATAAACCCTCCTGAAACAATTCAGCAAAACCTTTTCATGCTGTGTGATTTTATTTAAGATTATTATCTTTGTACTACGCTAACATTTATGTTTTTCAATTTTTGCAAATTTTCTAACCTTCATGTGAATGTAACATTGCAGCTTGGAAGACTTTGGTATACTTGGAAGAATACGGTTGCAAACAAATTCCTTCAGTTTTCTGTTCTTGTTTCTCAGACATTTCAGAGTTCGCACTGTTATTTTACTATGTTCTCGATCACGTCTAAATACACGATAATGTCTACGTAGCTTAACAGTAAATAGCTGATTTGATATTGCATAACTCTCAATAGAACGTTCACTCATAATAGTTCACTCGTAAATTGACCTCTCATAAAGTTCGCGGACCGCGGGTCTATCCCGAACTGTGTTTACCTTTTGTACGTGTTTTTAGCGTCTTAGACTTCATACTATTCACTCTTTCTCGGTTCAGCGACAACACATGCGCTTCAGCACGTACCCTCACGCGTGCGCTTTAGCGAGACGGCGATTTGTGACTGAACCGACAACACTAAAAAGAAAGCCCAATTTATAACTCGGGCATTCTGCGAAGCCCGAGTAATAATAAATATAAACAGTCTTCCCCTAGCTTACTCTTATCGTCCGGCACACCAATTAAAGCATTCCGATATCACTTTGATTGAAAAGTGTCAAAACAGATCAAGGCTTTCAGTTTTCTTTTCATAATGCTACTTAATACTATAAGACACTTAAGCTAACCGACGCCTGCAAACTGTTGTAAACCGGGAGGCCGGCAAACCGTAGTAGAATTCAGTCTCGTTGCTATTTCAATTAACGCCTTCACTAGCGACAACGAATAAATGCATTATCGGCTGGGAAAAAAGAGGACAAACTTACCGAACAGTTACGAATTGGCTCTGCTTTACGGCAAGGCGAAGTGAAGACTCTTCAACACAGCGACTACACCATGTGATAGTTTCGCGCCAATTTTTACATTCGATGACGTCATACCCCCAGCAGATCGCTGTTCCATTTGCGGTTTGTATTTTTGATGGTTTCGGCGGGTAGCCTTCTCGCCACGCCACAAGCGAGCTCGACCATTCGCCACAACATCCAAATATTTCATGTAATACTAAGCAAAGCTATTCGACGTAACACTACACCATTTGTGTGAACGCTGTACCATTCGACATTACGCTGAGCCATTTCACGCAACGCCACACACTTTTTCATGTACGCTGTACCATTCCACATTACTCAGAGCCATTTCACGCAACGCTACGCCGTTGGTGCGGACGCTGTGCTCTTCGACATTACGCTAAGCCACTTCACGCAACGCTACATTTGATAAGCTATTTGAACTTTTACCTTCTTTCTAATTTGCAACGGTCGATCTCGGCAAGACGCGAGTGATCCCGAGAAATGTTTCATAAATACCGCAAATCGTACAATTTCGTCCCCAAAATCCGCTTAATGACAGTCAGATAAATAAAGTTCATTTACCTTCGTTTTTCTTCGTCGTCTCGAGTGATTTTGCGGGTTTTGGGACAGTGAATTCCCAACTTTGCATAGATGCCATTCCAAAGGCGAAGGAAAAACACAAGGCGTGCAACTTCCAGGACCGTCCGGAAAGAAAACCTCTAGAAATTTGCCGAATTCCTTCCGCTTCCAGATGTTGTTCACCTCCCAGCTTCGGGCACGTTAAAAGTCGATAAACGTGTAAGAACCAAGCCAAAAATCAGAGCAATTGGCCGCCTCTAACTACCTCAAAAGCCTGCTCGATTTCCGACATTCGCTCATTATCCGCCGTCGACACATGGTGTTATACCTGCTAACTTTTTCCGAGTCAAATGCGTGAGATTTTCGTCTCCTCATGACTGTAATTTCCGAAAATGTTCCGGCAACTTCCGACGATTTACCGAGGACTTCCGAATGCTACTGAACATGTCCCAAGATGTTCGAATGACTTCCGAACACGTCCAAAGCTAGTTGAAGCTTTTCCGATGGCTTTCGAACGTATTGAAGACGTTTGAAAAATTTAAAATTGTTCATTACATGATGATGAGTTATCACCGATTAGTTACAGTTTCCATGCCGTTAATTCCTATTTAAAGATAGTGATACAAGGGTGGCCTTCTGAACCTTACGAAGAAGTCTTTGCTGAGTTTGAAATGATGGCATTTGACACAACGGAACAGGTTAACCTTTACTACAATCAATGCCAAAAGCGTGTCTGCCGTTATGGAGGAGCGCAACTCAGTTAAGTTCTTTCGTACCGTTGAAAATAACCTCTTACAGTCGGCATTTTTATGCGGAATAACAAGGAGGCCAGTAATAAACTTTCGTAGAACAGGAAATCTTTGCTGTCCTGTAACAGGATTTTTCATATTAAAAATTTCACTCCAAACCTCGTCCACCCTTCTGTTCACGAATGCTCCATCTTCTAAAAACATAGGCATGCTATGCATGCAAGAGTTATTTTTGGGGGGTGAGGGGGTGAGTAGATTACTTGAAACATTGTAAGTGATGTCTACATTCTTACAAAACGAAAGAAGAGCATAACGCGGAAAGGAACGAAAATGTCCAGTAACTAACACACAGGTATTTTGTGGTAGGTTGTGTGTGTTGTGCGAATAACTGTAACCAAAAAAAACTGTATCGTTGCCACGGATACCTGTTGGTACAAAATGCAGACTGCAGACTGCAGACTGCAAACCGGATACAAAATGTAGACTAGGTACAAAATGTAGACTGCAGACTGCAGAGTGGGTACAAAATACAGACTGAGAATCTAAAGAGTTTTTCCGTCTGTTATGTGATAACACGTCATCTTACAACTTACCGAGCGTCACGCAATCGCTTTTCCGCGATCAGCTTTCACGATTATTTGCACTATTGTGGAATATTCCTGGCCCATTTCTTGATGAAAATCGATCGTAGTATCTTCATATAGTCCTCTCACTTTGAGTGCGAGTTGGTTGATGTGATGTCTATACAGATTTTACCAACGTAATAAAAGTAGATGTATATGTAGATGTGAATGAAATGTCACTATTGAATATTTAACACACGCGACAGAACTCCATTTTCACTGGAACAACTATCCACCATTTTCACGGCACTGATGAGTAACACGTTTACCATAGGTAATCTGATATCTTTCATCTGTCCACTAATATCGCATTCCTCAAAAAGCGCGGTAAAATACACGTTAAAAACACAGAAAAGCCAAAATTTCTCATTCTAAAAGATGATTTCATTTTACGAAAAGCTCTCTCCGAATTCCCATTATTTCGTTGAAATTTGAACACCTCTCAAACCAAAGAACAAAAACGACGCTCTGATTGGTGCGAAATACATACCCTAATGCGGCGATCCGATTGGTGCGAGATACATACCCTAAACGATCTGATTGGTGCAAGCAACATACCACTCTCTGTATGCTAACATGGATGTTATTTTTTTAAATTAAAAAAAAAAACTCAAAGAGGGTTCAAGCCTATTTGCATCACTGACAGAGTGTAACGCCGTGTTAGAATTCGGTCTTTGTGAAGTTTTTGTTTTTGTGTTATTTTCACGACCGTTCTAAATATTTCCCACCTTATGAGTAATGATTGTAGATATATGAAAATCATATATGTGCACTGCAGTGAAGAAATGAATATAAGAGATCCCCGCAGCTATGAACACTACTGAACTAGTAGTTGAAATGAGACCTGAAAAAATTCAAGCCCGTACGGGATTTGAACCCATGACCTCTGAATATGATTTTCATATATCTACAATCATTATTTATCACTTGGATGGTTTATTTGGAACCAACATAATGACCTGCTCCCAGTTGGCTTGTTAGCTCAGTTGGTAGAGCGCTGCACCGGGTCTATTCATCGTTTAACTGGGATTCGAGTCTTTTATTCCTAATCGAGTAGGACTTTTTGAACTTGGGATACGAATGTTTAGATTGTAGTCATTCTTACTGAAGATTCACACGTATACATCGGGTACTTATCACAAAAAAGAGGTTCTTGATTTTGTTCACTGTTCAGGAGAACTGTGATGACTGGTCTATTAATAAAACCCACCAACAGTCCTCTCCCTCTCCTAGCTTTAACATAACGGAAAAAAGAACAAAACAATACAGCTATAACAAAGTGAAAACCCTTATTTCACCTAATGCCTAATTGACATCACCAAAATTTTTCGTTTCGCAAACAGGAATTTGATCTGAATCACTAACAAAGGAAAGTGTCTCTCCTGGAGCCCGACGTCAAATGCCCGAATATACGTTAGCTACGTTCACATTACTCTGAATTTGTTCTTGTTATTTTACTAATATGCAAACGCGAGCTAACTTTATGAAATCCAGCCTATTACTTACAAAATGTTTACATCATCGTCAATTTTCTGAGGCATTTTTAATTTGAGAATGTCAAATCAAAATTTGTTTTGGTTGTCTGTTTCCTTACTTGTTTTCTTTGTCACTTCATAAACTGTTGAAGAAACTTCCTAAGCAATGTTTTAATTTCCAACTTCCTTTCGCAAAATGCGGGGCAACGACCCAAGAAGGTGTTTAACCTTTCGATTAACCTCGGTTCTCCTTTTTGAATCGTTATGGCTGCTCCAAGGTAAACTTCAATGACCAGAACAACTTCGCTTCTACCAACACAGACATAAGGCCAGGTTGTTACACTGACGATCATCTATCCCAAAATGACGCATACTATTTTTCACTTCAGCGAACCAATGAAGTTGTCCAAATTGTATTCTGTTTCATACTGTTCCTCGTCCCATAGCTCTCCCAAATTTTCAATCATAGTTTTGAGCGAAGTCTTCCCAGTTGCATTCGACTGTTGTGCGCTTGGTTTTTCTCTCTTCTTTTCTTGGTCGACTGAAAAGAGATCCAGGAGTTGTCCAGTATCCATGGTCAATAGGCTTGAGTTGTCTTGCGAGATCACTGTGTTGGCGATGTTCAGTTTAAACTTCTGGAGTCTAACAGAACAAAAATGTCCGAATTGAAGACTCAATTTATAAAATATCTAAGTGTATAGTATGTTATAACTTGACAATTAGGTTTAGAAACGAGAGGACAATGAGAATGTCTTTCATAAGTTTGAGAACAAAGGCAGACGCCAAAGAGGTGTTGACTGTTCTATCCACCTTGGGGAAATTGGAAAGCTGACGACAAGTTGTTATTAAAAACTGGATCATTGGATGATGCAATTTAAGAGTTTTTATTGGCTTAGCCATCATGAGTTATGAGTCATCAAGCGCGCGCATGAAGACGAGTTAAATCGGAAGTGTTTTTATACATTGTAACATTCCGTTTTTCTTACAAAATAAAGTTGGGAATATTTATTTATAGTTTAAGCCATTTTTGATATAACGGTCAATCTACTCGCCCTTGCTAGATATGAGATGATTATCGCCGACGAGGCCCGTCATCTCATATCCAACGGGCGCTCGTGGAACTATTGTGTATTAAGCATTATTCCTTCATAAATAAACTTTTACCGCGGCGTCAATGGGCAAGTGAGACACTTACATTAAAAAAAAAAAAGTGGAAAAACGTTTGAGAAGCTGACTTTTCAAGCGTCACCCACTGTCGGAAAAAACTTTACGAGCGTTAATGTTAGTCCTATCTTAGGATATCTAAATGGCTTAAAGAAGGAGGCTTCTCGTCGAGAGTGTAACGTAAAAAAAACCTATTTGCACTGTGCTGTATGATTCAAATAGTGCTGCTTTAAAACCTACCCCATAATCTTTTCCTCGAGTGTTCCCCGTGTAATCAATCTGTACACGTTTACAACCTTCTTCTGTCCAATACGATGAGCTCGGTCCATGGCCTAAAAAGATGATCGAGGCAATCAAGAAAAGGCAACTGAACTCATCTACCAAAAACAAAGCTTGAGCAAAGTTGGTGAAAATCGGAATATACAGGGGGGAGGGGACAGGTTCAAAAGGTTGGTGGTTACGTACTTGTAAGTCCTTCATTGGGTTCCAGTCGTGCTCTACAAAGATGACCGTATCGGCACCAGTCAAATTCAATCCCAGTCCTCCAACATGCGTCGTCAACAATAGAATGTCGATTGAACGATCGTTGTTAAATCTGAGGATAAAATAAGTCTCTGAGTAACAGAAAAGCTGTTAAACGTCACGTTTATTATCCCAAAAATGCGTTGAAAGCGGAAAATCGTTACCAGGGTGCATCACAGAAACCTGGCAATGATTTGTTCGTGGAGAAGCCATCTGTAGCATATCAGTCTAGGTATGGCATACTTGTGAAAATGTCATGTACTTGTCATATAGTTGTGACGGTTAATTACGTATGCTAATGTCGAGACGATATCTAGGGGGAGGCGTGCACCGAATACAGGACTTGTGTGTATAGGTTATATGTCGTAGGTTGTCTTGTAATATTGTTTGGATACTTGAATATTCATTCATGTCCACAACTATCAAGTCTTGTCAAAAACTATTATAAATCGACCCAGTGGCGCACTTTGATTGTTGGCCATAGCAACAGACTGACCTGTAGCGGACTCAGTTCACAGTAGTAATCTTGAATGATCTTAGGTGGAAGATCTTGCAGTACATCTTCTTTCAGGCGCCTCAATAGGAATGGTAAAACCTGACGATGAAGGGCCTCCATGGCCAAGGCCCCTAAGAATGGGACACATGTGTCAATACAGACCACGGTATCACCTCATTTATGATCCACAACGCCATGAAATCTTACTGAAAGGCGAACAGTCTACTCCTAGAGGACCTTCAATTTTCTACTTATTTACCAAATCGTTACCGAGGAGGGACAACTCGCTTTCTTTAGGGCGTGGTCTTTGGAATAAAAAGGGTGAAGCCGGCAGAAAATCAAGGGTAAAACCATCCAAAATTTTCTATGATAGCTGAAAAGCGAGAGCGTCTTGCAGGGGCCGGTTTCACTTTTTTTCTGGTGGGGCACAACATCTATTGTCCTTTTTGTTCAACAAACGTTAAGCCGAATTTCAGGCTGCTGAAGTGGCTAACACATGTAACTAGCGGCTTCGTGGAACTCTTGAGTGGCGGAAAGAGGATTGGAGCTCTGACGTTCATTTAATGTTTCTACTGCCTTATTTTTCATCACGGACCAAAAGCTACGCAGGCTTTGTGTTAGCTACTAAGTACTCAATTCACGGACACTCACCAGCTTCTTGTTCCTTAGAGGACGATTTTGCGTCTCTACTCTGTAGAATTGGTTTACCAAACCGAGACTGAAACTGCTTTTCACTTCCGAGAAAACCAGGCATTAAGAAATCAAACAATGACCACAGCTCCAGGACATTATTCTGAAAATAAAACATAAGCATGTCAACGTAAAGCACCGTATCAAATCTTTACAAGACTGAACGAAGTAAAGCAATACAAAAAAACTACAAAATTACGCTACTATTCGGAAAGATAACTCATAACAAAAGAGTATGGTGAGAATGAAACAAAAATGAACGACACATTAGAACGAGCAATGTCTCAATTGTCTCAATTTTTAATGTTGTGACGTAGAATATTTCAGAAACATGAACAACGTTTTGCTGTTCGACAGAAGCTGCTGACATTTCCTAAAAGTATACGAGGCAGAGGAAAACATTTATCCACTTCTTTGTTTGTAAACGAAGAGGACTTTAGGATCTACATGTGGAACAACTGTTGGTGCATTGACTAGTCATCTTCCCATATTTAAATCGCAAAGCTTCATTTTCTTAATAAAAGCCCCTCAATTCGTACTTGGATTGGTGTTCCCGAGAGTATAAGTCGATGGCTGGCTCGTAGCTGCTTAATAACTTTAGCAAGCTAGAAGGAAAAACAAAAAAAATCAAATTGAAAAACTAGAACTTAAGCCGCCCACCACGACCAATGTCGACATCAATGACGATGCATTACAAAGAGCTTGTTTACGATTCCGTTCTAACTGCTCAAAGGGGCTGATACTTGTAGGAACTTCTTACCATCCGCCTTTAATTTGAATACTGGACTACATCGCTACCGTTCCATTCAGACCTTTCCAAATCATTCTCAAGCAACAACCATCAATGAAACTTCAATGATAAAAAAGAAAACCTGTTTAAGTTCTGTCAGAGAGATAACATATAGAGAATGCCAAATAAACGATATCTTCGTCTCGACCAGTTTTTTTTTCCTGTCAGGTCTCCTCAACGTTTGCTCTCTAGAGGAAACACCAAGACGTAACCTACCTTTGTTTTTCCATTCTTTATAATGTGGCCCTCGTCAAGGACACAGTAGTTCCAGTGCACTGATCTGTTAGGACGAAACAAACGAGACATTCCGTTGAAATAACTGCTGTGACTTAAGAATGTGTATTTTCAATTACACTTCGGTAACTCTCCTTACCTGAAGAATTCACCATCGTTTCTTACAATATCGTACGATGCCACGACTAAACTGTGATTTTTGACCTTGTTACGAAGTCTAAGAAGAGAAAAGAAGAAAAATTGTTTTCAGTAGTCGAATGTTGAGGTTTTATGGGTGTAGTTTGATCGGTAAGTTCCTGTTGAACCTGTCTCTCGCTTTCAGTGGCCGAGTAAAGGGGAACAAATTCTAATAGACTTTAAATAAGAATTGGACAATTATCATAGCCGCGGGTTGCTACAGGCATCACTTTTCCTAACAGTTCAAGAACTGGTCTAGTTATTCCTCTACGTAGAGTAACGAATATAACTATTAAATTTCCCCTCAAACTACTCGCTCAGAATTTTCAACTACACTTGTATTTGTACACACACCAAACAACTTCCTGTACTTCTTAGAAAGCAATGCACACCGTCAGCGAACACCAAACAGAGTCCCAGGACTAACCTCTGTCTCTCAGACGGCGGGCCTGTATAGTGCAATGGTTTAAGGAGATCTTTGTTAACAAACTTCTCCACCTCGTACACCCAATGTCCTGTTAGTGTTGGTGGGCAAATCACGAGAGAAGGCAAAGGTTCGTAATCAGTATTACCCGTCTCCTATTCGGTGCAGAAAAAAGAGAGAAATGTCGAAACTGTGATTCACACGATTGAAAGTTCACTCGTTTGTCCCGCGATGTAGTTACTGATTTGAATTCGATCTAACACTGGACCCATTCCTATGTGCGAATAGTTTGAATTACTACGTGCGCCTAATGGGGCTCATCACCTTAAAACGAAAAAAGACCAGAAGTTTGGCAGTAGAAAGTGGCCATCATATGGTAACGTTAAACCGTAAGAGAACGTAGAGGACTTTATCTGAATAATCACGGCAAACATGGAACGAACATTTTAGTACAGTACTCTTTCCTCTGTTTTGTTTTGTTTCTCTTTTTTTTTTTTGAATTCCTGATCATTTGCAAAATCAACCTAGATCAGAACTTTTTGACTTGGTTATTGCTACATTTTGCCAGAATAAAGATAATCTCTTGTCACTCCCTAATAAGGAAACTAGAAGGAAAAAACAACTTCAATCTTTATCCAGACTGGATCCGTTGCCTGGGAGTCGAATACTGTACCTTGTATACCATAGCTTTTGCATGGTGATCACCTGCTATGATACAAATAGACTGAAGAGTTTTACCAAGTCCCATGTCTGATCTCACTGTTAAGATACAAATCGAATCCAAAAAACAGACGGAGCTATTCCGATTTATCGAATTTAACTGAACTCAACTGTGCTGTTCTTTACTCAACTCCTCCAGCACCCTGCAATCATTGAGAGGTCTTGGAACGCAATTTATAGTGACATGAAAATGAGTCAATTATGTACGTGAATAATTTGGGCCGAAGTTTTAAAAGGAAAAGTAATGAAGGATACCATCGCATAGAATACCATGCAGCTTGTAACGGTTGAGAAAGGCCAGCCAGTTGACACCATCCTAAATATGAACAAAGTAGAAGAAACTCAAACAGATGACACTAGCAATGCCCATTATTCTTCACACTGAAAAAACATCTGAGCATTCCAAACAAGATACCCGACAACACTGAGTTTTGGTAGACTTATCTCGGCTTTACTGAAATCAAATAGTTACGTTTTCTAAATGCTGCAGTTTAAATTGCACTTTATGCCAACTGTTCCCTCACCCTTCAAATCTGTAAATGATAGTGAGCTTCGGCAGACTGTGTGCTACCTTCGATGGGAGACAAGCTACCCTCGTCGCACACCGTTCAATATGTCATTTCAAATACAGATCACTAGTTCATAATTCCAACATGAATAAAGGCTTTCTTTCCGCTGTTTTCCTGTAGCACCCTACCTGTTGATATTTTCTCAGCTCAGCTTTGATAGGAACAGGAATAGTGTAATTCTCCACCTTTTTACCGTCCAAAAGTTGCTCCAGAAATTTTCGTTTCTTCTGTTTTTGCTCCACCATAGCTTTGGACATGCGGGGCGGGTCAGGAATACCAGACTACAGAAAACAACAGTTGAAAATTAGGGAAAATGAATATAGACTCAAGGAACTTATAAAATAGTCAAAGGGTTCCAGTTTAGGACTGCATGTCTTTCTATCCTAGCTCCGTCGAAATAAAATTACGAACACTTCAGTATGAATCACATACAAATCTCAAGCTGTGAGATATATGTCCTCTTTGTTCTTTTACCTCCGTTCCCATTAGAGGTGTCATCCAACCAAGAACATTACAACAAAGATGATGTACACGGACCATCAAACCATGGCATTAAACAATGACATTTCTGTCAAACCTCTCGCTTAGATGGACAGGGTATATTCCGACAAAATAAAAGACAAGGCAGACAATAGCAAGCTGCGTAAAATGTAGCATGGTAATGCGCTCAGTCATTGTCAAAGTGAAAGACTTAAAACTACTAAAACTACAAGTTAACCTAAATACCTCAAGAGGCATAAGCCTAATAAGTGTGGCAAAACAGTATGCGGCCATAAGTCGAACATCTTCGCACTGGTCACTCATCCGTCCGAGCACAGGCACAACCAGGAGAACAACGTAAGGCACCGCACCCATTCCGAGCCGATCAATTACACCTGATATAAAGCAACCAGTTAAGGATACCAACATATGTGTGTATAGTTAAAACACAGCGAAGATAAGCTTCACTCTAAAATGGCGAGCAGAAATGGACCAGTCACCATTTATCTCGGGGGCGAGGGGAAGGGGGAGAATTTTAGGAGGGATCACTCGGTTTTCTGGTGGAATTGAGGGAGGATCAGTCTATAGGGGACTATGGAAAATTAACTCCCAATGAAGGGGGGGGGGAGTAATAAGAATATTACAAAGCTAAGGGGGGGGGGGGAGGGGAACAGGTAAATCTTATTGTGACACGATCAAAAATCCTCTGACCTGAAATTTTTCTTTAATTGAATCATTCATACCACATCTGTACACAGCCAATATACGCTAAATTTAGACGGAAACCTCATCCTTGCATTAGTTTTGGTGCACTACAATAACTTTCTCGAGCACAGCACTTATAACCAGCTTTTTAAGGATACAAGATATAGCTTCTATAGCTCCCTGACAGTTCCTGATAACATCAGCAGTGCCCATCAGTGGTAAGATATCCTTTACCACTGTCTTCATGGTATCTTCAGTGGACACAGTGCACAGCACACCCAGGCACCTGGCTGCCAAGTGTCGCACTGCACTGTAAGGGTGCTGAAGGCACAGTACTATATTGGGGAGCAAATCTAAAATCTAAAAGGCAAAAATAAAGATTAGGACTAGTTTAGTTCATGTTGATAAGAATATCAAAGCCATTGTAACCACTAGAAGGAAAGAGCACAACATCTTGTGAAGACCTCCTTTCCAGATGACACTACATGCAAGCTCACTGAGAAAACCCAAAACGAGGAAAGTTGCTGGTAGTGTTCAATGTTACCTTAGATAAGAGCTCCACATGCATTGCAGGTGTCAATACTTCAAGAACTTGTAAGCAGTTTATCAGATTTTGGGCTTCATTATCCAGACCAATAAGTTTGTCAGGATCTAGGACAAAAAGAAAATAAGAACATGAAAAGAGATATTTAAGAATTGAGGTAAATATGTCCTAATCTTTAATGCTTTGGAATTCTACATTGTACTATTCAGTCTCTCTCGTGACACATTAGTTATATCATTTCAAAAGTCAAACATGTAAGCTAGACTTCCATGAGTGGCTCGAGGAATTTCCTCCGTACTATTGTTTATCACAGTTGCTTGCCTCCAATCTTCAATGGTCGGTATGAAAAATATCTCAGTATGTATGAAATTGATGCATCACAACTTGGGAATAAATGTGTTTGTGCGCACTTTCCATGGAATAATCTCTATAAGATACACCACTACTCCAAACTACAGTAACACTAATAACAAATTTCAAAAGTATTCTGCTAACACTCAAATCAAGCGAAAAAATTTAATTGCTTTTAAAAATCCTTAAGTATGAAATCCCCTGACTTAAGTTCAATGAGCCCATGTGCAGTACTCACCAAATGAATTTCCATTTGTTATCTGCTGTAAAGGCCCCACAACTGCTTCCCACAGTTTGGGTAACTTTGATGGTAGCAAGCTTCCAAAATGATGTGCTAATTTGACCAGAGAAAATTCTGCACCTCTTCTTTGAATACTTAAAACTTTAGCCATCTATAACAAAAAGATGGAGATTTTCAGAATTAGGTTTATTTAAATGGTAATTTCACACAAGTGGCTGTGAACATAGGACATCTCATAACACATAACCTGATTTCACAAGCTGCAATCTGTTTTAATTTTCTCAGATATTGACTCTATTTAAGGAAGGCCTCACCTCAGAATCATCCATGCTGTTATCATCAAGAGAGGCCACAGATACCCCATCCACAGCAGGTGGTTGAAGCTTGCTACGACCTGCACTGCTACTTGCTTTTTTAGAAGCTGAAGCATTTGCATTCTGTTCAAAATTTAAAAAAAAAAGGAACAGTTCAAAAAAGCCAGTCAGTTCTAAGGATCCATGTGGAACCTTTGAACAGGAGTGATCAAGATGGACACAAATTGTCAAACAAGCAAAAAATTCCTCTTAATGACAAGAAACTCAATCCACTCTAAGAACTGTGGTACTGGAATAAAAAGCCCAATTCAAGAAACCAGAAAAGCAATGCACAAACACAGGCTAAGCAGTACATGTACATTATCATTTCATAATTCTAAGACTACATGCAACACTACTCTTCAAACTCAAACACATAGTAAGCTCTTCCAAGAGTGACTAACAAAAATAAGCAAATAAATGTGGAGACTTAAGTGCAGCGATTATACTATTTGTAACCCAAAGTACCTTCTGCTGCTGAACAAGAGACAGAATCCCATTATACTGATCGCACTGTAAACTGTACCCTCGTTCCATAGATGCATTTTTTCCTCCAAAAGAGACTGAGTTACAATTTGATTCTGACTGTCCTTCAGGGATTGGTGATAAAGGAGGTTCATCAGAAGCTACTGTTAAACTAATATTTACAGCTGGGGTGACTGAAGGATCACTGCAAGCAAAACTACACCGATTTTTAATGATCTTGGCATTTGGACATGGTTCTCTTGTTATACATAGTTCCAATGCTTTTGCTGATTAAGTCTGCAATTGACAAAGAAATATGGAAAAATTAAGAAATTGATATTTCAGTGACTATAACTTATAAACATTTTGCATGTTACCAAGATTGGTATTTCGAATTTTTTTGATAGATTTATACAATATTTCATAAAAAAAATGGCCTCCATTGATTTTCCACTGATCACAAATAGAGTTAGTGCTTGTTATTTTACACTGTTTCGTGAAATCAAGATGGGCAAAAGAAAGGCAAAAAAGAAAAGAGTACAACTGCAAGTGAAAACAACTTGTATCCATGGTGATTTAAGTGATTACAATGAATATCTTATTGCACAATGTACTGAGTTTGCCATATCATGTACATCTTTAAGTTTCAGCAAGTACGATCGTCAGGGGGATCCATGACTTATAGCACTAACTTTTATTCATATTAAGTATTAAGCAATTCCTAAATGAATATTCCTTTACCTCTTGCAGCCTGGGCATAAATCATCCTAAAGATGAAAACCAGTAGGTAACTTTTAACAGCTGCTGACAAATTATATGTTAGTTGTAGTACTTTACCATAGGCAAATTGTACCATTGCTGCTCATTATGTATTGTCCCAGTCAAGAGCACTGTGCATATTTACTCATATGATGTATCAATCTAAGTCAACTATTCCTTACCCTACCTGGATACCAGCTGAGGCATTAATTCCATTCTCTTGCTATGCATTTGACAGGCCCTGAGAAAAGTAAACACTAAATAAATACGTATATCATATTATACAAGTTTCTGATCATGTCCCCATCCAAATAAGTAAGCTATGATCCACACTCTGAAATTAAATTGAAATTTGTGCATTTTGTACAGAACTATTTAGCCTCTTTAGAATAATTATTACCTACATTAAATTGCATCAAAGAGAATAACACCAGTCCCTTGACTTCTTTTGGTGGTGTGCAGTACATCTTGCAAGAAGGTCTCTGTTTCTCACCTGACAATCTGTTTGCAGTCTTGTGTTGAGCACAGCTATCTCATTATTCACAATTCATTCAGATAGAATATTGTTTAACTGTGCAGTATTTCCCTCAGGACAATTGCATCCCTAATAATGCAGAACCACAAATTATTGGAATGCAGAAAATAAGAAATAAATCACACACTTTGTACTACAAAGGTCATTTAGTATTGGATACTTGACATTTCTGTATGATTGCTTCCTTTCATAGCTTATTCAGAACACACACAATAATTCAGAGTCTACATGTATCTATTGATAGCTGAAGAAGGATTAAATTGAAAGCAAAATTTAATAGAGTCAACTATTGCAAGCCCAATCCCCCTTTTTGGCCCAGTTTTTCCATTAATGGTTATCCTCTAGTTGGTGTCCAAGGAACTTAATTTTAAATTCAGGATATGACAGAGGATGTTTATTTCAGGGAGACCCTTAATCAAGGTGGGCGAGGGAGAGAGGGGGAAATAACTGCAGTGTAAATTTGCAAGGTTATATAGATGAGAGTTATTTAAGTTCACCAACAATAATATATGCCCAATGATGTGACTCTGTACTTGTCCATGGATGTGGGAGGAGAGGTGGATTTTATTTGATTGCGTTTGGAACCTTCGTTTCGTCAAAGAGAATACTTTGAGAATCACTCTTTCTTAACTAAACGGAATAAAGTGTCAGACCGAGATGTATCAACTTAATTTGTGTCACACTTAAAGAAATTCTACACAGCTATCCCAAAGTTCTTCTAGTTTTGGCACTCCTATGTCCATGCACACATGAGTTTGTAGTAATTTACCTTTCGGTTTACCTTAAAGAACGTAAATCTGAACCATATATGCAGATCGTAGGAGTAAAATGAGACGTTTAAGTTTCTTTTTAGTCATCTTGTCACTGTACGTTATATACATTCACCTCACGTCGTGTTCCATCATGCATAATTCGCGCAAGAAACTAGTGGCACGCAGGTGCATGTTATGAAGTAGACTTTTATTGCCATTAAGTTTGATTTATACACCAAAGTCAGATGAAATTAAGCTTTGCTACATCACACATTACAAAAGTGGAGCAGGTACATGAACGATTCCCTAGGAAACGAATAACGATCTCATAGCCACGACAACTAACATGAACACTTCGTATGAAAAATCAAAACAGCCAAATAGATAACTCTGGGTACGAAAGACTTATCTGGAGGTTTGAGCTGTTCCAAACAGTCCTTAAATTTCTGTTCCGCAGGTCCTAGTCGGTGTGTAGCCCACCTAAGCACGATCGGTGTTTAGCGCTTGGTAACCACCCTATGTCTGAAATAGAGCTACGTGGGCTCAATATTTTTAACTGCTTCCGAGAACAGTGCGCTAAATCGGTCAACATGGACTCGACAGTCATTGCCATGTTTCCATATCAAATAATGAGGGAGATGTCAGCGGCCAGTATTTCCCTGAGCACCAAAGCTAACCTGTACGTTAGGAGGGCATTGATATCTGGGTTCATATTAAGTGATAAAATAAGTTAACTTGGAGTGTGAGGTGGGTTCTTCTTGTTATTATATTTTCAAAACTAGTGTCAACCGAAGGAATCAGTTAGTGGAATCAGTTAGTTGCATCAATAACTCATTTGTTGGAGGAACTGAATGAATACTGCTTGATCGAACTTGACATGGTAAAATTTACGCACGGCCCCATACTAAATTATGCATTCAGTTCTTGGATAGAGAAAACAATGACAAAAACAATATATTGGCATTGGGGAAACAGATTTTTATTATATAGAGGGTCTTAATTTATGATAGAAGTCTGTTTAAAAAATGTCCGATTCAGCTTAAATTCATATCGCTTTTGGTTTGAGCATGTTTTGAAGAAGTTAATTGTTGAAGTGCTACAAATGCATTGTAGTGAATTACATGTTTTCATCCATTCAGTGAAGATCTGATTTTACAAACCCTTTCACTCCCAGATCAAATTATAATTCTCGTTATAATGTTAGTTTAGGGAATTTAGCATTGGATCAACTAATTATCCCCAAATTCATAGTTTTCTTTATTCTTGTCAATTATCTGGTTGATAATTGTATTGATATTGTAAGGTGAAATTCTGTCTTGGTCACTCATGGGAGTTGAAGGGCTAATCCCTCAGTTTACTTGAGGATGAAGTGGCCTTTTCAAGAGAAAATGTAAAAATTAAAAAAGAAGTTTTGGATATGCACTGGTAATGAGGTAGAAGAAGTTGACATTATCAGAGCTTGAAAGAGTTGAAGAGTTTTGACTGATAACACTTCCTTTTTAAATTCATTGAATCTGTCCAAGTGAAACTATCTATGAATGAGGAGATTAAGGCAAACCATGCTCTAAACTTGCAACCAAGCCAGAGTTTAAAGTGCTAATTTAGCATTGCTTCCTGAGAAATCTTTGTTAGGAAATACATGGGAGTTAACAAAGAATACAGTTATACCTGTAGTTGTCAATGCAAAAATGCAAGTCATGGTTATTATTTTTTGCTGATTTAAGAAACTGGGAATAGTTTTTGCCTCCAAGCAGTCCATGTGATTCAATTTTGCCACAATTATTTATAAGCGAATCATGTCATACCTACAGCAGTTTTACAAAAATCATGGACAACTGGAAAAATACGACAGCATTGTGAGATAAGTTAAAAAAAAACTTGACAGCAGTTCGTAGCCAGAATAATTTTTGAATAATTAAACCATTCTATGATTTGACCATCCTTTCTTTCTCTTTCCACCTTTCTTCTTCCATTCTGCCTCTCGCCAGGGGCCATACACTGGACCATGCACCATTTACTGGTCTTTGTTTGCACCTTTGCTTATAGCCCTTGTACATCTTTCTTTTATGTTTTTCACTAAAGCACGCGTATATGTTTCACCCTGTCCTCCCTTCAGGTGTCCAATCAGTGTATGGCATTAGTTGGTGACAACTGCCTGGTACCTACAGTACTATAGATGAACCAGGTCTTGGCTACATTCCGAAATCTTCGAGCAATCAATATGTCTCAGATGTTTTCTATAAGGTCGGTACCAAGCATGAACTCCATTGCAACAAAACTTAGTCAAAGACAGTTTATTTTTCTGTTTGTTTGTTTATTTGTGTTGTATTTCCAGACTGCTGACTCGTACAGTAATGAAGTGACTCTTTTGGCTTGCCCTTGCCTATTGAATATCTGTTAGTTCAGGTGGGTACATTTTACTTTTTTGTATACTTTTGTTTCTGAATTGTTTTCATCTATTTGGCATACTATTGAATGAATAACATGAGTTACTTAAAAAGCACTTAAACATATAAGGAAGGAATGTGACATTTTTTTTGTTAGTTTCATAGTTTAGATCTCTTTGTTTGTGTGTTTGTTCTATTTTGTTGTTTGTCTTTGTTGCTATGTTTAATCCTCTTTTTCTTTTTTAATCTGTGTTTTGTTTTTCCTCTGGGTGCTGACTGCTTTTCCTTTAGAACCTCAGGTTACTTTCTCCAACCAAAGTCAGGGAGAACCTTTCCCACTAGAGAACTGCTCAAGTATGGGAGAAGGTCAGGTAAAAACATTAAAAGCAGTTTTGATACTGCAAAGGTATCCCACATGTGGTTAAATTTATGAAAACCCAGAGAATATGGTCTGACATTTTAACTGTTAAGTACTAATGGGTGAGGAGATATGGAGAGGTTTCCATCAAAGCCAGTCATTGGTGGTCTACCGCCACATACAAGATCTCTGCAGTCTGTTTAGCCTGTCTATGAGTTTCACCTTAAAGCCTCTGTGTGTAGTTTCATAATAAAGGTATTTTTCTACTGTTGTTTGTTACATGGGTTAAAAATTCTTTGTAGCCCTTTACTTTGGTTCAATTTGTGTAATTCTGTGTTTTCTTCTTTTCCCTTGTGTGCAGGATTTTCATGCTTTAGTGAGATACTTAAACCAGTTCCCTCCCGGTGAATTCCTACCTGCTATTTCTAATTGTCACCTCCTAGTTTTTCTGGCAACTTCCAACATGCTTCCTTTAGAGGTAATGTTCATTTGTTGACTTCGAGCCTGTGATGAGATCACAGCTAATAAATTGCAAAGCGACACTTTGCAACCAAAATCTGGTTTCGGCGCCAAATTGATGAACAGCAAAGAAAGGCTTTTAATTGTCTTAAAAAAAGCCCCAGGGCTGGGTTGTTAGAGTGAAATCAGAAATTGGATATCAGATCTGAAAGCTTTTAAAGAAAATTTGGTTGAATTTCTTTTTTTCTTGAATATGATTATTTGATGCTGTACAAAGAACACAGAAAATTATTCCAAAAGGCTTTTGAACTAAGGAATAAAGAAATCCAGATTGCAATTTAACCTTGGGTTAGTGCTAATTGGCCTTCGAACAACTGGGCTTAGAACCATAGCAACTGTAAAAGGCAAGAGGCAACATGATAAGCCAGTATGAACTGGCGTGATGAACAAAGTGACAAGCTCTAAGCACGAGGAGGATCTGGCTGTAAATTTGATCAGAGGATTTTGACCACTCACAATGTAGCTGAACCCTTTACACCCTAACATCAGTATGCATATTCTCCATACTGTTCTGTAAACATTTCTTAAGATGCCAACATGGAGAATTTGTCCAACAATCAAGAGCTTCTTAAGTAGGTGATCAGCTCCTTTATTCTCCTGACCTTAATGTTTGATTCAGGCGTGATATGGTAAGGAGAAATTAGATGCCAGTCACTCTCAGGGGTTCAAGGGTAAAAGAGCCTGAATCAATCTGTAGCTTGCACAACTAAGGGAAAAATCGGCAAGGCTGGATTCTATTACTTCTTCTCGCACTTAATGTATCTTGAGGTTTTCATGTCTCACTTTTGTTGATTATTTGTGTTGTGGCAGGATCACTTAAGAGATCTGTGTACGGTGATCAGAAACAAAGATGCTGAATTGGCTCGACGCTGGAGTAAAAGCAAGCTGCAAAGGGTAAAATGGTTCCCTCAATATCTTTTTTACTTTCCTATTATTTTCTGTCACTCTCGTTTTTTTTTTTGTTTTGTTTTTTTTTTTGTAGTAAAGTTTTGTTTATTAAATTCACTTAACCTCTGGAGAGGATCCATAGGCTGGTGTTGATTGGTTAAGGATTTTTTTTTACTAGTTTAACAACGCATTACAGTCCTTTTTTTGTTTTAGGAAAAATAAAATTCCGTATCGGTATTTTCTTTTTCTTTCACAAATTAAGATATCTTATCAGGAATCTATGCTTACGATTAAAATATCCTCTCCCCTGCCCTCTCACCAGAGCCACAAGGATCAGGGGATGGCTTTTTGAGAAGTTCCGCTGAGAACTTTTATATTTTATCGCCAGCGGAATTGCAAATCGCACCATTGAAAATGCATCCCTACTTCTCTACACCATATTTAAGTGAAAAGTAATTTCTGATACCAGGGGGCGAAACAGCGCGTGCTGAAACCGATGGAGATATTTCAGATGTTGATCTACTGGTGTGGTGCTTTATACAGTGAATGAAAGGGTGGGACAGAGATGTTTTGTGGATGCAAATAAAGCAGTCGTCGTTTCTGTGATTTGCAAATGTGTGTATTTATTGGATTATGCGCATGATCACAAGCTGTACTTACAATCTAGAACATAAAGAAAGCGACAAAACTTTTGAGTCTGTAAAACATGTTTCGACAGAAACTTCTGTCATCTTCAGTTAATTACTGTACAAAGCGTTGGAAGTTGAATGATGTAGTAAGTAAAACAAAGCTACTGAAGCTGACATAAGTTTCTGTCGAAACATGTTTTACAGACTCAAAAGTTTTGTCGCTGTCTTTAAATTCTTGACTTTCCTGCTAATATCAAAATCTAGAACGTGTTTTACAATAGAGCATTTAAAGCCGGATTATCAAGTCCTTTGAACAATATAGATGAAGGCGTGATCTTTCGTATTTTATCGTTTTTTGCTTCTTCGTGGAAAAACTCACGAAATCGAATTTCTTCAAACAGGAGGTAGTTCAGATCTCGGTTTCATAAATGTTAGCACACAAACGTTTTTTCGACTTGAGTAGAAAAATGAAATTGAGAACAGAATAGAATAACTATCACTGCACCAGACATGGATAAATTATGATTAAAACGAATTTTTTGGTGATACCAAGAATTCATAACTAAAGTTATCCCACTCGCCCGTCTCCAATTAATTTTTTAAAGGGATGTGCTCCGACGAAAGGAATATTGGAACATAATAAAGATAAAAAAAAAGGAAAAAGCGTCTCACCTTAGCCGAGGCAAGCTGGAATAGGTCCGGTCTCGGGCTATCTTGGGTCTCGTTATCAGTGCCAATCCATAAAATTAATGGAGCACATACTCCACCTCAAGGGTGTTCTAATCTGCTATAGTTCCCCCTTCCACTGCGTTGCCCAGACAGGAAACCTGTAAAATTTGATTTGGAAACGAATTTGCTTTACGATATATCATAAAAAAAAACAATGACCTGGTCTATCTTGAGAGTGACTATTGGCTTCAAAAGATTCAAGATTATGCAGTCTTACGCAAGGGTGAGCGAGGAAAGGAGTGGATTGTTTTTTCGAACTGCTTTTTTCGCGGCACTCTCGCTCCGCGCGTCCGCCTCGCGCTTTCTTCCGCCTGTTCTGCAGTCCACGTCATCTTACGTCAAAGATATCCATGGTTACTGTAGTTCTAGTCTTGCTACGTCACGCTATTCGACAAATCACACGACCAAAGCGTTTTGAAAACCATCAGAAGCCAAATTTCACAAAAAACCGAGACAAGTGGAGCTAGCGCTCTGTGATTAATGTGTTCAGTAGAAATACAATCTCCATACAAGCGTTAAGTTGAGACGGAATTGAAACTAATGATAGCGCACAGCAAAAGGTTAGTGTTTCGAAACTGAAAGTGTGAGCTTATTGAATACCCCTCCTTGAAATTGTCTGCGTCATTTCGTGATGAAATCCGCTCGAATATGAGATTTCATTTTAGGCCACAACTGGACAAACCTTTATCTCAATTAATTTGTTTCTATTCTGATGAATTCTGAGACATCGCAGTCTGACTGAGCTAAATGAACGCATGTTGCAGGGAGCTGATAACCAAGTGAAAACGTTATGCTTCCATGACCGCACACCAATTGCAAGTGGACCTCCGAGCGAGAGCTTCAAGTCAACCTTTGGAGGTAAGAGTTTGTGGATTTTATTCCATATTGAGTTGAGTTTCAGTTTGAGCACTTCCTTTCTGTTAATTACATCTTGCTTGAAACACATCAATATACGACCTCAAGTGAATTTACGCCGTGCTATGTTGGGGTCGGCTGTACATGGGCTAAATTAGGCACGAAACTTCATAAGTACGTTCCTAAGGGTGAAGAAAATCGCTCATAGTCGAACGATCGATTAAATTTTACCAAGTTTGTCGAAATCATTCGACTAAAGTCGGGTCATGTGGTAGTGCATCGATTAAAATCGATGTCCTGATAAAGTCCTGATGCACGACAGATCACTTACAAGCACGACTCGATTAGAAACTAAAGAAAATAACATTAAGATTTGGATCACACAGGAGTGTTAACCAATTCAGTATTCAACGTCTGTGAAAAAAATCGCTGTGGTAATTTTTAGCTTATGCCAAGTTAACGGTAGTCTTATCTTAGCTTCGTGCGTAGAATCTCACAGCACCTCGTGCTATTTTGTATTCCCCGTTCATGCTGTTTTGTGCTTCCCTTGTTTATCTGCTGCCACTTCGATATCGTGAGTCTCTACCCACATTATATATGACAATCGAACTGTGAAATAAGTTATATGCGAACAATTTATCTCCTGAATGTAAAAGGATAGTTGTAGTGAGGACATAAAACTTATCGGTGATGAACATTAAACCAGTATGTTGTGTCTTTATTCTAAGGTCTCTTCTGTCAGATTATTTGATGATTTGAGTTGGTTACCTTTTTATGAGGAGGCTACAATTTCCAAACGTCTAATTGCATTTAAGAGACTATGGGGAGAACCGCTTGCGTATATTACTCGCCTTTTAACACGTAAAAGTGATCTTCTCTCTCGTAACACTTGGTATGCAAACTATAACTTAGTATGCCGAAAGTTTAGATGGCGGTAAAACGTTCAATGTTACCACATGTCAACCATGGAACAGTTTCCTTATCACCTTAAGACAAAAGACATCAGTACAAAGTTTTAAAAAGGCAATTTTTTCTAGGAAACCAACACAGTTTGAATCATTTTATAGTTTAACAGGTTCCTTTTTACAGTTTCCTGACTCTTTTATTTAATCCTTGAGATCTACTTTATCTTAGGTTTGATCATAGGAATTTTTGATTTCATTTATTAAACTGCTCTTCTATTTCTGTAATAATGTATTTGTTTTTACTCATATCTATATTCGCATAAGTATTATCAAGTTTCTTGTACAAGGGCCACAAGTTTATATGCCTTTTGGCTAGTAAGTCCTACTCTTTTCAAATAAGGAGTTTACTTGCTTACTTACTCACTTACTTTGATGTTTATCAATGTCATCGATAGGAGTTTTTGCAAAAAATCGGCTTCGGTTGACAATTATGTCTCAAGATAATAACCTACGTATTCAGTAATTTCCTATGAAAATCAGTTCATCATACTGAAATATTATCGAAGACTAAAAACGCTCTGCTCTGACATAGAGTAAACATGATTCGATAGAATTTATTTTAAGAATTTTGCTACAGGTTAAACAACACTGAAGTGTAAAGGAGTATGATCATATACATTGTCTTGGTGGAATTCTGAATCCAAAGAAATAATTTTTTTCCCGGATGCGATCAATCTTTAGCTTCTCCTTACATTATTTCAATATTCAAATACATTGTAAAACACGCCGGTGATTGGAGTTAGGAGGCTATCAGCCAAAAGGCCGGAATTCTGCCCTGGATTCTTTTAATTTACATGCATGGAAAGTGTCTGACCGGCTAGAAGGGAGAAGTTTTTCTCGGATCTCTGTAAGAAAAGGCCAATTTGATTTTCACACTACGTGATTCATATCTTCACGATCACGGCCATATGTCACGCTTTTTTTAAGTCACGCAAACGCAGATTTGGAGAGCATTTGCATGCAATTTTAATAAAGCAATCAGTTTTCCAGAGGGTATTTAAAACTAGTTTAATGTAATACTTTTGCTGGCTTTGAGATGTAACGGACATTTTTGGAAGTGTGGATAAAAAGTTGATATATTAAAATCGAACATCAAACTTACTGAAAATTTTGTCTGGGTCAATTGATTTTTTCAATCGGATATATTATTCATTCTACCAGTGCTGAGCCAGGGAGTCTGACGAACAAGCAGCAACCAAATTCCTTGGTTAAAGAGTCATTGACCTTTACTCAATTAACGATCCAGTATTTCTTCATGGCCACCGCTGCAGCACCTTCGTTTCATTCGACAAAAGAGACAACCAATTACGCTCGCTTATGCAGGCTTCTAGTGGGTGTCAGTGCACATATCTTGAGAGAGACATTTGACAAAAGGCGTCCAACAGGAGACCTGCACACAGTTTTGTTAGATCCTCCAGTTCATTCAGTCTTAAAATCACTTCGAAAGAAAAGAATAGTCAACCCTTCACAATGGGACAAACTGTACCCCGCCATCAAGTCTTCAGTTTCATCAAAGAATTTCGATATCACGTTACTGATGGTCCTGCTGAGGAACATTTGTGGTCTTGTTCCTCCGGCTACCGGCTGGGATACACTTCCTCCTGCAGCAGACACAACCCTTGAGGCAGATATCGTTCGTATCAAGTGCTACAGAAACACAGTTTATGGTCATGCCAGCGAGGCCTCAGTTGATGACGCAACATTCAGTCAATACTGGCAGGACATCCAGGATGCATTGGTGAGACTAGGAGGAGCTGGTTACCAAAGTGCTATTGATGATCTGAAAAAGGAATGCATGGACCCTGATTTCGAAGAACACTATAAAGAGCTTCTTAAACAGTGGGTAGTGGATGAAGTCAGCATCAAAGAAAGATTGGATGAAATGACAGAGCTATTAAAGGAAGCAATCACTAGTCCTACAAAAAAGTTTAAAGCAGGAGACAAAGGTATTGTGTATTAACGGTAAAATCTGTACACGGCCTTTCGATCTTTCTTGAGAAAAGAAGAAGATTAAAGGGCCTCTCATCAGAGGGTAATAAGCAATTTAGCAATCAGTTCATTTCAGTATTATAAAATGCCCACCTTTAAAAATAGCTCAAACTCGGAAAAATATCTTCCACTGGAACTGATCCCTTCCTCTTGGACCCAAAATTGGAAAATGACCAGGTGTTGTCTTTTCCATGCTTTTTTTGGTTGATGAGCAAGTAAAATTTTAATTTTTTTTTGTTCCTCACGCGGGAAGTAAATAGAATTGATAGTTGAAACAGATTCACTACGAAGGGGATTTGCACCAAAAAACTGCAGTTAGGTCTTACAGTATTTACCTGGTTGGGTTCGTCGAAAGAAAGAGATGGAAATAAACTAAAATTCTTAATGAACTGGAGATGACAGGGCGCTTTCTCTCCCCTAAGTGTACTTAGGCCATTCTTAATCTCCAGCCGTAAAAACAAAAACCACGTGTTTTCTGAGTCAAAGTTAGTTTCTCCCGTACCACAAATTCCTGGATCCGCTCCCGAAAAGGGTCGGTTAGCGTTGGTAATCACATGATTTCGAGTACAATTTACGATAAAACAGAACGAGTAAATATTTGAAACGGGAACAAATTGCACGAACCTGTAGGGCGAGTACAATTTGTAGTTATTGAAAAATTAACAAATGCTGATTTATCCCGAATTCCACCAGAAAAATCATGCGATTACTTGTTAATAATATATTACCCAAATATGACTCTGTTTTCCTCTCTAGTTGTTTTTTTTTTCGTGTCATGGCTCACTGGTTCGGCCGCTTGCCTTTGTCTTGTGCTGGAGTAGTCGAGGTTTTCCCAGGAATTTGGTTCGGGCTTTTAAACTCACCGTCACGAACAATCGGGTTTTTGTACTCTTTGTCAATTAGTTATCGGTCGACAGCAATAATCAGAACACGAAAGATATCACGATCGTTATCTTCCCCGTCTTTCTTACGAACTGATGCGTAAAATTCCTCGAGAAGTTTGTTCAGCGTCCCGACTCATATTTTTCAATGCCCAAAACTTTCAGACTTTTGGCCAGTTGTTTTTGCTGTGTTTTGTATTTTCATTTTGGCATTCTCCATAAAACTCTGAATTTAAAAGGTTGTTACCTTCTCCTAACCTCTCCGCCATTTTGTTTTCTTGCGCTTTCGTGACCCTCTTGGCAATCAAATTATTTTCATCTTTCTACAATCATTTTTAACCTTTTGCCCTCAATCTCAACTTTGCGCACTCTTTGGGATTAATTGACGTGTTCTCAGCCAATGAGCGTTCTGAAATGTTTGCATGCATTAATAATGAAATAATTTCACCTTTACACCAACCCCTTGCTACACTTTTCTAATTGCTCGGTCAGAATTTGATGTCAATTAATTGCGAACTGAGTCAAGATTAACTTGCACTTTTTGGAAAGCCTAATTAAAGCAAAACTCAGCTAGCGTGATAACCAATCGCGTTGCAAGTCAGGCAGTTCAATGGCTTTTCGTCGAGTATTGGAAAAGTTAATACATGAAGGGTTTATGAAAATAAATGCAGGTAACGGTTTTCTTTTCAGCTGTAGCAGAATACTCTGATGCATTGAAAGAATCAATAAGAAGGCAAACCGAGTACCTCGTTCAGGCCTCACCGAGCATGTCCAATGTGAAAACAGATCACATATTCACCAACATTCTCATGCAACATGGAAGAAAGCCAGTCGAAGATCTTGATGTGAAACGAAAAGAACGCCTTCGCCTGTACGGTCAAATTAGTGGAAAGCAAATTAAAAGCTCTCAAGAAATATTCATCCCAATCGATGAGGAAGATCCAGAATCTGTTCTTGTCACTGGAAAGGCAGGCATCGGTAAAACTCTGTTTTGTCAAAAGCTGATCAGAGATTGGGCTGACAACAAATTGTTTCGATCCAGAGCAAATGCAGAAGTACCTGATTTTAAGTTCGCATACTTGCTCACGTTCCGTCAGCTTAACCTACTTGGGGACGACCCTGTTACCTTGAAAGATATCTTAAACCGATCTTCAGTGCTCGATGACCACTCAAATATCGACGACTCTATACTTGAGCACATTCTTCATCATTCCGAAGAAGTTTTGATTATCATCGACGGGTATGACGAGTGTTCACAACGAGAGTACATCGCTAGTGATTCGGATGAAAAGTACCCAAATAACGCCAAAGAGAAAATGCCAGTAGCAGCACTGTGTGCCAAGCTTATCAAAGGAAAAATACTGAGAGGTTCGGTCGTCATGATCACTTCAAGACCCGACGAATCTGACGAAATGAAAGACAGAGAGATCTATTTTGATAGATACGTTGAAATTACAGGATTTTCCGAGCCACAGGTAAAAGAATACATTGGAAAGTATTTCAAAAACAACGACCGAATGAAAAACATTGTAATGGACCACATTACAAAGAATGTCAATCTTGTCAGCTTTGCCCATGTTCCTGTGCTTTGTTTTCTTATGTGCTCCTACTTTGAATATACTCTACAGCAACCAAAGAAGAATAATCCTCTCCCGGTGAAAACAAGTGACCTTTATGATGAAGTGGTCAACATGTTCGTGCAAAAGCACGATAGAAAGAAAAGAGCCTCTGTCGAAGAGACTCTGGATGAATTATCAAAGCTGGCAGCTCAACTCCTTGAGGAGAGAAAGTTTCTTTTCCTTAGAGAGGATTTGAAAACTTTGAACTTACACGAGCTTGAAAGTCTGTGTGGAAGCGGCCTTCTTCATTGCGGTCCTCCTTTCAGAACATCTTTTTCTGCGACTAATAAACATTTTTGTTTTACGCATTTAACTCTCCAAGAGTACTTAGCGGCTCGTTGTCTCGTAAAGACAAGAAAAATCCCACCCGGAGATGTGTCTACAGAAGTAGTTCTATTTATGTCCGGTATTTTGTCCAAGGAAAAAGACAACGAATTTGTGGAAAAGTTGATTATCGAAAAGATTCTCAGCGTCTTATCGACAAGTAGAACTTCAAAGGGGCTTTTAATTTCCAAATGTCTCCTAGAATACGAAGACATCGAGTTTGCCAAGGAAATAGTAAAGAAATTTCGCAACGTATTCTGCCCACTTGTTGGAGATTTTGATCTTTCTGACTTGGAGAGCGCCATTGTGGACTGCATTACTGTGTCTTTCGCATTGATGGTTTTTGGCGAACTTAATGCAGAGGAAAAATCTGAAGGGAGTAGAATCACCACACTTAACCTGAGTCATCGGAATGTCGCCAATTTTGCCAGTCTATGTCAAGCATTACAGACACCAACATGTAAAGTCACCGAACTTAATCTGGGTTTTACTCAGATCACCGATGGCGGTGTTGCCAGTCTATGTCAAGCATTGCAGACACCCACATGTAAAGTCACCGAACTTCTTCTACCTGGTAATCAGATCACCGATGCCGGTGTTGCCAGTCTATGTCAAGCATTACAGACACCAACATGTAAACTCACCGAACTTCATCTGGATGATAATCAGATCACCGATGCCGGTGTTGCCAGTCTATGTCAAGCATTACAGACACCAACATGTAAAGTCACCGAACTTGATCTGGGTGGTAATCAGATCACCGATGCCGGTGTTGCCAGTCTATCTCAAGCATTACAGACACCAACATGTAAAGTCACCGCACTTGATCTGGATAGTAATCAGATCACCGATGCCGGTGTTGCCAGTCTATGTCAAGCATTACAGACACCAACATGTAAAGTCACCACACTTTATCTGGATGCTAATCAGATCACCGATGCCGGTGTTGCCAGTCTATGTCAAGCATTACAGACACCAACATGTAAAGTCACCGAACTTTATCTGGGTTATAATCAGATCACCGATGCCGGTGTTGCCAGTCTATGTCAAGCATTACAGACACCAACATGTAAAGTCACCAAACTTGATCTGGGTGGTAATCAGATCACCGATGCCGGTGTTGCCAGTCTATGTCAAGCATTACAGACACCAACATGTAAAGTCACCGAACTTCATCTGGGTGGTAATCAGATCACCGATGCCGGTGTTGCCAGTCTATGTCAAGCATTACAGACACCAACATGTAAAGTCACCAAACTCCGTCTGTATGGTAATCAGATCACCGAGGCCGCTGAGAAGCGTCTAATGTATATTTTGATAGAAAACTGTCGTATCTACGCTTCCTATGATGAAGAAGAAAACATTGGCAAATACCTTTATTTTTAGAAAAGATATACGAAAGTTCAAAGACAGGGTTGACATAGACAATTTCAATAGTGAACGCTTCAACGCTGTAAACACATTATCCTTTTTTGTTCTTGAAATGCATTTATTACTTAATGTTTGCATAAATTAAAGATTTTCATTAAAAAATCACAAGATTTCGAGAACAATTTGGGATAAATTAGCACGAGTGAACTGTTCAAAGGCTAACCAAATTGCATGCGCCCGTAAGGCGTGTGAAATTTTTAGTTCTTGAAAAATATACGAGTGCTTAGTTAACTAACATAACCCTAACCCTAACCCTAACCCTAACCCTAACCCTAACCCTAACCCTAACCCTAACCCTAACCCTAACCCTAACCCTAACCCTAACCCTAACCCTAACCCTAACCCTAACCCTAACCCAAATTGTACGAGAAAAAAAGTGATTATCTGTTAATAATGTACATGCAAAATTCAGTTTTCCTCTTAGTCGTGTTTATTTCGTGTCATGTCTTAGTGGCTCGGCCGCTTGCCTTTGTGCTGTTGCCGGAGTAGTAAGGGTTTCACGTCTCTCAGTCATAAGACAGCGCAAGAAAGCATTTTGTGCGATCGCGAATGTTGCCTATCATAACCGGTTAAGGGCCAGACAAATCGGAGGGGGGGGAAGGGTGGAGTGAGGGAAATAACCTTGATGATATCAGTCTTTTTGTCTCCCCTCGAAAATTATTTGATCACGACAGTAATTTAACCCTTTATTTACAATTTTAAAAGAGTTCAAGTCTATTTGGATCACAGAGAGAGCGTAATGCGCCGAGTCAGGATTCTGTCTTCTTGAAGTTTTTGTTTTCGTGTTATTTTCACGACCGTTCTAAATATTCCCACCTTATTCTACGCTTGGTGACCTTAGAGTAAACTTTGATTTGGACTGCTTAGATTCGCTAAATTCGTTCGTTAATTGGAACACATTCCAAAATCCTCCCTTAACCTTTTGTGCATCCCTGCGACTAAACAGTTCCCCACCCTACCCGGGTCTAGTCATTGTTTAACTGGGATTCATCGAGTCTTTATTCCTAATCGAGTAGAAGTTTTTGAACTTAACATCCAAATGCTTAGATTGTAGCCATTCTTATTGAAGATTCAAACGGATACTTCGGGTACTTATCACAAAAAAGAAGTTCTTGATTTTGTTCACTGTTCAGGAGAACTGTGATGACCGGTCTATTAATAAAAACCACCAACAGTCCTCTCCTTCTCCTAGCTTTGACATAACGGAAAAAAGGAACAAAACAATACAACTATAACAAAGTGAAAACCTTTATTCCACCACATGCCTGATTGACATCACCAAAAATGTTTCGTTTCGTAAGCGGGAATTTGATCTGAATCACAAACAAAGGAAAGTGTCTTTCCTGGAGCGCGACGTCCAATGCCCGAATATACGCTAGCTGCGTTCAAATCAATCTGAATGTGTTCTTGTTATTTTAATAATATGCAAACGCGAGCTAACTTTATGAAATCCAGCCTACTACTTACAAAATGTGTACATCATCGTCAATTTTCTGAGGCATTTTTAATTTGAGAATGTCAAATCAAAATTTGTTTTGGTTGTCTGTTTCCTTACTTGTTCTCTTTGTCACTTCATAAACTGTTGAAGAAACTTCCTGAGCAATGTTTGAATTTCCAACTTCCTTTCGCAAAATGCGGGGCAACGACCCAAGAAGGTGTTTAACCTTACGATTAACCTCGGTTCTCCTTTTTGAATCTTTATGGCTGCTCCAAGGTAAACTTCAATGACCAGAACAACTTCGCCTCTACCAACACAGACATAGGGCCAGGTTTTCAACCTGACGATCATCTATCCCAAAATGACGCATACTATTTTTCACTTCAGCGAACCAATGAAGTTGTCTAAATTGTATTCTGTTTCATATTGTTCCTCGTCCCATAGCTCTCCCAAATTTTCAATCATAGTTTTGAGCGAAGTCTTCCCAGTCGCATTCGACTGTTGTGCACTTGGTTTTTCTCTCTTCTTTTCTTGGTCGACTGAAAAGAGATCCAGGAGTTGTCCAGTATCCATGGTCAATAGGCTTGAGTTGTCTTGCGAGATCACTGTGTTAGCGATGTTCAGTTTAAACTTCTGGAGTCTAACAGAAAAAAAATGTCCGACTTGAAGACTCAATTTATAAAATATCTAAGTGTATAGTATGTTATCACTTGACAATTAGGTTTAGAAACGAGCGGACAATGAGAATGTCTTTCATAAGTTTGAGAACAAAGGAAGACGCGAAAGAGATGTTGATTGTTCTATCCACCTTCGGGAAATTGGAAAGCTGACGACAAGTTGTTATTAAAAACTGGATCATTGGATAATGCAATTTAAGAGTTTTCATTGGCTTCGCCATCATGAGTTATGAGTCATCACGCGCGCGCATGAAGACGAGTTAAATCGGAAGTCTTATCCAACGGGCGCTCGTGGAATAATTGTTTATTAGACGTTATTCCTTCATAAATAAACTTTTACCGCTGCGTCAATGGGCAAGTGAGATACTTACATTAAAAAAAAGTGAAAAAACGTTTGAGAAGCTGAGTTTTCTGGCGTCACCCGCTTTCGGAAAAAACTTAACGAGCGTTAATGTTAGTCCTATCTCAGGATATCTAAATGGCTTAAAGAAGGAGGTTTCTCGTCGAGAGTGTAACGTAAAAACCTATTTGCACTGTGCTGTATGATTCAAATAGTGCTGCTTTAAAACCTACCCCATAATCTTTTCCTCGAGTGTTCCCCGTGTAATCAATCTGTACACGTTTACAACCTTCTTCTGTCCAATACGATGAGCTCGGTCCATGGCCTACAAAAAGGATCGAAGCAATCAAGAAAAGGCAACTGATCGCATCTACCAAAAACAAAGCTTGAGCAAAGTTGGTGAAAATCGGAATATACAGGGGGGAGGGGACAGGTTCAAAAGGTTGTGGTTACGTACTTGTAGGTCCTTCATTGAGTTCCAGTCGTGCTCCACAAAGATGACCGTATCGGCACCAGTCAAATTCAATCCCAGTCCTCCAACATGTGTCGTCAACAATAGAATGTCGATTGAAGGATCGTTGTTAAATCTGAGGATAAAATAAGTCTCTAAGTAACAGAAAAGCTGTTAAACGTCGCGTTTATTATCCAAAAAATGCGTTGAAAGCAGAAAATCGTTACCAGTCGGCCCATTCAGGGTGCATCACAGAAACCTGGCAATGATTTGTTCGTGGAGAAGCCATCTGTAGCATAGCAGTCTAGGTATGGCATACTTGTGAAAATGTCATGTACTTGTCATATAGTTGTGACGATTAATTACGTATGCTAATGTCGAGACGATATCTAGGGGGAGGCGTGCACCGAATACGGGAATTGTGTGTATAGGTTATATGTCGTAGGTTGTCTTGTAATATTGTTTGGATACCAGACCATCGTTTCCTCCCTTTGTTCCGCGAGATATTGGACCATGGCCAATAAGCGGAACCGAAAAATCTCAAATGAAAGAAATCTTACCTTTGTACGAGCGAGTGACGCGAGCCCGCAGGCGTACTTCCATCTAGTCTGAGGTATGTCACTGTAGGCATATGTTTTCTGCGTGAATAAAGCAAACTGAATATAAGAAGCAGGCTAAGTTTCAAACCTTTACATCTTTCCACTCCCAAAGGCTGAATATTAATGAGAAGATTTACCAGCTTCTCCGACAATTCACTTCGTGTTAAATGAAGAAAGTTTGATAAAATGATACTTTGTCCTTGCAACACGTCGTACAAATATAAACTGTTTTAAACGTGTTCGATCACCACAGCGACAACATGAGACGTAGCGGCGAGGTACTACCCACGAACAAGTACACATAGAGTCTTGTTCTGGTTAATTGTCAAATGGACAAACCAAAGACGAATGCAGCAATATCAAGCAGCATGGCGAAAAAAAACAATTTAAACAAAAAACAAAAAGATTGCTCTTACTTAAGAAGATCATTTTCAACGATGTCTAACATGCTCTTTAACTGACAGAACAACAGCACCCGGTGTTGGGACACTATAGGGTCTGAAGACAGATCACTGGAGCCTGAGGATGAGGAGCTAACTCCTATCCCACAATCCATCAGCAGCTGCCTGTTGATCAATTTGTAGACAGAAAGAGAGAATTAGTTCAACTATAGTAACCTGAGGCGAACATCAAACAAAACTATTTTCACAATCAGCTAAAGGTCAAACGCCTAAACGCCAACATATGTAATGACGAGGGAATATTCTTGATAGGAAAAAATGACTTCATTTTTCACCTCTAAGCAAAGTATGCTGCTATCATGGTGACAGAATGCGCAGTAGTTTTTATGAACTGGTTACAAGGAAAGGATGAAAACAGAGAAGACCTTACATTAGGTGAGGGATTTTATGAGTTTCATTCAAGAAACCCCTATTTTTAAGAAACTCAGAAATCAATGGTACTCTAGGCGTGCCAGTCTTAAAAGAGTGCTTGCAAAAGTTCAAAGTCTATCCGTAAGCAATCCGTTAAAATATTACTGTTATGGTAACCGCACAATGCCTTGAAGTTACACTAACAAATAACCTGACTTACTTGAGAGCAACAAGTTTGGCGGCATGCTGAATGTCCGGGATGGAGACATGTTGTTGATTTAATTGGTCCATAACTTTGGTGTATTCTGGATGATTGGCGGTGAGCACCAAAAGCGGGTGGTTGCATAGCTTGCGCAGGTACTGAAGAGCCTGGGAATTATTTACATGTCAGATTGAATGAATATTCATACTGCATAAGGTTATTTGTGGTAAGCACTGAGGACAGACTGGTGTCCATGATCAAATTCACAATTAAACAAGTAAAATAAACGTTGTATGGCAGTAAGAATGAAATCAATACTAACCTGGAAAACGTGAGGATTATCTTTGCTTGCTTTCTCGTTTTTGTTTTCTTCATCGATGTGAGAAACTGTTTCCTCCAAACCTTTCTTGACCTGAGACTTGGAGAATTCTTCATATAACTGAACCTGTAAAACGAAAAAATTTTTTTCTTGAGTGAGAGGAACGATCTGGAGGGCAATTTTCGGAAATTCTCCCAAAAAAATACCTAATACTTCATTTTCTACTTTTTCAACAAAATCATCACCGAGGAGGGACAACTCACTTTCTTTAGGGCGTGGTCTTTGGAATGAAAAGGGTGAGACTGGGGAGAAATTCAGGGTAAAACCATCTAACATTTCAGTCGAATACACGAAGTATTAACCCTATGACAACCGAAAAGCGGGAGCGTCTTGCAGAGACCACTTTCTTTTTTTTTTTACTGGTGAGGCACGATAACTATTGTCCTTTTTGTTCAACAAACGCTGAGCCAGATGTCAGGGTGCTGAGGTAACTAACACGTGTATCTAGCGGCTCCGTGGAACTCTTGAGTGACGGAAAGAAGATTGGAGCTCTGACGTTCAATTTACTGTTTACGCTGCCTTATTTTTCATCACGGACCAAAAGCTACACAAGTTGTGTGTGAGCTACTTAGTACTCAATCCATGGACACTCACCAGCTTCTTGTTCCTTAGAGGACGATTTTACGTCTCTACTCTGTAGAATGGGTTTACCAAACAGAGACTGAAACTGCTTTTCACTTCCGAGAAAACCAGGCATTAAGAAATCAAACAATGACCACAGCTCCAGGACATTACTTTGAAAATAAAACATGAGCATGTCATGAACGTAAAGCACCGTATCAAATCTTCACAAGACTGAACAAAATAAAGAAATACAAAAAACTACAAAAATTACGCTACTGCACGGAAAGATAACCCATAACAAAGGAGTTTGGTGAGAATGAAACAAAAATGAACGACACATTAGAACGAGCAATGTCTCATACATACATACATATATATATACATTCTTTATTTGATAAGTAGGTTGTGTGAAAGGCAGCCAAAGGGCTGATGTGGACCTACTATACTAAATATTAGGAATTACATATATATAAAAATTGCAATAATAACTTAGAACTACTATATACAAATAAAATGGTGTTCACTAAGACTAACATATAAATCTAAAAGTAAATGAAATGGTCCTTTCTGTTGGCAACTACTGTTGCCTCTTTCTCAAATGAAAAATTGTCAATAGTCTTAACATGTTTACGTAAGATTTGTTTAAAAGAATAAAAACTTTCAGGTACTTTAACTAATCTATTTACAAAATTCCAAATAACAGGACCTCTGTATCGTAGGGAGTTCCTGCCGGTCTCTGATCTAAATCTAATGACATTAAATTGGTTAGGAACACGAGAAGATCTAGAAGAAACTCTTTTAGAAAACAGTTCACATATCGACTGGGTCGTTGTTCCAAAATATACTTTGTGCAAGAGGAACAGTACAGATTTTTTATAGAAGTAAGAGATGGGCAGCCAGTCGGATTTCATGAGACATGTGTCATCTGCCATCGTTGAGTCGAGGTTATTCACAATACGAGCTGCTCTTGCATGAATATGGTTTAGAGAGTTCAGTGCGGAAGGAGAACAATTTCCCCATACCGAAATTCCATACGTTACACTGGGGATAATTGTTTTAAAGTATATTTCCTCGAGAACCCTCTTCGGAAGGGTTCTCATTCTCTTCAACGCTCCAACCTTCTGCGTAAAAGATTTCTTCACTGAGTCAATGTGCACAGACCATGTCAGCTTATTGTCAATTTTAACTCCAAGACAAGTGGTGTAATTAACCAGGTCGATATGGCCAGTGTTAAAGTGGAGGGGAGGTATAGGCCCAACAAAAGAGGTTTTACTTAGTATCATTGCTTCAGTTTTAATTGGGTGGATGGTTAGCTGATTCTTAATGCTCCACAGGAGAACTTGCTCCAATGATTTATTTAGTGACAACATAACCTGGTCAACATTTGGTCCAATACAGTAAACTGTAGTGTCATCTGCATACATGTATAGATCTCCCGAGTCGATGTGGTCAGGAGATCATTAACATATATGGTGTAGAGCCGGGGGCCAAGAAGCGAGCCTTGAGGGACTCCATATCGCACATAGTCAGTGACCGACCTGCAATTATTAACTTCAGCAAATTGACATCTATCAGTAAGATAGCTCATTAGCCATTCATGAAGAGATCCTGATATTCCAATGGCGTGTAGTTTATGCGATAAAATATAATGGGGACAGTGTCAAAAGCTTTCTGGAAGTCAATAAAGACTGCTCCAACTGTCAGACCATTGTCAATTGTTGTCTTCCATCCTTCAGTCATAGAGGTAAGCATTCCTTCAGTCGATAGTCCTTGCTAAACCCCCACTGTTTACAGCTTTTTATGCCACAGCTGTTCAGATGGGTATCAATTATGTTGCAGATCTGGCTTTCGAGCAGCTTGCTGGGGATATTTAAAAGTGATATTGGCCTATAATTTGAAACATCTGCTGGGTTTCCTTTTTTAAAGATTGCATTAACTTTTGCAATCTTCCATGTGTTAGGGAAGCTGGACTGAGCCATGCTGCTCTTGAAAACAGTTACAATGCCCTCTAGGGCGGATGTTCCTGCAATAGCTAAGCTACGAGAAGAGATGCCATCAGGACCAGATGCTTTGTTAATTTTAATTGTCTTGATATCAGTTTTGAGTTTGTTGATGTTGACCTCCAAGACCTGCACAGTGGGGGTAACTCTGTACATGAATTGATGGGGATCATCAACTTCGGGGAATTTTTCAGCTAGTTCCTTGCCAATATTTATGAAGTAAGAGTTAATCAGTTCAGCTTTCTCGTAGTCATTTGTGATTTCCTTTATTTTCAGCATCTCTGAGGGGCCAATATGTTTATTCTTAGGTTTTCCAGTGGCCTCGTTCACAGTTTTCCAGAAAGATTTTGAGTCCTTGGTCTCTGTAAATTTCTTTTTCCAATATTGAGCTTCAGCACGTCGTAGCATCTTAGATACTTTGTTCCTAGAGGATTTGTAATCAACCCAGAGTTTATTAGTAGCGGGTGTGCCATCACAGGCTTTCAGAAGTTTATATCTCTTATTCATCTCTTTCCGGATCTCACTGTTCATCCAAGGTAGTGAATTTTTTCTAACCTTGGCTTTACGTAAGGGAATGTGACTGCTTGCAATAATATTATACATGCAATTCCAAGCCCAAGTGATGTCATCCAAGTCCTCAAAGGTGGAACAGACCCACCAGGGATTGTCTACCAATTGTCCACCAATTGTCTCAATAATTAATCTTGTGACGTAGAATACTCCAGAAGCATGAATAACGTTTCGGGGTTCGACAGAAGCTGCTGTTGACGTTTCCTCACATTCTACCAGGCAGAGGAAAATATTTTATCCCCCTTTGTACGTAAACGAAGAAGACTTTAGGATCTACATCTATAAGAACTGTTGGAGCATTGACTCGTCATCTTCCCATATTTAAATCCCATACCAGGATTGGTGTTCCCGAGAGTATAAGTCGATGACTGGCTCTTAGCTGCTTAATGAATTTCGCAAGCTAGAAGGAAAAAAAATCACAATAAAATAATTGGGGGGAAAGCCGCCTATTAT